TATATTATAATAAATAATTTAAAATAAGCTTATAATATATATTTAAAATCCTTTTAAATTATAAATTTATAATATAATTATATAAAACTTAATATAATAAAACTTAAAAAGATTAATAATAGCTTATTAAGCTTTTTTTTATTTTAAAAAACTTTTATTTTAAAAATATTTTAATAACTTAATTAATAAAGATAAGGGTTAAATTTATAATAAATAAAAAAGTAATTAATATTAAAAAGACTTAATTTTTTTTATATTTAATTAATTAAAAAAACTTTTATAATTAATTTTTATTTTATATTAATTTTATAAATATATTTAAAAAAAATAGCTAAAAAGCTTTTTAAAAAAGGTTTATTTTATACTTAAAAACTTTTTTAAATAAAAGTATATTAAGTTTAATTTAATTATATTATAATAATATTATAAAAATAAAATAATAAAATTTTTTACTTAATTTAATTAATTAATTTATATAATAAAGATTTAAAATTAAATAAATAAATATAAAATATTATTAATAATTAATAACTTAACCTTTATAATAAAAGCTTAGCTTAATTATAAAAAGCAATTAAATATATTTAAGGCCTTTTACTTTATTTTATAATAATATAAGGGTATTTTTAATATTATAATAAGAAAAGATAATATTTAATCTTAAAATAATAAAGTAATAAATATTAATATTATAATAATTTTAATAAATAAAGTTAAGTATTTTATATATAATTAACTTAATTATTATAAGTATAATTATTTTAATTATTATAAGAAAATAAAGATATAGCTTTTATTAATTAAAATTAATAAAAAAGAAAAGTTTATTTAAGGAAATATAAAATTATTTTTATAAGGTAAGGCTTAAAAGCATTATTAACTTAATATTAGCTTAAGCTTAAAATAAGCTAATTATATATTAATTAATTTAATATTATAAAAATACTTAAAATTTAAAAAATTCTTAATAATAAAGTAAATTACTTATAATTAAGCATTAATTAATTATAAACTATATAATAAATTTATAATTTTAAAATTTTAAATAAAAAAGCTTATATAAAAGGCTTGCATTAAAGGATTATAAAAATATTATTAATTTAATTTTTAATTAATATTTAAATAATTATTTTTTATAAACTTACTTTAATTAATATATTAAATTATAAGGTATAAAAAAAATAAAATTATAAAAATATAAGCTAGCTTAATAATATAATTAAAGTATTATAAAATAATTAAATAGTTAAGTAAAAGGTAATATTTAATTTATAATTAAAATAATACTTTTTTTATTTTTTATTATATAATTAATCTTTTAAAAAGCCTTTTTTATAGCCTTAATTTAAGAAAAGGGGATATATTATAATTTAAGCTTATACTTATAATAATTAATTAATAAGCTTTATCTTTATAAAAATAAGCTTTAATATAAATATAAATAAAAAGCAAATCTTTTTCTTTATACTTTAAATATAAACTTTATTTAAATACTTTATAATAAATAATTTAAAGTAAGCTTATAATACCTTTCTTTTTTTTTTATCTTTATATAATTATTAATTAAAAATTAAAACTTAATTATTATTTAATTATTTTAATAAAAAGTATACTTTTAATATATTAATTTTCTTCCTTATTTAATTTTTATTTTAAAATAAGCATTAATTATTTATAAAATCTACTTTAAATTATAATTAAATATTAATTATATTTCTTTTTTATTTTTAATTTTTTTTATTTTAATTATTTATATAATAATTCTTAAAAATATAAGGCTTTTTTTATTAATATACTTTTCTTTTTTATTATTTAACTTTTATTATTTATTTTTTATTTTATTATTTATTTTCTTTATTTTCTTTTTTTATAATTAAAAGTTAAAATATTTTTTAATTAAAAAAATAAAGTAAAAAAATAATCTTAATTCTTTTTATATTATAAAATATCTTAAAATTTTAATATTTTAATTTTATTAATTAAGCTTGTTATGGGCTGGCCCCAAAGGGGCTGCAGGCTAGCTAGCGCCTTCTCCCATAAGCTGCAAAGCAGCAACCAATTAAGCCAAAAGGTACGTAATAATCCAAGCTCCCTTGGATTACCTAGCCAGCCACTATAAGGCTTGGGCTTCCAGCCCAAGCCCATTACATAGCCCCCCAACTACTAGTGGCGCACAATTACCCCCAAGGCTCACCCGCGATATCGCCTTTTCAAGCCAGAGATCTTCTTCACGAAAGGGGTGCCCGCATTTACTTGCGGCAGACGTGACTCAAACCCTCGACCCTAGAGCTTGGATTATTTGTTATAGGCTGGCCCCAAAGGGGCTGCAGGCTGGCTAGCGCCTTCTCCCATAAGCTGCAAAGCAGCAACCAATTAAGCCAAAAGGTATGTAATAATCCAAGCTCCCTTGGATTACCTAGCCAGCCACTATAAGGCTTGGGCTTCCAGCCCAAGCCCATTACAAAGCTTATTATTTTTAAAAAAATAATTTAATATTAATAATTATAAAACTTTTTTATTTTAATAACTTTAAAAACTTATTTAATAAAATATTATAATTTTTAAATATTATAAATATATAAAATTAATAAATTTTTATTTAAAAAAAATATTAACTTTTTTAAAAATCTTTTTAAAATAAAAGTTATTATAAATAAACTTTATTTAAATAATATTTAATAAATTTAAAATTTTAATTAATTATTATTCTTTAATATAAAATAAATAATATTTAATAATAAGTTTATAAAAATAATATAAAAATATTTTTTAAGTATTAATATTTATTTTAAATTAAGAAAATTAATTAAGTTAATAAATTTAATAAAATAATATTAAGCTTTTTTTATTTTTAATCTTTTTAATATAAAAAAATACTTTATAAATATAAAAAATTAAAAATTTAATATATTATAATTTTTATAATTTAATAACTTTTTAACTTTTAAAATATTATATTTTTACTTAAAAATCTTTATATTATAATTATACTTTATTTATATAATATTAATAATATAAATTAATAAAAAATTATAAATTTATTATTATATTTATTTATATATTTAATTATTAAAATAATAATAATTTTTAATAAAATTAATAATTATTATTTATTATAAAATAATTTATATATAAAGAAATAAAAAATAATAAAATAAATAAAAATATTAAAGTATTTATTTATAAATATTTAATAATTATTTTAAAAAATAAAATATAAAATTTTAATAAAAGTTTTATATTAAAATTAAAATAAATTAATAAAATATTTTATAAATAATATATTATTAAGTTTATTAAAAATTATTTTAAAGAAAATTAAAGAAAAAATAATTTAAAAATATAAAATTAAGCTAAAACTATTTTAATTAAAATTATATATCTTAAAATACTTTAAGTTATTATTAATATTATTATTTAAATATTTATTATTTAATTAAAGCTTAATAAAATTAATAAAGTTATTTAAATATTTATATTAATTTTTATTTTTAAAATTAATAATATAAAAATAATTAAAATAAGAAATAAGCTTTTATTATAAAAGAAAATTATTTAATAATAATTATTTAAATTATAATATAGGAAAATTATTATTAATTATAAAAAGAATATAAAGAAAATAATATTCTTAATATAAATTAATTTAATAATTTAATATATAATATTTAATATATAATAAAGTATAAACTTTTATATATTTTAAAATTAATTAAGCTTAATTTTAATTAAATAAGCTTTTAACTTAAGTATTATATTATAAAATATTTTAAAATTAATAAAAAATGCTTATTTTAATATATATAAGAATTCTTCTTATTTATTTTTTTTAATAATAAATATAAATAAAACTTAAAATATATAAATTAATTTTAAATAAAAAAAATAATAATTAAGTTTCTTTATAAATAAAAACTTTATAAAAAAAAAAAATAAAAATTAATAAAATTAATATATTATATTTAATATAATAATTAAAAAAAAAGAATAAATTTATTTTTTATTTTATAAAAATATTTAAATTTTTAATAATTATATTAATATTAATTATTAAAGTAAACTTTAATAATTAAAAGAATATAATTAATAAATATATTATTAAATAAGTTATAAAAGTATTTAAAGCTTTTATAAAGTAATAAAAGTTATAATAAAATAAATAAATAAGAAATTAAAAATGATAATAATAATTAAAATTATAATAAAGTAAATTTTAAAATTTAAAAGTTTAATTAAAAGTAATAAGATTTTATTTTAATAACTTTTATAATATTTATTATAAAGTACTTAAAGAAAGATATATTAATAAAGGTAAAAAAATATATAAAAAATAATATTATATTAAATTTTAATTAATTATAAAAGTTAGCTTTTTTATTTATTTAAAACACTTATTTAAGAAATTTACTTTTTTTATATATTTAATATTTTAATTAAGCTTTTCTTATTTTTAAGAATTTTTAAAATATTTATCTTTTTTTTTAACTCTTTTTTATTTTTATTTTCCTTTTTTATTGCATTAAAGCTCTTCCTTAAGTTATTTTTAAAAGGGTTTAGCAAAACTTATTCCTTATTTATTTAAGTAGCTTATTTTTAATAATTAAAAGGAATAAAGTATATATTATTATATAATAATAATAAAGATTATTATATATAATAAATCATAATAATTATTTATTATATTATTTATAAATATATTTAAAGAATAACTTATTATTTAATTAAATAGTTTACTTATAAATTTAAATATATATAAGAAAATAAGCATTAATAATATAATTTTATTAAATATATAATAAATAAAAATAAATCTTTAGTATTAAAATTAAGAAATTAACTTAAAATAACTACTTTTAAATAAATAAATTAATATATACTTTATATAAGTTATAATAAATATTATATATTTTAATTTAAGTAAGAATAATATACTTTAATTTTTAATAAATAACTTTAAAAAGTAAATGTTAAGGTTGCCGCATAGTCCAGTATTTGGCCACATGTCTTTACCAATTGACCTAAGTGAGGCAGGAAACTACGTATATAGTACATATAAGTGCTCAAATTCATGGTGTTTAGAGCGTAGTTTGCGCTCAACTATCTACCTAGCCCCCACCGAGTACTTCGATCTCTGGTTGCGTGCCCTCGCCGTCGCCAACCTTGCCGTCGCTAATCGATCTTCTCCCCCTCCACCGCCGGCGCAACACCCCGTCCTCGAGGTCGTGTGACGCAGCCACAAGTCTGGCCTCGCTTTGCGTCTGATCCAGCCGGAACCTAACTTCCTTCATCATATCCTCAAAAATGTCCACGCTCTGGGGAGGCCGAGGTCCTTGCCCGTCCGGCCACGAAGTTTTCATCCACAAAGAGGCATCTAAGGATGAAGGGCAAAGGGTGCGCCTTCCAAACTGATACCTCCGCTCGTGCGGTTAACCAAATCATTAGCGGGAGGAGGACCAAGGATGCCAGGGCGACGAGGCTCGCCGGCAGTGCTACCCAGGGCTAGTGGATGTCGAGGCACGATGCGTGATGCCAGACAACTCCTTGTGCTGGCGCGCTGCAGTTGGCGTGGCCGTTCTGGCGCATATAGTTCGTAATATAATAAAGTATAATTATATTATTGTTAAATGGTCTTTGCTATATGGCTAATGTATATATATACGTGGTTGTAGAATTGCGTTTATATTTATTATTATTGTTAGATCTGATGAGCGGTAGATGTACTGTAAATATACTGTGAATAGCTGTTTCCTAGAGAATTTATTATAAATTTATAGTGAATTTATCTAAATTAATACATTTATAGGTAATTTATAAAGGTTATTATAGTAAATGCCTTAAGCATTAAGATTTATAAATTAAAATTAGCTTTTATTATTAATTAGCCTTAAAAAAATAATAATTAAGTAATTATTATATTAATAATTAAAAGTAATTATTAAATATAAACATTTTATTAAAATTATAATATAAAATTTAATAATTAAAATTATAAATTTAAATTATAAATTTAAAATATATTTTTTATTAAAAGAAATCTTTATTTTTTAAGCTTAAAATATTAAATATTTATTATAAGAAATATATAAAGAAATTATATATTTAAAGAAATATTTAATTATAAATAATATTAAATAAAGAAAAAAATAAGGAAATTATTTAAAATAATAAATAAAGGATTTAAATAATAAGTAACTTTATTAATAATAAAGTTAAAATCTTTAATTAAAACTTTATATATTGGTTGGGTTAACGTATGTTGGTTAATAGCAGACTGGTTGTATTTAAATTAGCTATGGTGTAGAGGGTAGGTTATAGTAAAGCTGCAGCCTTCCCCCATTTAGCTATAAGCTAGCTATAATAATTTATATGCAAAGCATATAACCGCTAGCTAGCAGCCAGCTAATACTAATTAATAATTATTATTAATAAAATTAATTTAAACCTTATACCTTTAAATTTATGCATTGCTTATAATGCACTTATTATATAAACACACCATGCCTATATATATTATTCTTATATTAATAGTTTTTTATATATATGCATATAAATGCTTTAAAATTATGCTTTTCTTTAAATTATTGCTTAATTAATTAAATTACTTAGTTAATATAAATATTTTATTTTTTAAGGGGCTATAAAAAGCTAAATACCTTATAGCTATTGCTTTAATAGGTTAAGTATAAGTATTTAAGTATAAGTATGCTTAAATGTTTTAAGTGCTTAAATTGCTTAATTAAATTATTTAATTATTAATACTTTAAAGTTTTAAAGTATTTAAATACCATGCTTTAATTAATTAATTATTACTTTAATAGCTTTTTTCTTTTTATTATTAAGTTAGTTAAGGTGCTTAAGGGATAAATTAAGCTTAAGCTAATAATAGCTATTGCCATTATATTTCTTAATAAGGAAGAGGCTATTATTATAAGGCTTATGCTAAGGATATTGCTAATTAATAAAGAGGTTATAATTAATAAAGAGAAAAAGGTAGTTGCTTTATAATAATTAGCTTTATTTTAATTAGCTTAGGCTTCTTTTCCTTAAAAAGCTTTTATTAATATTTATATGCTTTTAATTATAGGTAAAAGGTTATTATTATAAACTCCTTTTAAGGCTATTTAAGTATCTTTAATTAATTACCTTTATTATTAATTAATAAAGTAATTAATGCTTTAGCTATTAATATATAATTATATTTTATATAAACTTTATAATAGCGAAGCATTTATTTAAGCTTATAAAGAAGTTATTAATTAATCCTTTAAAAGCATTTCTTTATTTATTTATTAAACTTATATTAAAAATCTTTAAAAAGATCCTAATTATAAGCTAAGTACCTTTTATAGCTATTTAATATATTAATAACCTCCTCTTTATTAAAGGAAGGGGCTATTATTAATGCAAAGATTATCACCATTAAGCAGATTTTATAATAATTAATTATAAAGCAAAAGGAAAAGAAAAAACGTTTTTACGCTGCGCTTATAAACTAATAACTAGCTTTTAAACCATTTACTTATAAATAATGGCGCCTAAATGTTATTACTGCTTAATAAATTAATCTTTATTAACTTTAAGGTAATTTATACTTAAGATCTTATTAAAAGGCATTAATAAAAAAGGCATTAAGAAAAGAAAAAGTTATGGTTATTAATTAAATATTAATTATTATTAAAAAATAAATATCTTAAAGGTTTAATTAAGTTATTTATATAGCTAAACCTATAATAAATCTTAATTATTCCTCTTAATAGTTTTAAATTAATTAAGAAAATTGCTTTTTTTGCTAATATTTTAAAGTATTTTAATTAAGCATATTAATTAAATATATAAATTGCCTAAAAGAAACATTATTTATTAATACTTTAAAATATTTAAGTGCTTTATGCTTTATTAAGTATTTAGGGATCTTTTAAAGGGTTAAAGGGCTTAGGGCATTAATTAAGTGCCTTAAAGGGCGTTAATTGCAAAAAAGGGCTTTTTAAGGGTACTAAGCAAGGGCTTCTTAAGGGTGCCAAGCAAGGGCTTCTTAAAGGTATTATAAGAAAGGCTAAGGATGCAAGGGCAATATAACTAAAAGTTAGGCGTTTACTATAAATTAATTAATCTTACTTAAAAGTTAGGCATTTATTATAAATTAAATAGGATTAAGTAAAGCTTATTGCTAATTTATTTAATAATTAAGGGTATTATAAAAGGGCTTTTAATAATTAAGAAAGGTTATAATTACTTAAGGGTATATTAAGAAAGGCTTTTTAATTAAGGCTTTTTATAATTATTATTATTAATAATTTATGTTAATAAATGCAATTAAAAATTAGGTATTATCACTATAAATTAGTTTTTAATGCTTGGTTAAGCTTTTTAGCAGCTTATAATATTATTATTAACATAAAGTCCCTTAATGAAATCATTGCAAGCAAATAAGCTTTTAAAAAATAAGATTTATCTTTTTAATACTTAATTATTTATGCTTGCTAAGTAAGCACTAATTAATATTAATTGAGTTAATATATATTAATTAATAGCAAATTAGTTGTATTTAAATTAGTTATAATATAAAGGGTAGGTTGTAGCAAAGCTGCAGCCTTCCCTCATTTAGCTATAGGCTAGCTATAGTGGTTTATGTACAGGGCATATAACCGCTAGCTAGCAGCTGGCTGGCATTGGCTAACAACTGCTATTAATAAAACTAGTTTAAACCTTGCACCTCTAAATTTATGCATTGCTTGTAGCATACTTACTGCATGGGCACGCTACGCCCATACATACTATTCCCACATTATATAATATAAATAACTTAAAATAATTTATAATAAAGAATAATAAGTAATAAAGAAGCTTATTAAATAACCTTTTTAAATAATAAATTTTATATATAAGTTAATATATTATTAAGTAAGTAAATTATTATAAATATAATATAATAATTTATAAAAATATTATAATTAATACTTTTATAATAAGATAATATATTTTTATTAATATTACAAGAAAATTCTTAAGCTATTATTTATAATTAAGAAAGCATATTTATAAATTAATTAATAAAAAGAAATAATAGCTAAAAGTATTTAAAAGAATATTTTAAAAATATTATATATTATAATTTAATTCTTAAATTTTATTTAAGTTATTAAAGGGATAATATTAATATAAGTTATATTTTATAAATAAGTATAAAGATAAGTAATAATAAGTAAAAGCCTTAAATATTATAATATAAGGTAAGACTTTTATTAAAAGTTAAAAAGCTATTATAATTTATAAAAGAGTAAAACCTGTGCTATGTTGTTAAACTTCTCGTTGATGCCTGCGAAGGAGACATTTTCGGATTATAGAGCGCTTAAATCTCCATCGGGCCGGAAAAGGAGTAGTAAAAGCGTGCTCTAAGATAACATTCGGCCCACTGAAGATAGCTTTCAAGAAGCAACTCCGCCAACAGGGAGCCTACAATTTTTCGACCTTTATGGCAAAGACATATTTCTCTCTGTTATCACAGGGCCTGAACGGAAGCAATGATGGCGGTAAATCTCGGTTCTAACTGGCAGATGACGGGTCTGTGGCACATGTTACTATTTTAAGGACCTTTTCGTTATATGTAGAGTCTTAGTAAGCATCCAATAAAAGGTATTTTGGACTCTTGTATATCTTTAGTAGAAATCCAATCTAGATTTTATACTAGGATTGGAGTATTATTAAGGGGTGTTAAATAAGGCTTTATAGTTAGGGATTTAATAATGGCGTTTAATATTATTTAAGACTAGTAATAAAATGAGTATATTGTTTTTTAAAAAAATTATGAGATTAAAAAGAAAAAATTACTAGTATGGAAATGGGGGTATTTAAATAGAAGTTAAGTAACCTTATAAGAAGTATAAATAGCAGGAAGCATAAGGTGTAGCCTCTTGTTTTCTCTAAATGCAACAACTAACCACCATACACTTTATGATTAACTATTTAAAGCAATGCATCACGAAATACTGCCTATAACCTATACCTGTTGTCTCTCATCCTATTAGGGCAAATTATTATTGTTCCGGTTTAATAAAGGAACTCAAAGAATACAAATAGTCAATACACTTTTTGATCCACATACATTTCCAAGGTTGAGATAGCGCAGCCAAAAAATATCATTTAAAGCTAGAATGGCAGTATAGGTTCCTGCCTAGTCCCATGCATCTGTGATTTAACTATTTAGGTACCTTCCAGTTCCTGCCCGGACCCATACAAATGGGAATCGTTCAAAGTATACCTACTCAACGGGTCTCGGGACCTGCAGAGCTCATTTAGGCTCAGGGATAGCCTTTCCTTTCATGTCCCAGAATGTCTTGCCATCCTTACTAGCCCAGTACTCTGTCTTGCTAACCTTACCCTTCTTCTTTGTGGCTCCCTGCGGCGGAGTCCAAGGCTTAGGGGTGGACGAGCTCGCTGCTCCCGGTGCCGGTGCTTCCTTCTTCTTGGGCTCCGAAAGCTTTTTCTCAAATCCCTTAGGTATACCCGGCTTAGTACTCAGAGTCTGGCTGAAGCCTCCATTTACGATGATGACTGAGAACGTCGGCTTCCAGAGTTTGAAGAGATTGGCTCCAGTCGCAGCAGTTGGCAGATAGGCATGGACTTTAAACCGGCCCATCCAAACACTGCTTGCTGATACATCCAGGGTGAGATGCCTTGGGTCGGGCGTCTGCTCGTTTGGGGTTGCCGAATTAACAGTCCACGTATGCCAGCTGCCCCTGATATCACGGAAGCATTAGTATTTTGTTTCTTGTGGGAGAAGAGCACTTTGGCCCAGGAATTCCTACTTGATCACTACCGCGGCGCTTCTGAGGTGACGGGCCGCATCGAAAGCGGCCCTCTCACTGGCCTGCTTTGCACTTGCTGCATCGGTAGACAATTCTTCGGCAGACTCGGCCAGCAATTTCTGCGCAGCTGGTGACCATCGACCCTTGATGGCGTTGTTGGTATCAATGAAACCCTCCCAGACTCCATCGCCCAAAGGCTTGAAGCTGCCAGGCTGACCCGGGGTGCTTGAGCTGGAACCAGACATATTCGACAGTTGTTCTTGGAGATTTAGTAGCCTTTATATAGCTATTGAATGTGGTGATATGAGTGTATGGTAAGATAATGTGGTGAAAAGACTTGTAGACAAAAGGAAGTTTGATAGGTGTTGGAAATCGAGCTGGGGAGTAAGTGTTTGGTTTTCTTACTTGAGGATGAGTATCATGTCGACAGTATAGAGCAAGGAAATGGACTACTTATATACTGAAGAAAACCAACTGTTGTTGAACTCAAGTGGCTCCTGTTCAGGTCTCCGGTCTGCATCTAGTACGGATGGTAGAACCTGTTTCAATCCTGTGGCCCTTGCCCCTATGACCAAAATGTGGATAGAGTGCTATTTTTGCCACATCGTGAGAACCATCAACAGGATGAAGCTGTGCCTCAAGGAATCGTGAAATAGGCGGATTTTCGCTACAGCGCACACAAACATTGGCTGGGACCAGCGGCGCAGACCAGCCTGGTAGGCCACATGTGCAGCCTGGGCTGAACGCATCCACTGCGTTTTTCCTGACTCCACTACCTGTGTATCATCTGGCACATCTCTGGGAACCAGAGCCCTGGTAGCTTCGTAGATAGGTGGTTTCGCTTTTGATCCGTATACATACTCTTCCGTAGCAGTAGATTCGTAGATAAGTTCACGCAAACAAGCAGTACTGGGGCAGCCCAAAAGTACTTGGTTCCAAAACTTGTACCACCTCCACTGCAAGAAGCTCGCCTGTGCAGCCTGGTAACGTCCCCGGCCCAGATTCCGCCCCCCCCCCCCCCCCCCCTTGATTCCGGCCAGTCGTTTTCTGGTGCACTGGCACTATAAGATACCTACTTTTCAATCTTTTATAATAAATCCAAATTAAATCCTACAACCCTGAATTTAAGTTTAAAATAAAGTGTTTTAAGTATATTCTTATATTAAAATACTTAAAAGAAAATATAGCTTTAATATAATAATTTTAAAATAATTCTTAAACTTAAGTTATTAAAAATATTAAGATTTATATATATAATATAAAAAATTCTTAATAGCTTATATTTTTTAATCTTATATTTATTTTTTAATAAAACAATTATAATTAAATTTTATTATATATAATAAATATTTTATATATTTAAAATTTTTATAAAAAAATATTAATAAGTTTATGTTTTCCTTATATAAAAATTTTATAAAAGAAATTAAAAAAATTATATTTTAAAATATCTTTTAATATTATATTATATATTAATTTATAAATAAATATTTATAGAAATAAAAATTTTATTTAATTTTATTAAATAAATATTTACTTAAAAGTAATATTAAGGTTTTTATATGAGATATTAAAGATCCTTAACATTTAAGCATGTTATTTTTAAGAATTATTTTAAAAATAAAATAATTATAATAAACTTTTTTAAATATATATATTATAATTTCCCTTTAAAATCTTATATTTTCAGCCTAAATTTAGGGTTATGTGATTTAATTCGGATTTATTATAAAAGGTTGAAAAGTGTGAGTTTGTATGTGAAAGGCGGCCGGAATCGGGGGGCGGCCGGAATCTGGGCCGGGGACGTTAGGCCTGCTGGCGAACAGCTCAACTGAGCCTTCTTCAAAAATAGTCCTAGTGGTGATAAGTGGACCAGGCCTGAAATCATACCCTGTAGAGAGATGGTAGCCGAAGTCGGCATTCGATATTTTTAGTGAGGCCCAGCAGCTGAATGCTGTGCCGCACCCACATCGTGGTCAAGAACCCGGCCGGAGGAGCGGCTGACCTGGTCAATGGTTGGATGAGTCGGTTATCTACCGAGGTACGTACCCTGTATTACATAAGGCGGTCTCAACTACATAAGTAAGCAACCAAAGCGCCTCTCGTTGTGGCACCAACATTTCCTTGTGCTTCAGCATCAACCCGACCCTGCCTACTCCAAGCTGTTTATTCAACGAGCAAATTGCCACCATTCCTCTCACCTTGCTTGGCATAACTGCAACTCAGTCCGCAGAAAGTCTGCACCTACCACATCGATTCCACGCCACAAAAGAGCACACCATCACATGGAATCTCGAATCAAACATTCCAAGAGATGATATGCCTGAGCCCAACAGCATCACTGTGTGATCTGCAGGGCTGAGCCTAGCGACCAAAAAGAAGCACATTCAAGATTCCTCAAAAACATCGTCTGTCTATACAGCACAAACAAAGCTTACAAAGAAACCAACGAAGACGAGCCGATCAAAAGCAACCACCAACGAGGCACCACCCAGGTCACTTCAGAAGCCACAGGAAAAGCAAGCCGGCATGATGTCAGCCAATTCGACCCCGGCCCCCAGTTATGACTCGATCCCGCTTGACTGTGGGGACTTCGTGGACTCTGATCATGAATGCGATATTGAAGATGAGTCGGAGGACACACTGCAATATCTCAACGGCTATTTCTACCCGGTACGCATCGGGGACGTTTTGAATAGGCGGTACCAAGTCGTCCATAAGCTTGGGCGAGGTGGTTTCTCCACTGTTTGGCTGGCTCATGACCGCAAGACGGGGAATGATGTGGCTCTAAAGATTCTCAGCTCAGCTGGGTTTGCTGCCGAGGAGTGCAAGACGCATCTGAGAGTTGCACAAAGAGTACGGGATCGTACTCGAATCGTCTTATGCCAGGACCATTTTGTTCTCAGCAGAACAGACAGCAGTTCCACGCACAAACATGTTGTCCTAGTGCTCCCACTACGGGGCCCAAGCCTCTCGAACCTTTTGGAGGACATCAAGAGACCTATGACTTATTGCATGTCAGCCGCAAAGCAACTTCTGCAAGCTGTTCTCAGTATCCATAGCGCTGGTCTAGTGCATAGAGGTAAGTCACCCAAGCAGTCTTTACTATATTTATACCGCTAATTAAGCTTCTTGCCAGATATCATACTTCCTAACATCGTTTGTGGTCTTAGCGTAGACCTTGGAAAGTTATCCATAACGGACAAGTATAAGCTTCTTGGCCGGCCCCGGAAAGCACGAGCACTCATACAGGATGATAAAGTAGTTGGGGAATTAGTTTCACCAGCCACTTTTCCATCTGAGATCCTTGGCTTAGATGTTTATCTTTGCGATCTCGGAATCCTGATCGAGTCCGGTACCTCAGTACCTAACAAGCTCCAGTCGCCGCCAAAATATTGTGCCCCAGAGCTTTTCCATAACTTCGAACCTAGCTTTGCTAGTGATATGTGGAGCTATATGGTTGTTTTCCTATATCTTTATACGGGGCATTCGGTATTCTATGGGCCGGGCTTTGCGGGTAAGCTTGGCTCAATTGTTAGTCGTTTAGGGAAGCTGCCCCTGGAGTGGAAGGGTTGCTATACCGTTTCCGACAAAGAAGCGGTTCAGGCATCATGGTATGGCAATGGCTTACAATCGAAGGACTTGCTCGGCGAGTTCTTGGATCAGCATCGTCCTGATATTAGTGCCAGGGAAAAGGCACTTGCACTGTCGGTCATCCGCAAGGTATTCCGTACGAGACCTGAGGAGCGCACCGGAGCCTCAGAATTGCTGGAGAATGAGGATTTCAAGGCTTTGATGGGGCTGTATGGAATTTGAGGGCTGTTGACTGTCTGGGTTGTTGATCTGAGCAGAAGCCAGGATTTGTGATCAAAAGGATCACATGGAAGGGATGAGGATGGCGTTCTTGGGCAACGGGCTTACCTAGTGCACAGCATTATATGTGGAAGCGATGATTCCCAATCTGATGGTCTTTGAGCCTGAGTCTTGTGCAAGTATCAGCATTCCATTCTCTCTGCCACATTGCTGAAATTTAGTTGGAGTGGTATGTCCTCGTACGCGCTATAGTAGCCCACGGAGGAGAAGCCTTTGAACGTGCAGTTGACCTTGGGGCAGTAAGGTTGGGGTTGAGATTGCGTGTGAGATTGCTGCTGTGGTGAGGGATGATTGCGCAGTTACCGAGGGCTGGTTTCTCGGATAAGGGCGCATCCATATCTCGGGAAAGTCGCCGACATCCCATTATTAAGCATAATCATATATCCATATCAACTTGAAGTAATTAGATTGGGCCATGGTTGCCTTTTCCGCTAAAGGATTATTTGCAGCCCGCGTATTGTTAACGTACTTAGAAGAAAGGATTAACTATAACCATTAGAAAAGTAATTATCGTGCCTACTTTTATTAAAGGTTGCTAAAGCTATTAAAACATTAACTATTAATAAGTCCCTTAAATATTATAGCTAGCTAAATGATATTATATAATATCTATTAATAATCGCTCTTGCTGCATTTAAAGCTATTAATATTGCTTAATATAAGACTAAATAATAAACATTGCTTTAGGAAAACAAAGTAGATAAATAATAAAGTGTTTATGGAAATATAAAAAGGCCATTAAGGCAGAAGCTTACTTTAATATAGCAGAAGTATATTAATTATTGCCGCAAGTATTTTAATGTTAATTATACTTTTTATAATCTCTTACTTTAAGTTTAATTAAGAACTAAGTATACTCTTTACCTTTCCATTCCTATAAGAAGAATCGGCTTTTCTAGGCTTTAACTTAGTTATATTTCCTAAGAAGGTATATTAAAAGATTTTTGCTTATTAATTAAATTTATAATAAAAGAACTTTAAAACCCAGCTTTATTATTAAAATTCTGGGGTATTATAAATACTGTGAGTGCATCTTAATTTTAACATTGCTTATTAGCAATGTAATTAAAAGCTTTTAAGAGGCGTTTTAAGCCTTTTTATTCTTTACTTAATTATTTACTAAGCTTATTAACTTAATTGCTATATTTGGAGTTTAAAGGTTTATTAATGGAGATATTGCTATTTACTTAAAACTATCATCGCTCCTTATAAAGGTAAAAGGTTAATTAAAGTTTAAACTTAAGAGGGAGTAAAAGGAGGGATAACTAAGGTGTGCTTATGATTATGTATTGCGAATACCTCAAGTTGCGCAGAAATCATCAGTGCAAGTTTTTGCTTTTCCGCAGAGCCTCGTAGGAATAGGTCTTGTGGAAGTGTAACTTCCGAGGCAAAGACTTAGGCTGTCGTCTCCCTTACTTATACTATGAGCATCTCAGCTTTATAGCTGACTGAAGATATTGACCCCCAAGATGGCGGAGCATCATGCTATCTATTTGAGTTATTAGTATGTTAAGTATTATATCCTTGTCGAACTTTAACTGTTTATTAGCGCAAATTCGCTTTGCTTTTGCTTGTGAAACGTAAGGTTTGCAGAACAAAGCCCCTGCTTGTACTACCTTGGTGGCAAGTAGACAACTCGGGCTCACGAAGCTCTACCTACCAGGGGGGAGGGGGGTTTCTGACTGGGTCATGCAATGCACTCATGTTTTGATATTTAATCAAAATTTTATAATTCTAGCCAAATGCTAATAAAAGGCTATTAAAATATTATTAAAAGCAAATTATATTAAAGTTTTAAATTATATTAATTTTAACTTAATATTAATATTAACGTTATATTAACTATTAACTTTATATTGTTATGGGCTGGCCCCAAAGGGGCTGCAGGCTGGCTAGCGCCTTCTTCCATAAGCTGCAAAGCAGCAACCATTTAAGCCAAAAGGTACGTAATAATCCAAGCTCCCTTGAATTATCTAGCCACACTATATAAGGCTTGGGCAATAGCCCAAGCCCATCACATATATTATTAAAAGATTTATATTAAAAGCTTTAATTTAAACTTTATCAATTTTAAGCTTACTTTTATTTTAAACATTTCCATAATTCCATAAATTCTTTTATAATAAATAATTAAGCTAATAAAAAAGAAATAAATAATTAAGTTAAGGATTTAAAAAAAAGGTTTTTTTTACCCTTATATTAAGAGTTAATATAATGTTAATTCTTAACATTATATTACAGCGTATTAGGAATAACTTTATATTAATAACATATAAATAATGCAATATACATATAAAAAAAGCATGTTAAAACCTTAATTGCATATCACTATTATGTCGCCATTACATTGATATAGTGGTGCGATATTAATGGAAACCCCCCCTCCCCCTGGTAGGTATTGCACGACATAACTTAGGGCTCAGTTACAGAAATCCGTTGAGATGCTATTTTCGATAAAGTGGAATGAGTCTCAGAGAGAGCGTGTGTCGCCTAAGGAATAGATGTGACGCTGATTTAATGTTATCTATACCAAGTTTTCATTTTTGTCGGTTGGCTTGAGACGGTCTCAGATGAACCTCCTTGAAGATTCTTATTTCATTGATTTTTATGATTGGGACAGCAGATGGTCCGGGTTTGAGACCAGTATGGCGGAACATCGGGAGCGAAAAATTCGGCAGAAGCTGAACACTTGTCATGGCAGTCTCTGCTATCTAGGCATGTTGGCTTGGTGACATTGGCATGGGCAGATGGTTGGTAGTTATATTAATATCTGAGACCTAAGCCATGGTTGCTGTGTCGAATCCATTTTTAAATTACCCCAGGGAGACTATCTGCATTCTTGAGTTCCTCTACTAAGCCGGAACGGCGATAGTTATCCTGGTAGGATGAGAGATAATATGTATATGTTATGGGCAGTCGGCTTTATGATGCACTGTTTCTTGAAATAGCGACAATTTAGGTTACTTTTGCTAAGTATTGTTGACTCGGAAGATACCAATTTGTCTATCAGTAAGGATGAGACTGTGGCCAGATAGTCAATTCGTGCGGGCGCCGTCAAACTTGACACCATCAAGGTCGAAGCCAAAATTGCCGCGGATATGCACAACCCCTGAGTAAATGCCCCAGCCCGGGTATGATCTGGCCTCATTGGCTCGCCTGTGGTTTCGTAGCCAGACCAAGAAGACGGGCTCAAGAGTAGGTATGTAGCCTTCGGCGACAACGTTTGCTTCGATGAGCGTAAATCGTACTCTAGGGTGCACCCATCAAGACCCCAGCATCAAGTGCTTACGTAATAGGATATCTTCTCCAGGGGTCCTAAATAGCTGGGGATTCCGAGCACCAGCTGTCTTTCGTATCTGCTGAGCCATCGTGGAGGCAGTTCCTGAGCACCAATCTCCAAATTTCTCGGTAAGGCGTGCGCAGTCGAAGATCTTGGGCTCTTCTCCAGCGTTGGTCCGACTGATGGGCAGGACAGTCTCAAGTTGAGAACAAGTCTGACCCAACGCCTTCTTGCATTCCTCCCAGCCCATCTCGACTTTGGGGCTGGCGGGAAGATGACTGCCGTAGTACTCGTCTTCTTCCACTTCTGGTCCAAGCTCTCGGACCAGGACAAGCCAAAGAGCCCTGTTTCGGTCTCCAAGGTCGACGACAACAACGAACTGTGTGGTGGTCCATCCTTTGGGACATTCTCCCAGGGTATTTATGGGCATAGAAGACAACCCTTGAGGAACGAGAGGGCGGGCAAGAACGAAAACTTCATCTGGTGTCTCAAAGTCTTGAGACTAATCGAGCGCGATGCCGTTGCTGTCAAGTTCTTCAAAGTCACAAAAGCTTTCAATGAAGGCATTCTCGCCTGCATCGCCCATGCCCATGTGGTTCTCAACGTTGTTACACATCCTCTCTTCACACGCCAGCTCCCGTATGGCCACGTTGTCCCCGGGCACTTCCTCCAGCTGTGGCCCCATGCACTTATCAGGCAAGATGGCGAGTGGATGCCGGTGGCCAGCTGCGAGGCCCAGGGGTATCGTGGTATGAAGGCGTATGTTTTTCTTCATGTCTCGGACGGTCTCGATATCTTTGAGGCTCAGGTTCGTCCAGTCAAGTCTGGTAACCGCCTCCATGAGTTGTTGAATAGCTTCATCAGCTGCATTGTGGGATACGAACTCCGAGCTCCCAAGCAGCTGATTCCCGGACTGGCTGACACCCTCTGGCTCACAGGCGAAATGGACATGGCGGGTGTTGGGATTAACAAGCGGCTGCGTGCTCCGTGGAGGTGTGAGTTCCCTAGGCGTGCTGTCAATGACAGGAATAGCCATTTTTAATAGTATTCTTTTGGGTCAGAACGTGGATGGACTGGTGCAGCTGCTCGTTCAAGGGGGTGGACTGTGGCTTGGGTTAAGTGGAAATCAACCCAAGGGGCCCTTTTATGCTGTTTGGAATGTATTCACATTATGAAGTGCAAGAATCTACCTTCCTCAGATACTAGGCATGGAAGTATACCGAAAGCTAGAGGCAGGTACAGAATCAAGATCAAAGAATCCAAAATGATCTTTTGTTTCTGAAGCTTAGCCTTCTGAAACTGTAACCGAGGCCTACACTGGCAGGCACAAATTGTAAAGTGCTGATTCACTCCGTGAGTTTAAGCCTTTTTCCGCTCGCATCTAGTGCCTCAGGCACAGTGACTTGCAGGCACTGGAACAAAGGCAAATGCAAGGACAACACAAGGCTTCTAACCAACGTGAAAAAGAACACTGCAAAGCTGACATCTTCGCTGTTCTTCAAGGTCTTATTGGAATCTAATTGGCCAAGAACTTAGGCGAATGTCAAAGTAAAAATGGTACCTTCCAACTCTAGGGATTTCACATACTCCATATGTCGAGTATCTAGTACGAGAAAGTTAAGCATATATTTCGATGCAAGCAAGTATTTACGATGAATCTCTTAGGCAAAAGCCTTTCAAATAAAGACTTATTCAGGCTCAGCACTAGCCAAGTGCATTGTGTAACTTGCCTCGCCAAAACAAGGTTTCACGGTCACAAGCTTGCCACAGCAGCTGGCCGTTGCAGGAGCCGAACAACACCATCTGTGTTCAAGGCATCATGTGATTCCCGCGAGGCATATTGCTCCCCAAATCTTGATTCCAAAAGATATGGCCCAAGCCCCAAGTATATCACATCGGCGGCAGGGATTCGGTAATATCAGCTCAAATCTTGGGCAGACCAGTTCCGAAAGGTGTCAGGCCCCCGCGGGCGCGTCACACGACCGCCGAGTGAGTAAACTCTGGGGAGTTGAGAAGATGACCACTCATAGCCATGAGGTGGTGATACCGATAAAGTTTCGGCCTCGGTGATTTTCAGGCCAAGTTCAACGACCGAGGTCAACTCGGGGCATGCCCATCTGGGGCCTGGGGAAGATACCCGGTGTGGCCACGTCGCATGGCCCGATGAAAGATACACGGTGGTGAGTTCTCGAGGATCCGCCGATGGACTTCTAGCGTGCCCCGGATCCATCGTGGGATCCCGCGAACGATGGCCAGCGCTGGCTGTGGGCTCGACACCGCACTGCCTAGTGGATCTGAAAATCCTCTTGGCAGTGTGACAACGTCTTGCTCTTCTCATTGGACCTGTTAATACGGCCGTAAGATCCGACTCAAGACGTGCCGAAACCCATCGGGCGGTGGGCCATTGGGCAGTCGCAGTGTGCCATGTCCGGTCAACGCTTAGCTTCCGCTGTCAAGAGGACCGGCCCGCGACGCAAGTAGTTGCGATGGGAGCACGCGAGCAGGAATTAGCCTGGTAGTACGTCAGAAACACATGGCTCCCAGGGTCTGGATTGTTCAATTGGAAACACTGGTACCACTATATTCTGCATGAGAGATGCGCCGGTGAAGATGCGCCGGGCGGAAAGTTGAGTCTTGTGGCCGCTGGTCTCGCCCGAAAGTCGTCGGGAAACGGTCAGAAGGGCCCCAGTCCAGCATTGGGCATGTGCGCCCAGATCGTACGATTCCGCGGGTGCCAGTGTGAGGAATCATGCGATGGGGAGGTCTAGACTGGATGAAAGACTCCGAAAGGTGTCGGCTGCAATGCTTTGGATTTTGTATAATGCTGTGTGGTGCTGCTGTTGTACTTCCGCACCGTTTCCAGTTCTCCGTTTCCAGTTCTCCGTTTCCAGTTCTCCGCTTCGCATTATCGGCTTCCATCAAAAACAGAATTTCACTAGAAAAAAATGAGAAGAAATGGAAAGATGCATAGGATGGAGGGCAATAACAGGATCCAACATGCCGAAAAGGAAGAATACGGCAGCAAAAGGGTGGTATGCAGGCCCTAAAAAAGTGGCAAAAATGATGAGACTGGGACTTGAACCCAGGAGGATTGCTCCACCAGGATTATACGTTGTTAAGTTTAACCTTAACCTGGCGCCATAACCTTCGTGGGAATTAGCGTTTAATTAATATTCACGAATCGCAATGGTGTTGCTTACCGACTCGGCCATCTCACCGCTTGATGCACAGCGTTCCATTTGTAATATTATATTTGTCAAGTAAAACACTGGGGTAGTGGTGAGAGTGGGCCGGCGCACCACCATGGTCCCCACAAAGGAGTGGGGAAAGCCCTCGGCCATTTCAACAAGGTTGCAAAACATTTCGCCGCCACACCAATTCTGATCTAAAATTGGCCCAGTATATGAAAAGGGCGCCATGGTGGTTTCAATCATGCTTCATGCCAAGCAACCTCTGTGATTGAATGTTTTCTTCCAGTAACCAGGAGCACCACGCAAGTCTCGGGTGTCGGGGTGGTGTGCTCTCACCCAGGCCCAAAAATTTGGCCACCATTTATTCCGCGGAACGCCTGACAAGCTCGAGCTCGCCACAGCACAAGAGGCGTTCTTGAGTGCACTCTAACCCAAGATTCCATCAGATTGAAATCCACCCACAATCTCGAAAGTAATCATCTCGCTTCCAACCCGGGTGTCTGTCTCAACAAGATTAAGGAGCAGCTCTAGGAGTCAACCAGAGAAATCGTACTGCAGGACTGACCAGAGAGGTGCATGACCATACAGAGCCTCGGTTAGGTAGATGGGTACCAACCCGTGTGACCAGCAGATCGGCCGACGGCCGCCCAGGCGCACAGACTTTCTGCAGCCACAAGGCGCTTCGGTTCTCAAAGCTCCAGGCGATTGGAAGCGGTTTCCCTTGCTTTGTTCCCAGCCAGGTGAGATCTGACGCAGAATCCTGGGATGTTGAGTAAGACTAGAGTGCATTGCCTCTCATGGTCCCTCAGATGCCATTGGACATGGAGAGTGGCGTCTCAACAGCGCGAGATCCTGCTGCTCGCGAGCCTCGGCCAAAATGCTCAGATCACCATGAGAGAGCTACCTCAAGGGTCCGGACCCAACCGGCTCAGAACATCAAAATGAGAAATCATCGGTCTCACACAGCTGTGCATTTTACCTCTGAGTATGGCCGTCCTCACCTGTTTTGATGTCTAAGACTGACCCGGCGCCTCTCCATGGGCCACCGGACTTCAGGAAAGCCTGTACAGCTATTTTGGTTCGCGAAGTACGTAAAACAGCACAATGGCCTACCGGATGCTGACATACCTTTAGGGCGCAGCCTTTGACACTGCGGCACTTGCGTGTCTGTCAGTTTCCAACTAGAGCAGGGATCAAATTGGCGCGAGGCAAGCCAGCTTGAGTTGGAACATGCAACATGCGATCACGCAGTCAAGGACACTCGATGTTCCGCTCGCTATTCACAATCGATGTCTGTCACAGTGCGAAATGGAGCATTGCACGGGGAAAGGGCAACCGCCCAGGTCAATTTATTCTTTTTTTTAAAAAAAAAAAAAAAGCAAAAGCAAAAAAGCAAAACCACGGTCGTCGTCATCGTCGTCGTCGTCGTCCTCGCCCTATAGAATTGTCAGCTGAAGGCACACAATAGCAGAAGGGTTCACTTACATTCCACCTCCATGGTGGAGGAGGTGGTGGTGCTGGCGGCTTCCGCCGCGCCGCCGCCCTCGCCCTCGCCCTCGCCCTCGTCCTTGTCCTTGTCCTTGTCCTTATCTTTGTCCTTGTAGGGAAATCTCTGGGTACAAGAAGGTCGTCCGTCGAGGAGGCGTCTCCGTCGAAGAGGCGTCCGTCGAGGAGGCGTCCGTCGAGGAGGCGTCCATCGAGGAGGCGTCCATCGAGGAGGCGTCCATCGCGGATGTGAACCCCGATCAGGTAACCCCGGCGCACAGCTGTGGATGGTATTGCACAACCAGGAGCTCAACGTGAAATGGGACGGGCAACTCACGTTGGTCGACATGATCTACTAAAACTTGAGGTCAGTTACTGCTTCTTTCTTAAGCAATAGGGAAGAGGGAATACTCACAACTTTGGAAATAATTATTTGTATCTTGAACTAGAGCACCAAAGAATGTCAGCAAAGGTTGTTCACAGGCTATGGGCCAAGGTTCAAAATGCTCGTCAAGATCCAAGGAGCCACTTGGCACCAGAGCAGCTCAACAGGGGCACATGTCGAGGATGGACGGGCATGGATCATTGGGAGGGGAGTGAACAGGACATGGGGATTGGAGCGAGATCAGGGAGAGAGAACGCGCGGTAGATGATGTGGTCACGTACAAATCTGTCGAGCTGGTGTTGGAGGGAAGAGAGAGGGAAAGGGCGACGTCCCCAGCGTCGCAGCAAGGCATACACCACGGAGTGAGCTCGGCTTAGTCACCATATCAACGGTCAACCGTTCTCCCAACGGAGACCACCTACATCACTTTCTACGTCTTATTCCAACCCTGTGCTCTTCGAAGATCATATGTTAAATTCCTATGTTTGTCTGTGGCGCCTAGAGAATGACCACCTTCGTTCGCTCAAGCGATCCCAAAGTAGCCACAGATATCCTCATCTCCATGTACTTCCAAAACGGAGATGGGCAGCGTTTTACGGAGCTTGACAACGTTATAAGCTCCTGATACGCGCTGATGAATCTCGTTGTTCTTTCCCCAGCAGGGCCCAAAAACTCCATCCAAGACAATCTCGAGATGGACGTTTGGAGCTTCATATGGCCTTGGCATTGTCGAGCATTCGTGGAAAACAAGTCTGGATGTACACAAAGTCATTTCGGCTGGTACACACAGGACAGACACTCCCTCCAATGTTCTGCTCAGTAGAAGCAAGTAGTGGGCCTGCTGTCTCCCAAATAGCTACCTGGGTACCTACCTGAATATTCATCTCTTGCGCTGAGCAGCTCCTGGACCTGGAACAGTCTCAAGATTGAGCTGAAGTTGAGGTGGGGTGGGCCTATAGGTGAGCATCAGTGAGCGTGGCTGGGCTCGGTTAGACTTGCCCCTGCAGCCTGTCGCCAGGTGTGTGGCAAGGTCCTTTTCTTTGGCTGCACCACCAGGTGCGTGGACTCCAGGGACAGAGGTCCGGTCTTGGGGCTACACCGCCAGGTGTAGAGACTGATTGCAGCTCTTTTTCTTTTTTATAAAAAAAAATGGTATTGTGATCGGACTGAAAACGAAACCAACTAGGGTATAATAGCCTCATCCTCTGCATTATAATCCGTGATTTTCTTACCAAGATTAACCAGCTCATTAAATTCCTTTAAACTCAAACAGGCTCCAAGAATATCATTAATTCCCTCCTTCTTCTCAAAATCCTTAAGATCCTCATCCTTTAAATACTCTAATATGGCATCAGCAGCACTACGCATAACCGCTTGAGATATACCGCCTACTTTCTTAGCCACAATGATTAATATTAAGTTAAAAGTTGCTCGTGTTGCTTGGGTCCGCGGTTGGTATCTAAGACCCTCAGCTAGAGTCTCTGTACCAGAAAGAATGCCGCCACTTTTTAACAGTGGTTGGGATAAAGATTGGTCATCCATTTTAATCTATCTATTAACGTTAGAAGTGTATAGTTATATTGTGGTTATGGTTTCTTCAGGCTTACCGTGGTAAAGGCTTCTTTGGGAGATTGAAGACTAGTGAAAACGAGCCACCCAAAATGCAATAGGACGGCCGGTTCTGCCAGAGCCCTCTAGAAAGAAGAGGAGCCTCCGACGCGGAAGAGGATATCGAGGGGAATAGAGGATCAGCGGTTGCCGTACCTTGATGGTGCCGTGGAAGCAGTCTGTCCGATTAGCTGTTGATGCGCTCGGTGGCCGCGTGAACTTGATCGAATGGATTGCAAGTGTTGTTGGTCTTGGTGGAAGGCCGAATAAGTGTTTCTGCAAAGTCTTGCGTTTCAGTTGGAGAAGGTCGTGATGGTTGTTCGATTGCAGGGGACGAATCATCAGTCCGGAAGACCGCAGCCTTTTCATGTTGCCCATTTCGAGCAATTTGAAGGCTTCGAGTCACACGGCGAATTCGTCTGCACATGGTTCTTGACGGTGTCGAACTAGGTTGCTGATGGCTAGAGATGGCTTCGAACTTGACGGCCATGGCCTGATACTAGGACTTTTGGTGCGGAATAGTAGTTTCTGGTTCAACACTAGCAAAAGTAGTAACTGAATGGTCATTGTTCAAATCCTACATCATGATTTAATTGTCTAGTCTGCCGCCGGTCTTTCTGCGTCGCGTGCTGCTACGAAAACAACAAAACTGCGGCGCAGTTGTCCCGGCGTCCAGGGGGCATTCGGCATCCTTTAATATACAAAGGACACCCTATCTGCAAATAACTAGGGAAGAAAATAAATAAGAGATAAAAAGGTGGTTAGGTCTTAGTTTCAGACTATTTAAAAGAATAGACTTACTTATCTAGAACACCGCGAAAAGGTGCCTAACCATACGTTCTAGGCTGCAATTAGCACTTACTAAATAGCAGGGCCTCCACTAAAGTCACTCGAGAGAAACTTCTCAGGCCTTTTTAAGTGCATGTGCTCACGTGCTGTGTACGCTAAGGATAGAAGAAATATTTGCTTACCGGATCAACCAAGGTTGCCGTCCAGGGCGGCGGTGGCGGCACGCACGCGGGCCAGGGCGGCGCGCTCGCGGGCGCGGGCGTTGGCGAGGCGGCGCGCGGCGCGGGCGCGCTAGGCGGCGTCGGCGTCGGCGTTGGCGTCGGCGAGGGCGCGGGCGGCGCGGGCGGTGGCGCGGCGGAGGCGGGCGAGGTGGTAGCCCTCGGCGAGGGCGAGGGCGTGGGCGCGGGCGCGGGCACGGGCGCGGGCGCGGGCGACGGCGACGATGATGGCGGCGCGGCGGGCGACGCGGGCGGCGCGGGCACGGGCGAGGGCGCGGGCGAGGGGAGAGCAGGCAGAGGGGGCGGGGTCCCTGTAAATTTTAACAATCAGCCGAAGGCTGACAGGTCCGGGCTGATCTCGTCGATGAGCGTCCCCACGCGCTGGCCGATGAGCGCGACGTCCGCGTCCCAGTCAAACGAGTTCACGTCGTAGGAAAGGTCGTTAAAGACCACGTTCTGCAGAATCAACGCGGTGAAGGAGTTGAACAGGGAGCCGGACGTCTGCTGGATGAGCTCGTTCTCGCTGCCGAACGTGAAGCCCGGGTAGAGGCTGTGCCCCGTGGAGTTGCGCGGGCCGTCGTAGATCTTCTGGAAGGCGGCGACCTGGGACGCGGAGAGGCACTCGGTCGAGTTGGCTGCGGCTGGGTCGCACTGCAGAGTGGTGACATGCCTGATACAAAGCCGGATTCAGAGAGGAATCAAGGGCTTTGAGAACTCACATCTATTGTTGTTGTTGTTGCTACTGCTGCTGCTATTTTGCTGCTGCTGCTGTTGTTGGTAGAAGAGGAGAGACGGACGAGGAGAGACGGACGAGAAACGAGTTGAGGATAAGTACTCCATCTAGAAGATCGGAGGTTCCTTCCTAGGTGTTCTAGATTAAAGATAACATAGATGGGAAATGACTACCCTTGGGTATAAAGTTTAAAGCATAGGAAAGTGTTTTCAGGACTTAATGAGACAAGTAGAAAGGACTACTTACGAATGGGCAAATATGAAAGAGTTGATGCAGGAGCTACCATCTGTGAAGGGAAGCGTGAAGTAAGGACATATCACGCTGCCAGGAACCCGGCCAGACGCTGCCGGCAGGCTGCCATGAACCGGGCCTCTTACACCGCCCGCGAATGACCATTGATCTGGCGGCGGTGGCCGGAATCCTGGCGCCTGGCTTGTGGTGACGGTTGCGTAAAGTTGATCGATTTTGAGGATGAGGACAAGTTGGCGCTGGTAGGTGCTGGGGTCAGAGGGGTAGTCGAGGTGATTTATTCACTGAGCGTCACTGAGCATCACTGAGCACGGGTGAGGTGTGGGCGGATCACTGACTAACCTCAGCTGTTTGGGACACGACGGGAGCAAATCCACGCAAGACTACCTAGGTAGGTATGCTCCCATGAACACAGTCTGGAACTGGAACTAGGTGCCTATCTCATGAAATTCAACGATCTGGGCTCAGGAGAGCTCCCACACGTCTTGAATTCCCTATTTGATCGTCTACAGTACCTAGGTAGCCATTGCAATCCAGTTCCATGCCAGTGTAAGGCAGGTATGGTGCAGTTGGCCCCTGGGAGCTTACCAGACATGTGCAGACACCTGTCCTTGACGGCGGACAGCAACATCACGGCGGAACGCCGTGTGCAGTATCTGTTGCTGTATAACTCTGATATATGTGACACAACTTTGAGCCATCTTATTCTGTCATTAGCAGACGCACAAGGCCAATTCTGAACCCAAGAGTTCGTGAACATGCATTCTGAGTGTGTTGCTCCGCTGAGGAAGGTGTGCCCCTTCCTGATTGGGAAGTGGGCTGCGTACCTGCCCACGATGAGAGTGCCTTCCCAACCTGACATGAGAAGGCAAGAGCGCAGGCTCTGTACCCCAGATCTCGAGAGCCCTTGGAAATCTGGTCTTCCTTTGATGTTCTCCCACACCCGCCAGCAGCCATCAAGAGCCATTGATTGTTGAAAACTCTCACAATAATTGATTTGTCTTGATAATGTCTTCCTCTCTCTTGTTCAACGACTTCCGGCTTGACTGCCCCCCTGAGTTGCTTGCAACGATGGGCGAGGCGGCCAAGGCGAACTTGGATCGTTGTTCTGGGGTGAGTTGGACACCAACCCGCCAGGTCACCCTTTGTACAGACACGGATCGCGTTCTCTCGGATATTCCTGAGTCTTCCAGCCCACTTCACTTGCACATATGCATGCCATTGCATGGCTCCAGAGAAAAAGAAGTCAGAAACATGGCTGCCGTCGTCGTCGTTTGGAGCTGCTCCTGCATTCCAATGTCATCTCGTCCCTGTTGCACGCAGTCCCCATTCCGGTGATCAGTACCTTGTCCCCGAGTCTCATTCTTCGATTTCGTGGTGTTGGTTATCATGCAACGTTTTGTGTCTGTCGAGAACTGCATGCTCGTGTATGGTTGTGTGGTGCGTTGGTGATTGTGTGCCTGTGCCTCTTCGTCTGTTGCAGTTCGTCTCAACCTTATCCAGCACTTCTCTTGTCTCAAAATGCCATCTCAGCTTCCGAAATCGTGGCCATGTCTCCCAGTTCACTGTGCGTCGTATATATGCTAACCAATAATGATGGCAGCTGCTCTCACAGCTCAGCAAAGGAGCAGGAAGCGCTGTTGACGAAACAGCAATTGAGAGTGCGTGGAAGGAGTTTCGAGCATCTCGTCAAACCAGGCGGTTCGTTCAGCTCGGAGTTGTGTCTTGTCCTGCACTACCCCAGCTATACAACCCGCCAGGTCAACGATGCTATCGTCTATGACCCGACCAACCCTAGCATCACTAGGCTTTCTCTTTCGGGCTTCAATGACCGAAATTCTCTTTGGCTTGACCAATACAGTCGCCAAAGAATGACATCTGTGAAGAAGGGGGTTCGCTTCAACCCCAGCGAGCACATTGATCCTGCTCCTCTCCAGCACCACCGTGACTGGATGGATCTCTGCCTTCGTACCTCGACTGCGAAGGTACTCGCCATCTTCGGATCAGAAGATAAAGAGTACTTGACCAAGAAGTGGGGACAGCGGTTGGAGGAGTTGAAGTTGTGGGGCGCCTACCAAGGCTTCTCTCTCTGGATACTGCGTCCCGAAGGTGACAACACTCGGGCGGAACGGCTTGTCCTGTTCCTTTGGCACCCTGAGTATGTCACAAATAGTGAGTTCTCTTCTTTCCTGGAATGATGCCGTGCCTGAGCCCGTGATTGTGGACTGACATCGTGCTTGAAGAACAAAGTATTGAGATTGGGCGGAAGTACGACCTGGTCCTGCGCCTCGCGGCTCAGCTTGCAGGGATTACCCGCACCCCTGGACAGATCTCTCACAACAAGGACGACTGCACCAACAACGGATCTCTCAAGAGAGCCGCCGAGGAAGAAGATGGTGAAGCTAAATTCGCCATCATCAAGCGTCGTAAGATGGGCAAGAATAAGGACCTCGAGACTGGCGACGAATCTAGACAGGTCGTCTGCCGGTCGTGCAGGTATACTCGACTCGACGTCGAGCCCCTTATCATCCCGCGGACGAAACACACGGCCGCAGGTATATGTCACCTTATGCTCACTGCCCATCCTGTAAAAAGGACAGGCAGTTCATCCCAATGGATGACACTCCTTTCGTCACCCAGGACGATTTGAAGCGGAACAACAAGAGTGACAACATCCAGAGGAGAACCAACAAGGCTCGCAAAGTGCAGGGCTCAGTTGACTCCACTGAAGAGTAGGTTTGAGGTTCGCGTACGCTCTTCCCACTGGTTGAAGGTGTTGCTTTTGCGTACGCTCTTCCTGGTGGTCGAAGGTGTTGCTTCTCTGGCGCTTGGTTGAGGAGTGTTGCATCTGCTTACGCTCCTCCCGTTGCTTGAGTGACAGAACCACACAACTTAAGACAAGCGTCGTCACCTCTCATTACTTTCACTAGTAATGATTGAGGAGATGGCGAATTGGCACCTTCGGCCGGGGTGAGCTGGCTGAGGGGATGGGTGTCCTTCGGGGCACCCGCGCCGCGCTTCGCAAATCAGGGGGTTTTGTTTCCTTCGGGAAATGCTGTTTCCTTCGGGGGCGGCTGTTTCCTTCGGGAAACTTTCTTGACGGAGTGCTCTGGGGCATGGGCATCGACAAATAGCTCCAATCGGCAAGCACCACTTGGTCAACCACACAACAAACCACAGCAGCTGCCACAGCATCAACAAATAGCTCAAATCGGCAAGCACCACCTTGTCGCCCGCACAACAAGCCATGAGGGCCACCAGAGGCGATGCCGCGCTTCGCAAATCAGAGCGGGCGGTTTTCCCTGCCTTCACGAGCGACAGCTGTCACCGAGGCGAGCTTGACCCTGTGCCACCATGGTGCTCTCCTTGTCCAACGGAGCACCTGGGACCAGATTACTCTCGCGCCAACCTGCACCTCAATCGATACCTTTCCAGCTCAAGTGCCTGTGGGTGACCGGCAGATCTTCAAAACAGGCTTGTCGCCTTCAGTGCTCCAAAAGCATTGATGCCGAAGCCGAGTCCAAGGTGAAGCTCTGCAGAGATCCACATCGCGGCTGTGAACAATACAGTAAGCAATGCGGTTTCTTCCAATGTTCGAGAGGCTGACGAGTCAAGTAAGCAGACACACAAGAGACAACTTCATGCGCTCGACTTACCATCTTTGCGATCCATCGAATCGAAAAGTCAATCCAAACGCAACAGCCCCGGAAAGCACACTCCGTACCAGCATTGGAAAGATGATGGCCACTATCAGCTCACCCTGATTGTGGTCCGTTGCCTAACCAATGACTGATGGAGCGGTCTCAAAACCTGAAGAGAACAACAGTTTTGACCTGATCGGAAGCAGCCGTTCAGCCACCTCCTCCTGCCAACAGCAACCTCCTACCAACAGAAACCAACAACAACCTCCTGCCACCAGCATCACACAGCCAACAACAATCTACCTCTTTGATGAATTTCGGATAACAGCACTTCCTGATAACAACACCATGGAGCCACAGACAAGGCCCTGGTGCCAGCACTTTTCACCTGATCTATCACTTTCCAACCAGCTATCACAACCCTGCCCCAGGCGCATAAAAGGAATACAGCGCAATGCTGGTCATCCGAAGAAAGACAATCGAGGAGATCGCGCTCCCGAAGCGGCCATTCACAACGCGGCAGCGTTATTTCAAAACTTCGCACATACTTTTCCAACCCCATTGATATGGGCTTTGCCATTGGCACCGGCTATTCGAGGAGGCAGAGACTTCCAGATGATTACTGGTGCGCTCTGCAGTCAATATGCTCTCCTTGTGGAACAGCGATCACAAAACTCCTCTTCCTATCAAGACGCTGCGGTCGAATCCACGAGCAAGAATGCAATACCTCGACAGACTTGAAGAACAATGGCTCAGGAAATGCTGCACGCTCGTATCGGCGAACTACCTCCCGGCCACAGAGTATTCTCAATACAACCAGTCCAGTTCACCAGACCCGCCGACCTCTGCCCAACCTCCAGATCAGTGCTGCGGAGCTCAGTCTGAGAGGACTGCCTGCCTGTTCTTAACTAATCAAACAAACCAGACACCACACCGCCGACCGCCGACCGCTGACCACCGATCACCTTCGTCTGTCTTCCCGACTACAAGTCGCGGCCACCCAATAACTGGCGACAGACTGCTTTGTCGTTGAGAGGACTATCGAATACCAACAAAGCTTTATACATTTCATCTCAGCAATCCTTGGGCGATCAGTGCTAGTATCATTTAGCCTGCACCTCATCGTACTTTCTAAACAGAAGGTTCGAAAAACGCACACCTCCGCCGACATTCTTGTCCAACGTCCATCAGCTCCGCAGTCTGCATCCCACAATCGCGACCAGACTTGAGATCGCGGGATTGTTGCGTGTCGCAGCATTGTAGTGGGCTGTCATTGAAGCGGCACCAGGTGATTATGCACTAAAGGAAGATGATTTCGTAGAATACAGGAGAAGCAGCTGACAAGGCGGCGGTAGCAGATACCAGCGCAGCAGAGAAACTCCAACCAAAACCTGTTCCCCCCTTTCTCTTACTGCTCAGCTCGTCACAACTCGGAACCTTTGGTAATTAACCAAAGAAAGCAAAGAACGAGGGGCAATCGGAAGCTCTGATAACAGACACCACTAATACGACTTTCGGAGCTTCCACGCCATTCCACCTTCATCCTATTTATTCGGGGTGTGGAAGGCTGGAGAAATAATCTGGCAAGCTGGTGAAGGTCCAATCCTTACCGTGGTGGAATTAGCTTCCACCTAATCTGCCAGCCTGATACTCCAACTCAAAATCCGTCCATCCCACTCGCCTGTCGACCAAACCATCATGGCGTACCGAACGCGCCTGCTCGGCGAGCCTTTCGCCGTCTGACCTTCGGGGTGGAAGGAACAACTTGTATCGACTGGAAATACAACGATCGTACCCAGTTCGACGGTCAGAAGCCCAATCAACATCATCGAAACCTCGCCTATGGAGAATCACATACGACGTTTTAAAAAGTATCCTTCTTCTCAACTTATCTGCGCTTTCTTAAGCCAGATAAGTATCCTCGAAACATTATTTGACACACTACCAACGGACCCAGCTGGACCTAGGTACACATAGGTACGATTCCTTCAGTGAGTCTGGTTGAGCAACAAGCACGACACCGCGTTCGAGGTAGCCACCAACTGACATCGCTCATTACCAGGACCCCACACCGGTTTTCAGATTGCCTGCCACCCTTACAAGGAGCATTACTGCTCAACTCTGCCGGCATATGGACTCAAGCAAGATCATGGTTGTCTCTTTCATGCCAACCGATAGCGCGAATATCGACCTCACATTCGATCATACCAGCCTGATCCATAGTATCTGCAGCTCCAAGCAAATCACGGGTTCCATGCTGTCGTCGGCACGCTCCACTTGACTCTAACACGAACATAACCAAGAGATCCATCGAGCCCAGCATGACCATGGCAGCACACAATCCACGAGATCCTACGTCACCAAGCTTCATTTTAATGGCCTTGTAAAAGACATGGATCAGGAATTCAAAAAATTGCTCAGTTTCATCATCCGTATAAGAGCTGACACGATCGGTTTCAACCCTGACTTCAAGTCTGGAACTTTCGCAGTGCTCAAGGCACATCAGAAACACAGGATAATAGTGGGCGTATGCATGAATGGACGTGAAACGTGCGAAGCACAAAGGACGAGAGAGCCAACATACACGTGGTGTGTGTCGGAGAAAAAGGAACGATTTCAGCGCAAAGATAAGAGAAGGCAAAGAGGGAAGAAAGAGTGCCTCGAGAAATTGAGGAAGAGAGGTCAATAATTGCGCCACATTTTCCAGGGGGAATGGTGTGGAAGTATCGGTGAGGGAGCATTGGTGTTATGGATGGGAGGTTATGTGGGAAGGGAGGTTGGGCTTGACGCAGGGGAGATCAGGAGTATGGGAACCTCAATGGGACCAGGGTCTGAAGGGAGAGGGGAGTAAAGGCGGGAAAGGGAGAGTCTTTCGACACATCTGACAACAACACTGCACCCACGGGCTTCGCGGCATCGGGTCCGCCAACCAGCAGCGATTACCAAGCCCTCGAACCACAAACCATCCAGCCATGATTTCACACGACTTTGCTGCCGCCACCACGACGTCGCTATCGCACAGAGCCACCCCGAAGCCCTTGGTGCTCAGCCCAAAGTCAACCTCACAGGGCCGACTCCATGCCCATCTTTATTTTTCTCGTGAGCAGCTCTACCTAATGATGGCACGCCAATTCGCCAGAACTGACATTTTCAGAGCACAACCAACCAGCAAGACCACTCACTAATCAACACAACTTTTCATCCTCAATGCACCAGCCAAGACGACGCCATAGCGGCAGCGCTTTTGGTGGAGAGAGATCCTTCTCAGACATCACCTGCACGAACTCGCGAACTCGACTTGAGATTTGCGCGAGGCAACTGGCCCAACAAACATCTTGCTTGAAGAGATCGATTGAAGGATCTAGCAGGGGTCCACCCCCCTGCAGTCAGTTCCACAGCAGCTGAGAGAAGGCAAAATCCAGGATAGAACCTCACCTACACCTCACCTACCACAGCCTCATCTAGCAGAGCCTCACTTACCATCTACCGGAGCCTCATCTTCCACTACCAACCACCGACCAAGGACTCATCTACCATCTACTAGAGCCTTCTCTACCGGAGTCATCCATCCCAAGTATGACTCGGCTCCCAATCCCGGACACAGTCCGTCATCTCAGACACAACCCACCATTGGCTCAACACGTCGCTCCGCACGCTCCGTGTCAGCAGACCACCTATGTTCAAAGGTGCAGGCACGTCATACCAGATCTATTTCCATTGTCTCAAAGACTCCGCCAGCCTTCTTGTTTCGCCGATTCCTCCGGCCCTACCACCGCGAGGCAAGGCCCTGGACTCAGACCATATCCACGCTCTTAAACCGAGCTCAGGCTCCAGAAACATCATTTTTTTTGAGCCACGAGCAAAAGCGCGACGACTTTTCCAACTCAGACTGAAAATCTACGAGGTCTCCATATCCGATGGCGATGTCTACCGCCTGAAAAATGATATCTCGTTCAAAGGAAGAGAATCCATCCGGCGGCTCACCAAAAGAAACATCAAGCCTTCACATCTAGGACAATCTCTTGGATTGTCCCCAATTCGCTGCACCAATTGCCTCCCGAGACCAACTCTTCGAACACATTGGTCATCCTGAGTGTCTCTACAGTGGATCTCGACTAACCTCACCGTCTTTCGTTCTCTACGAACCGAAAGCCACACCCACTGCGGCTCGCCTCTCTATATCCAGCTGTTCGCATCTGGGAACAAAGCGTCGTTCCTTAGGTTTCGTTTGCGCTGCTCTCTCCTATCAGAGCCCAACATGCCTTCCTAACAGCGGCTCGTCAGTTCTGCTTCGCCAATTCTGCTTCTCGCCATTTCGCCCACCCCATCATCTGCAACCTTGGACCGCAAGAATTACACTCTCCTTTGGCCGCCTGCAAGCTTCTTGCATTCCACAGCCACAGCAAAGGGGTTGCCCTGATCGTGGCTTAAATTGTCGTCTGATTGAGGTTGATTCCCAAGAGTAGTTGAAGAGTACCATGTAATTAGTTTGTGATCACTTGATCAGGCTGCAGTACTAAAGATAGAATGTCTATGTGCACGACTGTGTCTGATAGGCAGTGGGATCGACTGCAGTGAGCAGGACACAAAGTTGAATTCAGTCTGTAGATGTCTGATATATGTAAACCGACTCGGTCATCTCACCCGTTTCTGATGATGTCTGATTCATATGTCATATTATATCGATTGTGTTGAAACACAGGGACACCATCCCGCGCCGGTGCACCACCAAGGTCCCCACAGGTTTGAAGGAGCGGGGAAAGCGGTTTTCAGCCATTCACCGGTAGGGACAAGCGCCACAAACGTTGTGGAACCTTGGGAGATAAATTGGGTGGATGGGAATAAGTGGTGTGTACTGCGGAATACAAGGAGATTCGTGCTGCTGATAGTGAGATGTATTCAGCAAACGGCGAGTGCTGTTACAGTAAGACGGGAGTGAAACGGATGCAGGGTGTCTGAATTATTAATTCGGCCTTTTGAAATTCCTGTTCCGTCCTGGGTGTCGCTAATTGTGCCCAATTCTGTGGCCGGGTACCTGAGAACGAGAACCTAGAATAGTGACCCGACACACCACTTTCTCCGGGACTTGGGCTGAGAGTATAAATACAGCAGTATGTGAGGCACCAGACCAGTGTAAACATTATCTAAAGCTGCCACCTGCCTTGGGCCATGGCGAAAGAAATCGAACATGCGCAAGGCAAAGAACTCATCGCGGACACGCTTGCCAGGAGACGCCCCGGATCTTGGCAGCAGCCCAATTCCCTGCATTTGGTATTGGAAGGACTTCGTCTACTCCGGGCTTGGTTGGAAAGTGTGAAGCATATCCTGAGGACACATCCAGCTACCAGCCCGGATACTGCGAATGCCCCGTCGGCTCCCATAGTGTAAGTGAGCGGAGACGATGAGTGTACAGAACTAGAATGGATCAGGGTCAGCTTGCTCAAGAACCTGATGTGTTTGTATTTTCGACGGGGGTTGATGCAACACTACCAACACACCCTTCCTCTTAACCTGACAGTCTCATTGATACCCTCGTCTGACAACATTAATTCTGCTTCCGTGTCCCCCAGACTATTCCATATCTGCAATACCTGAGAGATTCTAAAAAGTAGACGGTCAAACTCCGTGACAATAAGCATCTCGGCCGCATCCAGAAAAAATATAGATCCACCGATCAACGTCTGCCCTGGGTGATCCCCTCCTGCCACCGTCGGCAGGTTCATCTTGACCGGAGCCGAACTCACCCAAGAAAGGCTGTTTCCCGTGTCGATCACTGCACAAGACGGGCTTCCAAGTCCTCGCATCGTACAAGCGAATCGCGGCACCCCGCATTTCATTTCACAATATCTTGGTCTCAATCTGGCGTACCCGTCCAGCGTCGTACCCGCGCCGTATTGCATATGCCCCAGTTTTATACGCCTATGAAAGTCGACTCCATACGATAAAGTTGTCAAGGCGGCACTGGAGATGGAGCCTACTCCTGAAACGGGGTGGGATGGAACTGCGGCGATGCATGTAAGTGAACTACACTGCTTGCAGACTATGACGGCAATGAACTGACTTGACCAACCGCACCGCCGAAATGTGCATGAGCGCCAGAATCAAACGAGATGTGAACTCAGGAGCAATGACATGAAAATACTTATAAATGTTTAAATGCCAACCTCGTGAAATCTTCCCTCGCCATGTCAAGTTGTATCGACAGCCAGCTCCCAGTCATCGCAGCCCATCGGTGCGAACATTGACTCTCCACGATGCTATCCACCACGTTTGCTTTGGCTATTGGCGCCAACCTCATCGCTGCCCAGTCCGTTCCCTCCCGCCCCTCGTCTGAGCCCTTCGAAATTGTTGAGTTGCCTCTCCCGCCCGTCTCGTCGAGCACAGATGAGGGATCCTGCACATCCACCATTAATCCCCACGGCACTGGCCTACCGCCGCCGACGGCTCTGGAAAGAGTGGCAGCCCGCGCGAGCTCCGCATGCACCCAGATGATGTGGATGTCTGGAATGCGAGGGATCCCCCCGCTGATCGACCTTGTTGCCGTAACAGTCGCTGCCTCCACGCGCAACAACGGCGTAAGACGTTTGTTCCAGCCCACTTTGATCGACCGTCACGGCGACCGCGACGATTACTACGGTCAGCGGGTCAATGCGGGCGGCGATGGCAGCGACGGTGCCGTTAACGACCCCAATTGGAACGGCAGGGCGGACCCGGCCTTCTCCCTCGACGGCACAAAGATCACTTACTGGCAAGCCCTTGTTTTCTCCCCTGCTTGCGGCGGTGAAAATCCTCTCCCGTGCCCCAAGTCCACCGCCCAGGGCGGGCGCGAGTGCCGCGTAATGCTGGCCCGCCGCACCGACCGCGAGCCCACGGAGCCCGCGCCAGTGTACGATGCCGGCGACGAGATCCCCTGGGCCGCGTCCTTTCCCCCGGGCTCGACCGTGCCCGACCAGTTCGCCGTCGCGCCCGGGGAGTATACCGTGCGCGGCCGTGCCTCCGGCTTCGCCGACGTGAGCTACACGGCTGATCCCAACACCGTGAGTGGCGTCGGGAGAGCGTCAGTCAACTATACGGATTTCTCCGACGACGGGGGTCACATCCTGGATGGTCACGAGGATGTCACGGTCAAGATACTGCTGCCTGACTTCTGGACAAATGAAGTCGACTGGGTGTCTGACATTGTGCAGACGGGCGTTGTCAATGGGACCAAGAAGACGAGCCCCGGGGGCTTCCACTTGATCATCGACTCCGAGCAGAACTATTTCAACGCCACTGGGACGACGTTGACCACCATAATTGATGGGGTTGAGTACAAGCAGCCGGCTAACGGCACTTGATCGAACTGGCCATTGATGCCTGTTCTTGCTTCTATTTGAGCAACACTGCTTGAGGCGCATGCGATTTACATTCTAGTACATACTTCTAAAGAACTCATGTATTGCGTTTGGCGGCAACTATTCAACTTCGACTTGCCTTTGGCCTGTTTCCTTGATAACTCATGTCTTCATTGCCTCGATTCGCTCGATGACTCTTTTTGCGGTCCCCCGCCCCTATGCACTACTACCTTTTGCTGTCTCTTGCTGAGATCTATTGCTGCTCATTTAATGCGGTGACCGAGTTCATCGAAAAGCTAACAAGAAGAAAAGGAAAGAAATCTCGACTTACGATAGGGACTATTGCCGCCTCTTCAATTTTCACTTGTATGTTCCGCTACTTAAGTAGACAGAGCAGGTTCTGGAGCATCTCTATCTGCCAGATATCGCCAAGGATGTTTATGAGCGGGAGAGGTAACAGTACTTCGAGAAGTAAAAGCAAAGTTCAATTGCACCAGTGAGAGTATCTGTGGTCAGTGCGAGAGAGTATACACATTTCCGTTGAAAGCTCTGCAGCACCTCATCAGAAGTGGCGAGGCGGAGGTGATACTCAATTGCCGTTGTTTGCAGATGGCGGACGAGGACTTCTCTCTTCAGGAGATACTGTGAGAGGGTCCGCACCTTCTCCCGAGCATGTAGCACAGTCTACTTGGGACAACTAGTGGGCGCCCACTGCTTTGAGAGATCTTCCACCCATTCAAGATTTATCCTCACATTGCTCGCGATCTGAATGACTCGTTTGCCATGCCGCTCAGAAATCTGCGCATCTGTTGACCTGCCCTAGACGTCCAGAGCGCCGTGACCTCTCGCAGCAAACGCACCCACCAGAGCCTCGATTTCTGCCGTCTGCCTCCGAGCAAAAGCCGTGGGACAGTCGATCACACCAGGAGTGAGCGTAGCCTCCCATCCTTGCGACGCGTGTTCCCGTGTCTCCCGAATCGAGACATGGCATCCGAGACAGTCCCCCCACTGTCGTCACCCATTTCCCACGATCTAAAGCTTATGAATCCCATCGTTCCACTGCACCAATATTGTGTGCTGTGTGTTGTGGATGGTTGTCTATGCAGTATCACGAAGCGGGAGCACAATGCTCGGGATGATCCACGGGTCAAGCCGAAAAGGAAGAGGGCGGAGCCACATCTGTCAGCCGAAGACCGAAAACAATCTTGGAATATATCGCAGTATGGCCTCGTCGGCGTCTTCCAGACGATGCTATCTGGAAGAAATGCAGCGCCCGGCGACTCAGACCGCGTGGATCTACGTCTGGCCCCTGGATGCAGTGCGCCAAACCCCTGCGCCGGCGCGTCGGGATGATCGGACCCAAGGCACCGGTTCGGCGAAGGAAAAAAGTACACGGCATGCGTCCGCCGGGCTTGAGAGGACAGACGCTCCTGAACCCTGGACACCGACTTTGCTTCTCGAGATAAGCATTGCAGAGATGGTTGGACGCCCGGGCAGTCCGCATGTCAGGTCACAAATAGTTTGTGATTCTAGATGGCGCCTGTAGGGTCAAAGCAGCATTGGGGCTTCCCGTATCACGGTATCACAGATGTTGCGTCATGGTAGGGTCTCCCCCTGGTCGGGGCGAGCCCGTCAGACAAGTTCTTCTTGAATGTCTTGTGACGAGTGTGGCAGTGACCCGTGTTGTGACGGGTAGTATTGATTAGTTCAGGGGCAAGAGAAGGACACTTGAGGTGGTTTGGGTACGTATAGCGTCGGGCTGTCAGACTGTGTAGTGCAGGCGCAGGCGGCGGCGGCACTCAGCCTAAAATAGACCTCGGGAAGCTGGCCGCCCGCCTGGCCGTCCGGTTGGGGCTGGGCCTTGGATCTGGGCCTGCGGCGTCTTGGGTTGGGGTCATCGGCCCTTGAAACGGGGTGGCCTCCCGCCAGCCAGTTCAGTCGTGTTTGGTTGTTGGTGTGTTGGGGGGGATGGGTGATCTTGAAGGCATGGAATGGACCCATGGCTCCTTGAGACACCCGTGACAGAGTCGCTTTGCGAAATCTCCGTCGGTCCTGTTTGTTATTGTCGAACCAAGTCAATTCCCGCGGGCCCTGTGACTTCAGACTGTGGCTGAACCTGGGGAAGCCCCAGTAGCCGCGGAGGAAAAGAAGAAGGAAAGGAGTTCCAGAACCCTCCCTCTTCCCGCCAGCCCGCATGGCCCGCCTGGCCCGGGGTCACCTGCATGCAGCACGCCGTCGTCAGGAATTTTCAACCCCAGGATCTGAATATTCTGTCCCATCGCCAGACCGAGTCAAGACCCAAGCCTCTCAGGGCCCATTGGCAAGGGAACAGACGGAATCTGGGGTAATCTTGATACAATTGATTGGGATGATCGCGTGCTACCCCGGATTATTGGGCTTGATTTGGCAAGCAGGGGGCTTTGCCGGTGCGCGATCATGTAAAATGGGGGTAACAGAAAGCAAAATGGGGGTAAGAGAAACTCACGAGAGCGTCACTAATGCCCACCAAGGTGCCAGGGGTGTCAGCACCGGCCGGACAACAAGACAGCGGGTGGGGTCAGCCGCTGCCGGGCGACCGGTGGACAGCGGACCAGAGCCTCCCGGACAAGCCTCGAGCCCTTGGGCTCTTGGGGTCCCCTCCCCAAGCCCCATGGTTGGCGAGGCCTGAGACGCAGGCGTGCCCCAGGTTTTTACGTACAAGCCGTCAACTTTGACACATCGTCGAGGTCACGTTGCCGCGCTCTGTTACTGTATAGGGCAATGCATTTGATGCCGTTCGTATTGCGGGCGTGAGACAGGCCGGTACGCGTCTGTACATGCTGTCGAAGTCCTCCTTTTCCAAGAGATATTGGAGAGGGGGCATGTGTTGACGATGTGGGGCCCCCTGTGCTCCCATCAGTGGCGGTCAATTGTCCAACGCTGCACCTGCAGAGCAGCACCGTCCCGCTAGATACTGTGCGGCGGCGGCGGCAGAGCCCACGATATGGATGCGCCTTCTGTACTAGTAATGATGATGAGTGAGCGAGAGACGGTGCAGCCGACAAGCTTCCGCCCCTCGGGAGGGCTGTCCAACCAGTTGCCCGCCTCTGCCGACGCACGCCGACGCAGGGCATGTGGTTGTGTCAGGATTCGTCAAGTTGTGTCGTCCAAGATGGATGGGCGGTGGCACTTGATCGGTACGCCCCAAGAAAATGACAGCAGCCGTGCAGGTTTACATGTATGGGCGTGAATCGGATTTTCTGGGCTGGCTGGCTGGCGTGCTTGCTGCTCGATAAATGCTCGGAGAATCTTGCAGGACGACGCGTCCATTCCTGGCAATGATGGCAGCGGCCGGTGGGGTGCGAGCTGCGAGCGCCAGCACCAGGTCGTGATGTGTCGCTCGCTAGAGCCTCGAATAACCGTTGCTTCTGCGCAGCGAGGCCTGGCCAGCATGTGAGAATGCCGACCGTGCCCCACTATTTTCAGGTACCGGCCGTCTGTTCCCGTCAGGTACCTTGTCATGCCCTGTCCGCCCTGCCCACTCAGTTGAGGCTTTTCAGACGCAGTTGCCACGCGTAGGTTGTACCTGCCATACCTGCCAGACCTGCCATGCTACCCGATCAGGCCTAGTCGGCGTCGTCCATGTCGAGATCGGGCAGTAGGGAAGCAGGGCAATATTCGCCCAGCTTCCCCCAGCTTCTTCCCAATCAGGGTTGATGCCATTCTTGCGCAATTGCTGCTTGTTTTAGCACTGTCCCTCTGATGGCAACCTTGAAAGTCACGATGGACGAGGGTGGTGCTTGGGGCTTTGACTCATGGATTCATGGATGGGGCACGACAGCTTCGGACGAGAGATGGCTCTACCAAGCTATATAAAAGGGCGGCGGTGCCTCTTGCATTCCAGGCCTCTGCCCCGGGCGGCGAAGAGATGGTGTTTGAGCCTCGAGTACCCTCATACGTTGTCATCCATCATTGCTTCTTATTCCCTCCCATCCGTCCCGTCCCGTACCGTTGCCCCAGGCCAATCAATTCAAAAAAAAAAAAAAAGGTAACAAGACCTCCTGGACTCGCACTTCCCTCCCTGCCCAAGCCAAGCTGCCTCTGCTGCTCGGATCCTGTCGGGCGGGCGTGCCCTGCCTTATCATCCATCACTCAGCTGGGTGACACAGACCAGCTGGCGATGCCGGTGCAGCGCCAGGTCGTGTCGTGTCCCGTCGTGTTTGTGGGCCCGGCCTGTCATGGAGGAGCTGAGGGAGCTGAGCAGCTGCGCCGCCCCGTCTGCTGCTAGAGGTGTACCTAGTAAGCTGCCGGGAGCCGAGCTCAAGCGTCTGCCCCCATGCGGATAGCCAGGGCGGCCAGCGGGCGACCGGTTCCAAGCCCACACTCTCCCGAACTTGTTCTCGAATCTCTTGGATCTGAGTTTGGGCTGAGAGTGCGAGCGATAACATGGCCCCCTGTCCGTCCGTTCGAGCGCAAAGCCGGCTGACGGGGCTATTCGAGGGCCAGTCAAGCGAATGGCCCTTGACACGGATGACATCAATCCGAAATCTACCAGCAGCAGAATCACACAAACACAGGCACAGGCACAAGCACAAGCACAGCACACTCACATGCACCGTCTCAACGCACAAGCACAGTCCCTGCCACCCAGTCCCCCTTTCCCTTTGTCCGCCATTGCCTCTTGTCGCCATTCCAGACCCCAGATCCCAGATCCCAGCTTGTTGCCCTGGCGGCCCCTAATAATAACAGGGCAGCAGGCCAATACGAGTCGTATCTCGTCGATAACGCTCTCCGAATCGGGTCACTATCTCGGACCAAGGTGAATAAATATCCCAGCTGGAGGAGCTGAAGGAGCCCCAACACAGCGGTATGCTCCAGATCTCACCCCCAAGCCCTCCCGCCTCTCGTCCTTTGTCCCTTCACGGCCCTTGTCTCTGCGCACTTAACCAACCATTTACCGGACTCTGATCGAAAAGCAAAGGAGGAAGAAGAAGACAGATAGACTGCAGCTGTCGCTTCGGAGACGGGAATCAACCCCCTTTGTCGTCTAACCGTCGATCGCTTGCCCCTCCATTCCGACCGCCTTCGGGACTAGAAAGGCCTCGCCGACGAAGCAGCGGACGATAACACGGGCTCATCCCGTTTCCTCTAGGTCCAATTCGACTGCATCTTTGCACCCATCCCCTGGGAGGCACTGGGCCCTGTTCGCCCTCTAGTCACTGCGGACTGATCGCCGACCATTGACTGGATTCACTCCTTAGTCCAAACGGTACGTCCGGTTCTCCTTCCCCCCTGTCAAACTGAACATCACATATCTCTCCTTTTCGCGATGATTACACTTCCTGAGCGGTGAAGAACCGCTTGGCCTCCCGATTGTCGAGGCTACACAGAGCGAGGTGCAGGGGCCAATAATATTGCCATGTGGGCCGTATTCTCACTCCTCCACGTGTGTCGTTGTTTTGCGTGGGTTCGAGGCAGGGACCCAGGTCGAGGTACCTCCCGTACCTGCTCGTCTCGATGCCAGCGCTCCCGATAAGCAACCGCCGTCAGGAACGAGCCTGTTGCTTAACGGCCGCTCCTTCGTTTCCGTGGTGTCTCCCGTCGAAACAAAACACATCTGACCGCTCGCGGTTCCTCTGCTAAGCGGTGGGGGGCCCGCCGGCCATGGCTTGACCGGGTTGGCCGTCTGGGATCCAAATCGTCCTTTGATGCCTTTCTCTCGCTTCTGCCCCGGCCTGTTGCCATGGCCCCAACACTGCCTGAGGTCGACCTATTCTCGCAGCCGTTACAGCTTTACCACTAGCATTAAACCTAAAGTACCAAGATGGTGCTGGATGTACCGACGTACCTGGTATGGATGCACAAGTGCCATGATCCTGTCTTGCACCCACGGCCTGGATGGATCTCGCTCGGCCATCATGGCTTGGTCTGGCTGCTGCCAAAAAGGAGTAGTCACAAAGGCCGGCTGTCTACCTTGGAGCCAGTGGCCCTCTTCATATACATACTGCCTCTGCCCCCAACACCACACATCCAGCTCCCCTGATCTTTGTCTCCCCCGAAAACACATGGCCCAAGATATGAGCACTCTTCCTCAGTCGAACTTATTCTCCCTACATTTACAATCATTTTCCATCTCATATATGTACATATCACACCATGGCAGCCACAACACTACGGTCACCCATCACTCCGGGGTTGACGATCAAGACTGACTTCGAGGGCTGTGATAGATTTCCTACGTACATAGACCCTTTTGAAGATTCTGACGAAACCGTCATCGACGAGGCCAGCATGCCTTCTTCCGCATCTTCCAGCCCTCTCAACCCCAGCCAGCGGCTGGTTGAGAAGGTTAGGGAAGATCCTTCGCGACACGCTTCACCTCAGCCCACCTCAGTTCATGTTCCCACCCTCTCCAGGACAAATGGCGGCAACGGCTACAGGGTGATGCGGTCGGCCACGGTAGGGTACGTTGCCCCCGAGTTCAAGGGCAAGGCGGATCAGATGAATCAAGGTGAGCAGCCATGACTCTCGTTCCCTCATCCTGCACCGGCTCGGAACGCTGACTCGGAGCCTCAATAGTCCGGGAATTGATCCTGAAGAATGATTGGATTCCTGAGAGCCGTGTAGACGCCCAGATTGCGTGGTTCTACAATGACCTTGGTATCGACGATGTATATTTCGAGCTCGAGACTACGCCCGTTATTGCAGACCATATCACTGCCCTTTATGCCGCTAAGGTGGCCGCCTACTCTCGCAAGGACAAGCGAGAAGAGATCCGGCTGGACATGGAGGCTAGTGACCATGCCATCTACATCGACACCAGTGAGCCCGGGAAGAGTGCCGTTGGAGGCCCTCGTTTCGAAACCAGGCTGGAGAACAAGTACCTGGACGGCAACCTTACCGACCGATTTCGTGTGGAAACCTTCCGGTCTTCAGGAGTACTGGGCGACAAAGCCGATGCGAAGGCTTCCCTGCGCTGCTACTTCGTCTACCAGTGCCAATTTGTTGAGCCCAAAGCCGACCCTAACGAAACTCGCCTGGAAGTCATCAGCGACCGCATGTTCCTAGCCAAGGCCACCGACAACACGAAGCAGATGTACCGCGAGATCATTGAGGTCGCTGTCAGCCGTACGGGTCCAGTGATTGAAGTGTTTGACCATGCCGGGTCCCAGGAGAAGCGCCTCGTTGTCGCTTTCCGGTCGCGCACGGCCAGAGGCATGTTCAGCGCTCTCTCTGACCTATATCACTACTACGGAGTGACAAGTTCCCGGAAATACGTCGAACAGTTCTCAAATGGAATAACAGTCATGAGTATATACCTCAAGCCTGCGACAAACCTCGGCAGTGGGTACCCACCGTTCGACCAGTCCATCCACCAGATCATGAAGGAGACATCACTCCTGTACTGCATCCCCCAGAACAAGCTGCACCCGCTCTTCACCTCCGGTCAGCTGAGTCTGCAAGAGGCCATCTACGGTCACTGTGTCTGGGTATTTACCCAGCACTTCTTGAACCGTCTTGGGTCGGGAATACGTATCTCTTTCAGAAGCTCTCGATGTCAGGAAGACTTCGCACCAAGAGATCCTGTCCAAGCTGAAGCGCCGGTTGAGAACCGAGACTTTCACGCCCGACTATATTCTAGAGATCATCGCCTCATTCCCTCAACTTGTTCGGTCCTTGTACGCCTCATTCGCCAAGGTTCACCTCAGCGTTGGCCCAGAGTTCGAGCGACACACCATCGATCCCACACCCGCTGTGGAGATCCTGTCCGACGAGCAGTTGAAGGCTCTTATAACGAGGGAGGTCTCGACAGACCACGAGGAGATGGTCTGGAATGCCGCTCGGGCTTTCAACAACGCCATCCTGAAGACCAACTATTTCACGCCCACAAAGGTGGCTCTCAGCTTCCGTCTAGATCCATCTTTCCTGCCAGAGGTCGAATACCCCAAGCGGCTGTTTGGAATGTTCCTTGTCATCTCAGCCGAGTCCCGTGGATTCCATCTTCGATTCAAGGACGTCGCCCGCGGCGGTATCCGAATCGTGAAGTCTCGGAGCAAGGAGGCCTACGCCATTAACGCGCGCAACATGTTCGATGAGAACTACGGCCTGGCAAGTACGCAGCAGCGGAAGAACAAGGACATTCCTGAGGGCGGTTCCAAGGGCGTGGTTTTGCTAGACCCCAAACAGCAAGACAAGGCCCAGGAGGCATTCGAGAAATACATCGACAGTATCCTGGATCTGCTACTTCCGGCTGAGACCCCCGGCATCAAAAACCCTATTGTCGACCTTTACGGTAAGCAGGAGATTCTGTTCTTGGGCCCGGATGAGAACACAGCCGATCTTGTCGACTGGGCTACCGAGCACGCCCGTGCCCGCGGTGCCCCTTGGTGGAAGTCTTTCTTCACCGGCAAGTCTCCCAGACTGGGTGGTATTCCTCATGACCACTACGGTATGACAACACTCAGTGTGCGAGAGTATGTCAAGGGCATCTACCGCAAGCTGGAGCTCGACCCCGCCACCGTCAAGAAGATGCAGACCGGTGGCCCCGACGGTGACTTGGGAAGCAACGAAATCCTGCTCAGCAACGAGAAGTACACGTCGATCGTGGACGGCTCTGGAGTGCTTGTCGACCCCAACGGCCTCGACAAACAGGAGCTCATTCGCCTGGCCAAGGAGCGTGTCATGATTTCTCAGTACGATTTGTCCAAGCTGTCCAAGGACGGTTACCGAGTTCTCTGCGACGACTCGAACATCACGCTTCCCAGCGGTGAGTTTGTCGGCAACGGTACCTCTTTCCGCAACACCTATCACCTCCGCGACACCGGCTTCACCGACATGTTCGTCCCTTGCGGTGGTCGTCCGGAGTCGATCGACCTTGTCAGTGTGGCCAAGCTCATCAAGGATGGCAAGTCGACAATACCTTACATCGTCGAGGGTGCCAACCTTTTCATCACCCAGGACGCCAAGCTGCGTCTCGAAGAGGCTGGATGTGTCGTTTTCAAGGATGCAAGTGCCAACAAGGGTGGTGTAACCTCGTCCTCCCTGGAGGTCCTGGCATCGCTCAGCTTCGACGAGGAGGGCTTCGTCCAGCACATGTGCCACGATGCCAGGGGCAACGCGCCCGAATTCTATCGGGCATACGTCAGGTCGGTGCAGGACAAGATCCGCGAGAACGCCAGGCTCGAGTTCGAGGCCATCTGGCGCGAGCACGAGGAGACGGGCCTCAAGCGGTCTGTCCTGTCCGACAAGCTGTCGGTGGCCATCACCGACCTGGACGAGGAGCTGCAGCACAGCGACCTCTGGAAGAACATCGGCATCCGCAAGGCCGTCCTGCGCGACGCCCTGCCGCAGCTCCTGCTGGACAAGATCGGCCTGGACACGGTCATCGACCGGGTCCCAGACTCGTATCTCTGTGCTATTTTCAGCTCGTACCTGGCCAGCCGTTTTGTGTACGAATTCGGCAGCCAGCCGAGCCAGTTCGCCTTCTACGACTTGTGAGTACACACCAAATTTTATCTAACCCCATCCCCAAGCAACTCGAATACTGACAAGATTACAACAGCATGTCGAAGAGGATGTCCAAGATTGCGCAGGATTAGATAAAGGGGGTTCATGGCAGTACAAATTGGGATTGTTTCCTGCCAATTGGAGTTATAGGCTGGCTGCATATTTGTTGCAATTCTCTAGACTGGAAGACCGGAAGATCTCGTCCGTTGATCCATCCCGCCCTGTCAGGCGGTTTATGAACAAAGAAATGTCACTTGATGATCCTCGCATCGCGTCCTGGCCACATATCCCCTACTGCCTCTACTGAATGTCGTGACAGTTTTGAGTTCTGTGAATACGTTGCCGAGCGATACTCCCCCCCCCCCCTTTTTCCCCTGTCCCAATGGTCTCCCTGATGAAATGGCCATGCCACCGGAGCCAAGATGCGGGGACGGCACGACGAAGCTGACGTTGAAAATTTCAAATCTTAAGTCATCATGGACACACACAGTGGCTTACTTCTATACATGAAGAGTGTTCAGCTCTTGAAGCTCAGGCTTGTTGGGCCAATAGATGGGGGTGTTAGGCCGGTGGCCGGGGGTTGGGGCTCCCGGTCGTGGACCCCACAGCTGTTGCAGTGGCACTGCAGCACGGCCATCTCAGTGATTTCTCGTGCAAGGATCATGCTTTCTGACCCGTGTAATTAGAGCTCTGATCTCTTGTCTGTCCGCCTTCCTCCTCTTGACTGGTCCGGTCCGGCTGCGTTATTACTAGCCACAGGCACACAGGACGATGCTGTACAGCACAAGAGCAATGGATCCAGCGCTGTGTGCGCTGTCTTGATTCTGACAGGACCGCAGCCCAGACCGCAGCCTCTCCCTCTGCCATGGCGACAGCGAGCCTGTCCAGCTCCAATGCGCCGGAGCACGTGCAGAAGCACATCAAGCTGCTCTCGGCCAGCGTCTCGGGCAATGAGGACCGGGTCCTGGAGCTTCTCACCAGGGAGACCTGGACATCGCACGCAGACCACCATGCGCTCCGCCAGGCACTGGTCAAGATCGCAACCAAGGGCAACCTCAAGGTCCTGCGCCTGCTGCTCGAGCACGGCGCGGGCGTCCACCCCAAGAAGGATAACGAGCTGTCGCCGCTGTTCAAGGCCGCCGAGGCAGGGCACCTGGCCGTGACCGCCGAGCTGTTGGAGCGCGGCGCGGACCCCAACTGGCGCGGGAGAAACGGCCAGACGGCGCTGTTCCCAACCTGCATGCGCGGGCACAACGGCGTCGTCAAGGCGCTCCTCGACAAGGGCGCCGACGTCAACGGCGGCAGGAACCAGGACGGCAAGCCCGGTGACAAGGACGGCCGCACGCCGCTGCTCTTCCTCGCCTCGGAGAAGCGCGGCAAGTGGACGCCCGAGACCATCAAGCTCCTGCTGCAGCAGAGGGACGTCGACCTGGACCCGCGCGACGCCATCAGCCGCACGCCGCTGCACTGGACGGCCACCAACAACTACATCGACCTGGCGCGCGCCCTCCTCAGCGGCGAGTCCGGCAGGCAGGCCGACATCAACGCGTCGCAGAACCGCGGCAAGACGGCGCTCCACCTGGCCGCGGAGCACAACCAGGTCGACTTTGTCGAGCTCCTGCTGGCCTGCGGCGCGTACCAGGATGCCGTCTCGGACGGGCGGTGGACGCCGCTGCACAATGCGTGCGACAAGGGCCACGATGTGGTCGTTGCTAAGCTGCTGGCCGCTGGTGCCAATGTCAATGCTGAGCTGTCTAACCGAATGACACCTCTGCATTGGGCAGCTTTCAAGTTAGTCACTTTCAGGATCTATTGTCAAATTTACTGCGTTCGCTTGAGATGGCTTGAACCGGCCGGATGAATCTCAAAAAGGCTGCCGCGTTTCTGTCATTTCCTTTGAACTCAATAGTCATCACAACCAAGCACTCACTGACACTTCACGCATAGCGGGCATGGAAATGTCGTCAAGCTTCTTCTGGAAAGGCCTGAGACGAATATATCTATCAAAGACCAGTTCGAGCGGACTGCTCTACTCTGCGCAGCTGAACGGCACCATAAAGATCTTGTTCATCTTCTCTCGCCTTCCAGGGCTCCACACAGGTTGTCCGAAAGCGCTCGAGAAGCCTCCAAGCTGTTCTCCGCGACTGTTGTCGACTTTGGTGATTTCCAGGAAATGAAGTATCGAAAGGGCGACGTCCAGGAGAAGAAGAAGCAGTTAGTCTTCAAACCTTCGATATACGACTTGCTCTATGGCTGGGAGGACAGCGAGAAGAACGTGCCAACTGTTCCAATCCTGGCTAAGAACGTCAAGTGGGAACCGCACTTCAGATGGATTCACCTACCTGCCAACAATATTGCGTGGATGGAGACTCTCCTGGCCAAGTCTTTCGTTGAGGGCGGGTTTCGCGACGTCGAAGGCTTCAAGGCTCTGGAGAAGTGTTTTGATCAAGAGCACCGCGGGTTCCACCACCATGCGAAATTCATGCGAACATACTGTCAACGAGTTCCGAGCCGTCGTACGGAAAAGGAGGACGTTCCCCTGGGGAGCGTCTCTGAACAGGCGGCCGAGACGAAGGCGCCAACAGGGCCAGCAGTTGCGGAGTCCATCATAACAGATACCTCGGAGAACAGCACTTTGAAGTCGGAAATCAAGAAGAAGAGCAAGTCTGAGCAAATTACTGAACGCCACCCAGGGAAACAGAAGCGTAAGAAGGGCAACCCCGGCAACCCGCCTGGTACGAAAGAGGCCAAGCTGAACAGCAGGCAATCGTCTTTTGCGCCATCATTTGCATCGACGGAAGCATTCAGACAGCTTGTAAACAATGGGAAGATGGTGCTCTTTGTATGTCGAGCATGGTCCCGCCTTGAAATATTTACTTCAGCTGACACGCACAGATGCCCTTCCTCCACTACGAAACCCACGACCGGCGCCTAAGCATGGCTGAGACCATCCAGAGAGCTCGTACGGGGGGCAAGCCCCAGCGGAATGCATCGCGTGATGAACTTCTCATTCACGCATATGTCAATAACCTACACCCCAGGCGGACGCTCGACCAGTTCTTCTATCATGGCATTGACACCACACAGCGTGATAATGACCAGGTTGTTTGGAGATACTGTCAAGAGCATCGAATGGAGCCAAAGGTGTTCATGGTGGACCAGCTTTGTGAGCAATTATCCACGCCACTATCGTTTTAATGTTCACTAACCCAAGATTGCCAAGGGCTCTGGATTCTCGGTGGCGGTAGGCACCCTTCGTAACAAGTGGAGATTACGCCTCTGATCAGATTTGTTAGATACCGTGATAACTTGTTTCCCTCAACGATGGGATCAGCCCAAGCAGGATCCTCTCAACGTCATTGACGGTATAGTTGAGGAGACCAACGCAAAGACGAGGCCACCCATCCAGTCTGTATATGACCTAGCAATGGTGATTACCGGAAGGGCATCTGGCTTATTTGAGTGCGTACTCTCCGGATTGACACCCGTCATAGCGCACGAGACGTGGTCCGAGGCTCAGAGCACTCTTCAAACCGGCGCTTCACAAAAAATAAGACTGACCAAAGTTGAACAGCCGGCATCGACTAGACGAGCAACAATTTCAGTTCCTGGATATGTTTGAGAGCAGCATCGGGCATGTGACCGACCAGGAGAGCCGACTATTCAGCAAATTCCACAAAGCTTCGGAGAAGTCGACACAATGGCTCAAACGCTACCGCCGCGGTGTTAGCGGCAGCCAGCATGAGCTCTCGGATGACCTACTAAATATACACCAGGAGACGAGGCTCTTGTCAGAAATAAAAGACATACAAGATGAGTTGAATATTATAGCGGTGGTCTTGGACTCACAGATGCTCGTGCTAGAAGAATTCCACAAGAACATCGCAGACGAGCTACGCCTGGAGGGAAGCCGCAAAACAACCGACGGCGTGATCAAGGAGATCAGGAGGCGTTTCCAAGAACAAGAACGTCTGCTTGAGGTCCACCAGAACGACCTCGATCGGATGGATAGGCAAGCCCGCGGTATACATGGCAGCCTGACCAATCTGCTGGATCTGAAGCAGAAGCACTCAAACGCCCTGGAAGCGCGGTTCGCTCGGGAGCAGGCGATTATAGCCGCGAAGCAAGGTATGTGCCACTTTGTCGCGTGGGTCCCTACCAGTGATCATGTTAGCGGGCATTTAACAGGCTACAGGCCAAACCATCATGGTCTTCACTATCGTGACTATCATTTTCCTCCCGATGTCGTTCATTGCCGCTTTTTTCGCTATCAACTTTCAGGATTGGGGAAACCATCTTACCATAGGATACGTGACAAAATACATGTTCGGAATAGGACTGGCCATCTCCTTCGTCTTTGTGTCCATGGCCTTCCTCGTCCACGACGACATCTCAGACGCTTGGGAAGTCACTAATCCGGACCGCGAGAACCTATGTAGGCCATCTCGGCCGCAGGAAAGCGCCACAGGAGGGCGAGGGCGACCATCCGGACGACGTATCGACATGGACCGTGAGGGACAACAAGCCAGGTACCGCCGGCGCCGCCTCGACAGCTGCGTATCGGTCGCATGCGGACGATGTGGAGTGGAAGAGGGGGGTGCTCGACGGCGCAGATCATTATTCCATGCGGATGAGCCGCGACCGGGATCGTTATGACCACGCCCGCCTCGGGCTGTCTCCACTTCGGTACGGCGGGCGCAAGCTCAGCCTTGGCAGCGGCCACGGTGTGTCCCTGGTCCGGAGGAGTTTTGACGGTCGCCGTGGGAGGCCGAGTGGTGACCTTGAGAGGGGAAGGGATCCTTCAAGAGTACGATGAGCATCTTCGCAATACCAGCGAGACAGCGTGGGCAGACAACTGTCGCGTGCTTAGGCAGACCGCAATATAGTGCGAGGAAACCAATCAATTATGACACAAGGCTGCGGTTTCTTTTTCTTTACACGCCGTGATAGCTCGTGGCGTCTCTCGAAGTCGACCTTAACCCATGTGTAGATTTGACAATATTAGTATACCATATTACCGGGGGTGGTCTCGTGATCGTCGCCGCGTCCTCGAGTGTCCTAGTCTGTATGGTGGACGTTTGCGCCGTCGTCGCCGTCGTACCAGTAGCCCAACTCGAACTGATTGACCTCAAGATGGAATCCAGCTTCTCTGTCCAAAAACCGCCCATCTGGTGCGCCGGCCGATCAGTTTCCTGTTCCCAATTTGCCAAGTCCTCTCGCGGTGTGGTTGTCTTTCCCAGGAGCCTCCTGAAGGCCTGCTGTATTCTGTCGTAGACGGGGTGGAGCGTCGGGACACAGGCTGATATGAGCATGATCTGGGAAGAGCGTCAGTCTGACAAGAGCACACAAGTCAAACCCAGCGCTCCGGCACACCTACACATCCTTCGGTAGTCGTCCAGATTATCAGGTAAGTGATGTCGTCTTCGACATGTCAGCAAAGGACCAGTATATCGAGGCTCACCAGACTCACAGGTAAAATCGGGACTTGCATTAGTTCCAAGCAACGAGGTCTTGTAGGAGCCTGCCGCCGCCGCTCTGCGAGCAAATCGTTCTCAGCTCCCGGTTCTCAAGGGACCGACACAGTAAAGTACATGTCCCGGACTTACGAGACCCCTAGCCCAAGCATTATACTCAACGTGAACTTCCTCTTCTTGCTACACGTAAGGCGGTGGAAGACGGCCGCTGGGTACACTGCAAAGTATAGATCGAGAGCGGCGGAGAGTGCTGGACAACATATGAGCTCAACATTGTGTACCAAGCCCGGCGGAGGCGGGAGGCAGTGATTTTGCTCACCGGCAGCGAAATAGCAATATTGCACGTATTGGATCGATTGTATACATTTTGCGCCTTTGATAGTCGGGTCCCATGATGCCTGCACCGGTTTGCAGCCGAAGAAGGCCATGAAAGAAACGGCAAGGAAACCGAGCAGACACAGTATCACCGACGCCCACATGGCAGCCTTGTGGAGCTCGCCCGGCTTGAAGATCCGACACAGCAAGCTCACAACCGACATCTTGGACACGGCCAGGTTTATACTGGACCTCGCTGGTCAGTCGCAGCATCGGGGACGTCGAAAAAGGACCCGTGGGTGAACGAAAAAACTTACACGCTGAACGGCGTGCCAACAGTATACCAGAACTTGGCCCTCACCTGCTGCTCGTGCGAGAGCACGGCGACGTGGCGCCCGAGGCCGTTGAACAGGCCAGTCGTTATGAAGGACACGTTGAGCCAGACGATGGCGAGCGACAGCGCGCTCAGCCACTCCTCGGCATAGGGCCTCCTCCGCATCAGGCGCGCGCATCCGTAGGCCCTGGCGGCAACAAAGACGGTGGCAGCCGAAGCCATGGACAGAAGGACGGCCCTCGCGTGGGGTGCGCGGCTCTCTTCGATCATGCCAGGCGGCGTATTGTTGTCCATCGAAGGAGGCGATTCATCGCTGGCTGTGGAAGCCGTGGGAGGCTCGGGTGTTCTACTGCTGCTATGCGGGCTGTGCTGCCCGGGTCCCCTGCCACGGCCCAGCTCGGAGAGGGGACGCACCTCCCTGGTTCAATTACAGGCAATTGGGCAGCACTGGATCTCACAATAGACACTCAGATCATGCCATATCAGACTGGCCGGCCGTCTGTCCTCCGCGCACATGCACCCGGGTCGCAATGCCGAAAAGCCTGTAGACCTTGGCTGAGGGTTCCGTGGCCAGCCACATCGACGATAGAGATCACCCCCAGAAAGCTTAGCCGGGCGGTGTAAACTTTGGATGACTCGAGGCTCCCGTCAGGTAATCGGGACGGTGGGGGAGAAGCGCGGGTTGATGATCGCCACTGTCGTCGATCTCGGCATTTTCTCTCCCTTGTGCGGCATACTCTACCCATACACACACGGGGACGGCGGGAGCTTGTGGAAGGAGGAGGGAAGAACCTGGTTCGACACAACTTTAATGGATCTGGCATATTCTTCATATTTCTTCCCTCAGACGCCCTGCCCGGATGGTCACCGCGAACAAGATCCGATCTCTCATCGCCTTTCCACTTTGATCCTCTTTGGCTCGGCCTGGCAGTTCCTGATCAGAATTGTTCGGGGGTGAGGTGAGTTGCGGGACGCGGGCCACTGCTGTGGACACACAGCATACACCAAGCGGTCGTCGTCCAGTTGTGGGTCCTTTGCCCAAGCTCCCGTCCCCTCTTCCCCAAGCTGCTCCAAACCAAGCTTACGTCACGCCAACGACCGTGGGGTTCCATCTGCCACCTCCCAAGTCCTTCCAACCTCCAACGCCGCCGAATCACCGCATTCGAACAATTGTTGTATTCCGGTACTGGGTGTCTATTCGTCGCGTGCAACGTCCCAAACCACACCTCACTGCGAACACGCACCTGTACAGCCGAACAGTCCACCAAGAATGTCCTTTAAGCCGCACGACGAGGGCCTTGCGCCGGGCCTCATTGAGGCCCGCGAGAAGGAAATCATGGACGAAATCGACAAGCTTATCGACAAGAAGCTGTACTTTGCCCTGGCCCGGATCATCCCCAGCGACCCGAATGCTGCCCGCATCGTCGACGACCCCGAGATCAAAGAGCAGGCAGACAACCTCAAGACCGCGGTCGCTGCCGTCGTGGAGAGGCACGAGAGCATCATCTCCACGATTGCCAAGTCGAAGAAGGACAAGGACAACGATAAGCCAGTATGAGCAGGCTGTCATCTCTGGTTGAACAAATGAAGCGAGCATAGCTAGAGGCCCGACCCAGTCTCGAGAGTATCAGGGCTATGTCGCACACCGTTCTGCCGGCTTATCAGCTGGATGTGTGGCCATCGTGAATCCCACAGGGAATTAGATCTAAGCTTGGAGCAACTTTCGAACAAAGTGTCCGGGTCACCACGGACTGGCAAGGAATACACGAAGAAATGATCACGGCCACGGCGACGACAAGGGCACCGTACAAGCCGGCATTTGTACTTGGGTGTCAATATATATCGAAAATCGAATATTTTCTCTCCTCTTATTTAAAATCTGGATTAACCACTCTCGCATTATCTCACAACACTTGTCTTGCGAACTCCCGCATTGCGTGTTTATTAAAGTAGCGAGAGAATCAGTGATGAGGAGGAGATGGACCCTTGGTATGTCTGGGCGATATCTGTCTGTAAGTAGTCACCGAACCGCGGCTAAGGTGCCGAGTAACTAGGACGGTGACTTGCAGACTGGACTAGCCTGAAAGTTTTCTTGACAGCTGTCAGAAAGAAGCTTGGGCTCTGAAGGCCAGTCGACATGGGAAACTTGGCCATCAAGGTGATCATGCAGATTCTTGGTGGCGGAACACGCCGTGTGCATCATCTTACGAGTGGGTCGTCTGTCGGAGATTTCCCAGGCTGCCATATGCAAGGAAGGCAAACTACCGGGGTTTGCATATTTCGCAGGCCAGTCAGGTCCTATAAACTAACGAGTCCGAACTTCAACCTGGCTGGGGGACCCAAAATTCGAGTCATGTTATCCGCAACTCTGGAGAATAACGCAACAAACCTACTCACAATCCTCGTGCGCACAGAGCACGTTCGTGATCGTCTATGTCCGCTATTCCGGACTGCTCCACTCGACAAGAAATGATGCTCCCATGACCTGCCACCACAATGTTATTATGACGGCGGCCCTCGGCACGTTCTGGTGCACGATGGTTCCACAAAGGCCTGACCATCAGGGCCAGGAATTCCAACAGCTTGGAGGTTTGGATTGAAGAGTAATATTCCATACAGACGACGTCTGGATACTTTCTTGCCATCACGCAAAGCGGGTCACCTCCAGTTCCACATTTTTCGTCAGAATCTGCAAAACAAGCCCCGGCATCGTACCAAATAAAGCCCAGGCCTCCGGTTGTACGGATACCATATTATCAGCTGGCAGGGGTATCAACGGCGAGCAGGAGCCTCGTGGGTCACCAGTCCTGCAAGCCCCTGACAGCGAGATCCGCTCCAACAAAAGACGGAACAACGATCTGGAGTTCGCAACGACTGAACACCGATCGTGGCTCTGAGACCCTTTTTTGATGCCCACAATAGAGTCCCGTCGCATTTTTGCGCCCACGTGGTTAGCGACTCATAGACCCATATTCTCTCGAGAGAGAAAGAGCATCACCAGGGATTATCGACAGCCCGGACGGGCCCCACACGAAGCGAAACCGGGGCGAGTTTAATGACCTGGACAGGAAACCGCTGTTCGCTCGAGAGGTTGGCTCGCAAGTAAACCCTCGATTTGGATCTGGGCTGAACATATGGCTCTTGACGCGAACTGAAAGACGCCTCGTGCCCAACGCCAACACCAACGACTACGCCTCCCTTCCTCTTGCTGGCGCCGACGGGCAAGCTTTCAGGCTGGCGCGCACCGATGAGGACCGACGGAGATGGCTTCCACACCGCTCCCCTTGACCACTGCGGTTGAGGCGCATCTGATCACCAACATTATTCTGGTTGCTGTCACGGTGCTCGTGGTCGGACTACGAGTCCTGTCTCGAATTCTAGCGCGATCGCGGTTGGGAGCTGACGATTACTTGACTGCTCTTGCTCTTCCTCAAGGGGTTGCCATGTTGGTGTTGCAAGCATTTTGTAAGTCTTGACCTCCTGATGAGAAGTCTTGAAGTTCGTTGGATCTGTTGCTAACGCTGCCGTCCAGTGGCAAGATCGGGCCTTGGTTACGAATACTCAGCTATTGCTGGGAACTGGTATTTCATAAAGACGGTAAGTCTACAAATCGTCAACGAATGTGTGCCATGGATCGTGTAACAACTTACTGATGGGAATGCCACTATGACAGCTCCTTCTGCCCTTCGACATGCTCTTCGGCGCCTGTATCTTGACGACGAAACTCAGCGTCTTGTTCTTCTACAGCCGCGTATTTACCAGTCGCTCCATGCGCCTTGCGACCATAGTGACGTTAGTACTCGTTGTACTATGGGGAATCGGCAATCTCTTGCAGACTTTCCTGGTTTGCCATATAATAGATGGAACTTGGTACGACTTCTTTGGACTCTCTTTTCCCTCTTTTTGTTCAGTATCTTGCTGGCGTGAGACATGGCATTCTACAAGCGCAAGGGCCATGTATTGGGGCCAGCCAACCCACGATTCCCTCCAACAACAACCTTCCCCCCCCCCCCCCCCCAACTTTTTCGACAAACCCTGTCCAAAACAAGCACTTCCCGATAAATACAAATTCAAGAGGCAAGTTCCCACTAACCACGCAGTCAGGCATGCTACGAATCCCAATTTTTGTGGTGATCTCCAGGCGAGCTTCATTTCGATAGGGCTTTTCAACTTGGTCACCAACACTATCATCATGCTGGTACCGCTTTACACAATCTGGACTCTCAAAAAAGTCAGTGTATCGACTCGATTGGGACTCAGCACGGTCTTTCTATTGAATTTAATGTGAGTAGTCCATGTGAGCCTGGGGCCATTCATTGGCGCTGGATGCACGATGGGATAGACACTTGCTAACACCGAATTCAGGGTGACCGTGGTGTCAGTCACAAGAATCGCCCTAATGATTGGCGTCAGCGATTTAGACGAGGTCCTGAGCAGCATGATAATCGTCACGTTTATGACCGTCCTCGAGGCAAACCTGAGCATACTTTGCAACAGCCTACCCATGCTTCTTCCGCTCTACACCTATTGGAAACAGCGCCGGTTCGGCGGAGATGGGGAGGACGAGTACGTGTCGAGGCTCAGGGGGGACAGCCAGTCGCACAGGCATGAGCACCTGGTCGAAGACCTCACCAACGGGATTGCGCTGGAGACCATTTATGGGAAGGACAACGTGCACTTCACAACGACCGTCGGGCGGGGCGACTCGTCGAGACGGACGAATTACGAACAATCCGAGGACGACGGGTCGGACTCGGAGTCGACGAGGAGGCTTCCGCGCAATGCGCAGGCCATTACGATCGAGACGAAATGGTCGATAACGGAGGAGACCGTGAAATAGGTACAGCGCTACCTTGCATAATATCATTTGAACTTCAACTGTCGTATAGCTGGGAGCGTGGCTGCTTTATACTGAGCTGCCGTGATGACGGACCTCTGGTAGAGAAATACTGCATCCGGCAGGTCTGAGGAGGCTCAGGTACACATCCGCCATTTCCCTGCTCCAAGAGTTCGGATCTGCCCAAAAGCCGCAGGCTGGAGCCTTGCGTCCAGCCCCTGTCACTGTCAATGGCAGACAGAATTGACGTTCACCAAACCTTGATTCCATGCGACATCACGGCCCGATTCCACGTTCGGGCCGGTTCCGATTGACTTTCGACCGCCCACCTCGAGAAGCTTGGTAGGGCAGGGGTGGAGGATCGAGAGACGCGAACACCTCAGATGGGCCCGCACACTGTCCACGTGGTTGGGAGTCGGTCCAATGTAGCGTGGCTGCAGGACCCGCCCAGGCAAGCATCCACTGACAGCAAAGATTCACAAGGCGTCATCGTCAATCGGTTTGCGGCCTCGCCCGCCCGCCGCAAATATGGTAGCAGCCAGCCAGTCCATGTACATCAGTGGTGAAGGGGTTGGTCAATCACTGTTGTACTCATCAGCGAGCAGGAAGACTGTCAGTCTTGAAAGCAATAGGCAACCTTTCAGGCAGCTCCATCCATCCAACCTGGCTGCGTCGGTTCGAAGGAGATGCCAGTAACATATATCCCCATGCAGCCTACGATCTCATGACTAGATACGTACCTTGTGGCGAAATCGGGCAAGACCAAAGAGCCGGAGTTACTGAGTGGTACGCACGTATGACTTGCAGTACCTGTAATAAGTAGGTTGTTTGCTCTGAGAAGTAGTCGTGGAATTGGCATGCTATAGTTAAGGTCTTGTGCTGCCGGACTTGTGCTACTTGTGCACCCGCAAGGGTATTTCTGACAGGTCACCTCCGACGGCACGCTAACTGCCTTGATGCTGAGGGGTCACTGATCAGCCAAGGCGTGTCGGGGCCGGAATGATGTTGGACAAGGCTGTAAGATTCAAAATCCTACAAGCCACCCGCGTGTCTCCCTCCGCACTTCCCTCTCTCACCATGCTCCTTACACCTGTAGTGGTTTGCATTCGGCGTTTCGATTGCTAAGTCTGGCCATGGCATCACAGTAATTCGCGAGAGAAACATACCTCATCCTCTGCTGCATTGATACCTGGTCGGGACTCTCCCCCTCCTGAGTTCTGAGGCAACCATGGCCACTGTCGCGGAGTTTCTGCGTGCTGGGACATCTCTTCTCCAGGCTGTGTTGGCCAACGGCACGGAACCTAGCGATGTAGGTCGCTGGATCGAACAGTTTGAGTATTTCGTGAAAAGGCTTAACCATGAAACGACTGTCAATAATGCTGTCGGCGCGGCGGGCGCGGCGGGCGTGGAGAAGGCCTGCTGGAAGATCTCGCAGGATGTTCTTATCCGGCTGAGGCGGCTCACGGCGAAGAGGACAGCGCCCTCTTCTGACAGCATTGATCTGAGTGAGAATTTACGTAGTGTTCTCACTGAGCAGGATATCGAATCTCTGCGTACACAGCTGTTTGGCATTCAGATGCGTTGGCAAAGTCTTCGACCAGATGCCGAGACGCCGCTGTAAGCTATAGCATCCATACATGCCCACCGTATGAGGCATGGGAGTGCCAGGCTAAATAAAGCCCCATAGCAGCGATATTGCGTCCCAGCTGTCCGCCACCATCTCGGATCCTCCAGTCGGCCAGGACGAGACACTGCCGGGATCAAATGACAGCCCACAGAACAAGCCTGGGCGGGCCGCGCCAGGGCCGTCAAAAGAACTGCTCCAGGATTTCATCCTTGAAAGCCTGAGCTTCCAGTCCATGGAGAGCCGGGAGCAAGACGTCGCCAAGGCACACGGTAACTCATTCGATTGGATCTTCGACGGTGCCGGAAGCCGGGACCCGGCCAGCGATCCCAGGTTCAAAGAGTGGCTCTCGACCGACAACTTGGGAAGCATTTATTGGAGTGAGTAAACAACCTATCTTGGACTTCTTCCTGAGTTTCTCACTGACACAAACGCAGTCACCGGGAAGCCGGGATCGGGCAAGTCAACCCTCATGCGCTACCTCTCGGAGCACCGCGAGACCAGAAGATCGCTCCAGGCATGGGCGGGCGAAAGACAAGTTGCAATCGCCGGCTTTTACTTCTGGGTCAGCGGATCCGAGGACCAGCGGTCTCGGGTCGGACTTCTGCGGTCGTTGTTACATCAACTGTTATCACTCTATCCCGGAAGCATCCCCGCGGCGTTTCCTCGCCTCTGGCACAAACTGTCCGGCATGACTTCGAAGGAGAGGGTCTCGATGGGCTTCGAGTGGACCGGCCCTGAGCTCACAAGCGGGTTCTTGCGCCTTCTGGAGACCGGCCTCTCCCAGGCAAAGGTATGCTTTTTCGTGGACGGGCTGGACGAGCTTGATGGGGACCATGATAGCATGATCCGCTTTTTCCGCGACCTGGGGAGTGGGAAGCATGCTTCACAGGTCAAGATGTGCCTGTCTTCACGGCCGTGGCAGGTTTTTGAACGGGCGTTTGCGCGCTCGGTCCCCAACTTGCGCTTGCAAGAGCTGATTCTGGGTGACATGACCCACTATGCCTATGATAGCCTGTACGTGAAAATCATCCCTTGTGTCATTCCCCGCTGGCTTCTCTGGAAGAACCTCCTAAGACCAATGCCTTTGAATCATGTACTAAACCACTGACATCTTCCAGACGGAGAAATCAGCACGTCCGCCGAGCTCTCCGGCAGAACGCTGACGAGTCCGAGGAGCTCGTGCGAGAAATTGTCGCATCCGCCGATGGCGTGTTTCTTTGGGCACGACTGGTGGTCCGAGAGATCATCAAGAAGTTTGGAAGCGGCGCTCAAGCGACCGTTGCGAATATCCGAGACCACCTATCCAGTTTCCCCACCGAGCTCGCAGACCTTTTTGCAAAGCTCGTGTTCACAGACCAGTCAGAGAAGCAGTTGGTTGAGACGTCTAAACTGTTTCGACTCGTCCACGCTCGGGAGACGGTGGCCGAGTTCATCAAGGACGACTCGGCCACGTCTTTGTCCATCTGGGAACTGGCATTTTCCTCGAAAGATGAAGATAACGGCCTTGCTCTGACGAGGTCAGTGGAAGAAGCAAGTCATGAAACGATTATCCGTCGCTGTGCAGAAACTCAGGACTGGGTCCAACGGAGCTCAGCAGGACTCCTTGACGTCTTTCCGAGGCGCTCGCATGGGAATGGCATTGTCCGGGAGACTCGCTTTGCAGAGGGTGACACAGTGGAGACTCTGGCCCGAAAATTGGCTGGCCACAAGGTCACCTACCTTCATCGAACGGTCCGCGACTGGCTCCTACACCCTGCCGGAAACCCCATCTGGCTTCGGCTCGCAGCTGCCGTGGACAGCTCAGCTGCTTTCGACCCGCACCTGTATCTGCTCCGGTCGTACGTCCTGCGGATGAAACACCCTCTCGAGGAGATCGAACACCACCGCCGCCTGGATGAGTGGTACCCGGACATTGCGCTCAGCCTCACGCACGCACGTCACATCGTCAAGGACCACGAGGGCCTCCAGACCAGGCTGGTCAACGAGTTGGACAAGACGATCTCTTGGTACTGGCTTACCAAGTCCTCAAGCCCCGGAGACCACTGGGCACGCAATCGTTTTGGGACCTTTGAGGAGAGAAGGGGGGATAAGCTTTCCATTCCCTTCCCCTTCCTCGCGCTGTGTACCAAGTTTGGCCTAGAGCAGTATGTCCTAGATAGCTTGGACGCAATGGCCAACACTGAGTCTGACGTGGAAGGAGACGCGCCTGAGATTCCACGACACGCGGAGACAGCGCCAGCAACGGAAGAAACACCTCTCCTCTACCGGGCACTCGAGTTCCTCTGCTCTCGGCAGAAGACCATCTATCCTCTGTCTTCGCCAGCACTCGTCCAGTCTCTTCTGGTGTACTCTGAAAAGTACTCTTCACACGGCGTCCTGGGTCCCCTCATTGGCAGTCCAAACAAGGAGTTCTGGACGAAGCTCCTGCATGTCAAGAGCCCTACTCCGTGGATCATGGCGCTCCGGTCAGTTAGGGATGCTAGGCGCAGGGGCTGGATTAAGCCTTTTGATATCGACCACTTGGGCACCGAGAGATGGACAAAGATTATAGAGTGCCTCGTCCTGGAGGGAGGCGCGCATAGAGAGGCTATTGTACACAAGGATGGGTGGGACCCAGAGACAAATGCTTTAGAGGTGCTGGGGAATGGGGGCTTGCTTGAGGGCTACGGGGACTGGTGGATTGAGGATAGACTTGGGGGGCTCTTTAAGGGGTGAGAGTGAGCAGTCAACAAACCGTGAGACAGACTAGAATTATAAGTATGGAGAATTATAAAGGCCTAGAACATTCACGATAACGCCCACGTGTTCGTTTGATCTTATCCCCCAAGAGAAGATTAGCTTCCTGTCCCTCCAAGACGGCACGAGGAGGCCAAAAATAACGACGAGGTTGGGTTGAGTTTCGGCATCATTCCAAGCTTTTCTTCTAGAAGCAGTCTTGGGCAAGACAGAGCTGGACCGTTGGACCCCCGCAGCTAGGGCACAGACAGTTCCGCCACTCTGGTCGCACGCGGGCCACGGCGGGCTGCAGGGCCCCTGCGTCAAGGCAAGCTCAGGCTCGGCTTTCCAAGGCAGCCAGGGTAACCGGGTACCTAGGTACCTCTTGGTATGTTCCCAGGGGTGAGGGGCAGGGCTGTGGTGGCAGGTACGCAGGACGCAAGCAGGCTGGCAGGTAGGATGGGCAGGGCATGCGCAAAGGCAGGGTACCGTGCTGTATTGTACCGCACCTCAGATGTTACGTCGGGTTCGGGGTCCATCAGATTGAATTTGCGACCACTCACTCACGCATTCTCCCACACGCTCACTTCTGGTCATTCTACCTACCCTCTCACACCACCATCGTTTTTTTTTTTTTGGAACAACCTGCCAGGCCTGCCTTGCTTTACGCAGCCTGTTCGCCGTCTCCAGCATCTCTGGTGTCCTCCAAATCTTTACTTGCTTCTTGTCTCAGCCTTGCATGTCCCAGTAGCGCCTACCAACAGAGCACACCAACAACGGTAGCCCTCAGTCCATCGCTACGCCCGCATGGTGCGCTTGAGAAGTAGCACGCGATCCGTGACAACCCGCGCCCGCAAACTTTGTGACCCGTGGCTACCTTACTATCTACTACCTCCTGCCTGCCAGCCAGGCAGTGCTCACCTCGCTCAACATGTTCTCCAAGCAGCCCAAGTTTACACCCAAGACACTGCCAAAACCGAAGATCCGCACCGTCAGCGTCGAAGTACCAAAAAAGCCCAGCACCCCGGTGAACGGGACACGCGCAACGGGTTCAAGCAGTTCGCCCCGCCCCTCGACGTCGTCAATAGTCGCAAGAGGTACAAGCAGGCTAGCCAACGGTCGCTCGAGAGCCAGCAAGAGCCCCTTCACCTCGTCCGACGAGAAGGGCTTCCTCGCCCCACCCGCAAACGGTCGCAAGCGCATACGCTCCCCCGCCACCGACAGCGATCGCGTCGCCTTCGACTCGGACGGGGACAGCGCCGAAGACGATGACGACGACTGGGAAAGCCGTTTGAAGCGCCGCAAAATGTCTACGCGCATGGACCCCAACCGCAAGCTGCAGCACTCTGCGCTGGCCGAGCTTGCTGCGAACGGCTACAAGGATACCGGCAAGGCGCCCAAGATCATACACGCCGCAGATGTCATATCGATCGAGCAAGGGGACAAGCCTTACTTTCCGGGTGTCGACCCAGAGGAGCTCGTGGTCAAGCTGCAGTACCCGGGCTCCCTGACACGAGAGCGGTATGTCACGTTCTACCCCGGCGCTACTCCTGCCATCACTTCCCACACGGACTTCAGTACTGACCCCGCGACACCAGATTCGTGCTTTCTGAGTCCAAAGACAAGCTCAACGTCGTCGAGGACATCAAAAAAGTCGTGCAAAATGTTCAGGAAACATTTCTTACACCAGCGCAAGCCAAGGAGTACGGATTTAAGGACATCATTCGACAGCTCGAGCGCAACTCGAACCCTCAGATCTTGAATTTGGCAGGGTACAAGGCAGCCATAGAAAAGTACAACAATGCTGTGCTCCACCTTCTCAAAACCGGCGCCATCGTTGCAGCCATCGACAAGCAACACGAGCTGTCCGAGGGCCTCATCGACATGATCCTAACCCAAGTTTATGACCGTGTGGTCACTCCCAAGGTCGACATCCTTAAGAAGTATGACAACGGCACCGACAACGTCTATGGCGAGATGAACAGAAGCTTTGTGCGCCAGGCGCTTTGCGAGAACGTGCAGATGAAATCGGACCAGGTCTTTGTCGATCTCGGGTCGGGTGTCGGAAATGTGACACTCCAGGCAGCACTCGAGATTGGGTGCGAGAGCTGGGGCTGCGAGATGATGGAGGGCCCGGCGACGCTGGCTAAAGAACAGCACTCGGAGTTTCGGGCCAGATGCAAGCTCTGGGGGATTCAACCAGGCAGGATCCGGTTCGTGCATGGCAATTTCACCAAGGAGGAAGCCATTAGAGATGTTCTCAAGCGCGCTGACGTGGTCTTGGCCAACAATTTTGCATTCACACCGCAGTTGAATGATACTCTCAAGATAATGTTCTTGGATCTGAAGGAGGACTGCAAGCTTGTGTCGCTCAAGAACTTCGTCAGCTCCTCGGCATACCACACGAACGACATCGCCACGCAGATCCTCGACGTTAAGAAGTACAAGTGGCCCCAAAACGGTGTTAGTTGGACCGTGTCCCAGGGAGACTACTTCATCGCGACCAAGAAGTAGGGCCTGGGTCGGAGTAAGGGGCGCCTGTCTCGACGAGGCAACATTAGCCGATGACTATAGGAGGAACGAAGGTTGCACATAGAAAGAACGGACCTGTATTTTTGCAGTTTTATACCCCCCTCGCACACGCATAGGGAGCAGCGCATAGGGAGTACCCATTGGAGAGGCATTCTTGAGTGGGATAAAGGGGATCAATGGGATGTGCTTTTTGTCCATAACGCACCTTTTCGATAGCATTGTAGCGAGAACAGACAGCATATAGAGAGGAGGCCTGTGGCCGGCATACCAATCAAGATACCCTTCTCTATCCCAGTTTGCCTCGTCTTGCCCCGTCTTGTCTCCGTGTGGTCCAAATGCGACGGTCCGTCCTTCGTGATATTTCCCATGGTATCAGATATAAGCTTCGGCAAAAAGCACGCCGCTTTCCCCCCGCCGTGCCTCACGGCCCCTTCTCATTCGCGGCGTTCATGTCGTCGGCCTCCTGGCGGGCCCTCCTCATCCAGCGCTCGATGAGCTGCTTGTTCTCGGCGGCGATCTTGGCCTTCTGCTGCTCGGCCACGTTGAGCTGCAGCTCGAGGGCCAGCACCTCGTCCTGCACCTGCTCGAGCATCTGCTTCTTGCCGCGCAGCTCCTCGGCCTGGTCGCCCACCCGCAGCCGCAGCGCGTCCCGCTCGCCCGACAGCTCGCGCACGGCGCGGGACTGCGACCGCTGCGTCGCCTGCAGGGCGTCGCGCTCGCTGGTCGCCTTGCGGAGGCGAGCCTCCAGGGAGGACTTCTGCCGGAGGGCTTCGGCTAGGTCGGTGCGCAGGCGGGACTGGGTGGGGTCGGCGGCGGCTGCTGATGATGATGATGAGGCCGCGGGGGTTTCTATGGTCGTTTTCTGTTGTGTGTTGGGTTGTGACGGCGTCGATAATTGCCAGTGGGCCTTCTCGGCCTCGAGGGCTGCTATGCGATCGTTGAGGAGTGAACCTTGAGAGTGCGGAGAGACGCTTGTCAGTTTCTATGAGGGAGGTGCTCTTGTTGAGCGATGCAAGGGAGGAGCGGGGTCTCTTGGTATCTGGGGCCGAGCTTACAGGCATCGACGAGCTCCTGGTTGACGGGGCTGTTCTTCTCAGCTTCTAGTATCGAAGAGAGATAATCGTCTTTCCAGCCCGGCATGATGTCGGATAGTAGTATTTGAGAGGTGGACGGTGGAGCTTGGGTGGGAGCCTGAACATTGGCTGCAACTGCTTCTGTTGCAACCGCTGCTGCTGCCGGTTTTGCTCCTGATTCTGATGTTATCCGCTTGGGTGATGGAGATCGGGGTCGGGATGAGGTGGAAACGATCTCCCAATCATCGTCGTCCCCAGACGATGACGATGCATCCATGTCCAGCTGTCGAGCTGGGCGGGTCCCAGGGTCTGGTCTCAGTTACTTCGGGTCACCTTGCTGGGGCATGTGAACGGCGCGTAGGCTGTCATGGTGGCATGGCAGGTGCTTATCGATAGGCCGTGGTGCTCTCTGGTGGAGGAGGTCCCCCTGCTGGCTGCTGCCGTTCCCTGGGTACCTTGCTGGGTGTGTTGCTTGCTTGCCCTGCAGCTTGCTGTTAGCAGCTCACTCACTCGAGCTTCCCTATTGAGGCTCATCTCACTTACCTGTTGGGCCTGCTTGTGCTCGAGATCTGCCGCGATTTTAGCAATTTCTGTTGAAGACGACACTACGCCCGCAGAGGAGCTTGAGGAGGCGCACGCAGGCCCATCGAGCGATTGAGAAGATGAGGTGAGGTGGTGAAGGAGAGAAGATGGACTCGACACATCCCACCGCCGGCTGGGAGAAGGTCGGCGACCGGTTTTACCGCAAGACACAGCTTTATACGGCCGTATTTGATCTCGACTTGGACCTAGACAACTTCTTTGTCGCCGGAGCCCCTTATGGCGGCGCTGTAGGTGTGTTCCCTCGTCTCTGGCTGCGATTCACCCTGTTGGGAAGGTAACGGTTGTCTACTCTTCGGAGTATGCTCTCGTGAGCTTTCCACAGCATCAAAGCGGTCACAGCCTGCCTCAGTGTCAACACAGCATGAGAAGCTGACGTCATATAGCTCTTTACCGTGATGACACCAAGATCCTGGCTTATCGCACTGGCAAATCATCAAAGCCCAGCATAGACATCTACAGCTGCGCTGGGAAGCTGATCAAGAGCATACCCTGGGAGCATGGTTCTATCAAAGGCCTTGGCTGGTCAGAGGATGAGAAGCTTCTAGTTGTCACAAAGGATGGCATCGTACGTTGCTACTACGATCTCCAGGGCGACTTCACCCAGTTTTCCCTCGGCAACGGTGCAGAGGACCATGGAGTGCAGTCCTGCAAATTCTACGAAACAGGGCTTGTGGCCTTACTGAACAACAACACCCTGATCTCGGTATCTTCATACGATGAGCCGCGGCCCAAGGCTCTGGCCCAGCCCCCAGGGGGAGATGTACATTCGTGGACAATCATACCGCCCGCTTACACCCTGTCCCGCTCTGTCGAGGCACTGCTCAGTATCGATGAGACTGTCTACATGGCGGACGCTACAGAAGTGGAAGACCGCTTCCTAGATCTAGGGCCCTTTACACACCTCGCAGTCTCGCCAAACGGAAAATTTGCTGCCCTATACACAAATACCGGCAAGGCACATGTCATAACGAGCGACTTCCAGAACCGTTTGACAGAGTACGATTCCAGGTCACGAATTCCTCCAAAGTACGTGCAATGGTGCGGTAATGATGCCGTCGTTGTTGCCTGGGAGGACGAGGTCCACGTCGTTGGTCCGGGAGGTGCTGTGGCCAAGTTCTTTTACGAGGGAAGGGTGCATGTGATCCAAGACCACGACGGCGTTCGTATCCTCACGAACGATGTCTGTGACTTGGTTCAAAAAGTTCCAGATGTCACAGATGAGGTGTTCAGATTCGGAACAGAGTCTCCTGCCTCGATCCTGGTGGATGCCGTGGCTCAGCTGGACATTCAATCCCCCAAGGCCGATGACAACATCCAACTCATTCGTCCCAACCTTGTTGAAGCAGTCGACACTTGCGTTAATGCCGCCGGACAAGAGTTCAGTATTCATTGGCAGAAACAGCTGCTCAAGGCCGCGTCGTTTGGCAAGTCTGTGCTGGACATATACAACAGCGATGATTTTGTCGAAATGTGTGAAACGCTGCGGGTCCTCAATGCAGTGCGCTTTTACGAGATTGGACTACCTATATCATACGATCAATTCCAGCGTTTGACGCCTGAAGGACTCATCAGCCGCCTGCTCAATCGCCATGAGTATCTGCTTGCTCTTCGCATAGCAGGTTATTTACGGCTGTCTTCAGACAAGATATATGTGCACTGGGCTTCATCAAAAGTCCGCACAGGGTCGGAAGATGACGACACCATTTGCCGCCTTATAGTCGACAAACTTTCTGGCAAACCTGGCATATCATTCGAAGCCATCGCGCGCGCCGCCTATGATGAAGGCCGGGGGCGTCTGGCCACCGAACTCCTCAATCACGAACCTCGCGCCGGCAGGCAGGTCCCTCTCCTGCTCAGCATGGAAGAGGATGAGATGGCCCTGGACAAGGCCATTGAGAGCGGTGATACCGACCTCGTCTATTTCGTCCTGCACACGCTGCGCCGGAAGCTTCCTCTGGCCGCCTTCTTCCGCACTATCAATCACAGGCCGGTGGCCACGGCGCTGGTCGAGTCGGCTGCGCTTCGCGAAGATGACAGCGCCCTCCTTAAAGATCTGTACTATCAAGATGACCGTCGCGTGGATGGCGCGTCCGTGTTCATCCGCGAGTCTCTTGTGCAACCGGACAGCCGGACAGCTTCGGACAAGCTGGCGCTGGCGGCCAAATTGTTGAGTGACAACAGCAAGGAGAACGCATTTGAGCTGGCTGCATCCAAGGAAGCCGTGACACTCTTGCGGATGCAGGAGGCCTTTGACCGTGACCTGACTGACAGCTTCACGGGACTCAGCGTCAACGAGACCATGTTCAAGCTAATCAGGCTGGGCTACAGCGGGCGAGCCAAGAAGATCCAGAGCGAGTTCAAGGTGCCAGAGAAGGTGGCCTGGTGGATCCGCCTGCGGGCCTTCGTCGCCAAGCGCGATTGGAACGAGCTAGAGGATATATCGAAGCAGCGGAAGAGCCCGATCGGGTGGGAAGTAAGTGAACTCGACCACCCTGTGAAGTTATGACAAGTGCTGACCGCGGTGGACAGCCGTTCTACAACCTCACCTTGCAGGCGGGCAATCCTCGCCTCGCCGCAGCCTTCATCCCAAAATGCACCAACCTCGAGCCAGGTGCCTCAATCACCATGTACGAGAAGTGTGGCATGCGTGTTAAGGCTGCGGAGGAGGCAGTCAAGATCAAGGACCAGGAGGCGTGGCAGAAGCTGCTGGAAGCCGCGGGTAAGAATACTCAAGAGGGGAGGGAGATTGAGAGGCTTGGTCATCAGGTGTTTAAGAGGTAGCAGTAGCGGATTAGAGCCTTCGTGGGTCCGGGCTTAACTGTTGTGCTTCACAGCAGTGTGGCCTTTCTAATGGATCGGTACGCGCGAACTCGAATTGCACATGACGTCGCACGTCATTGGTTTCTCTCTTCCCTCTTTCGTCTCCAGCAGAGACCACTGGTTCTTGCGAGGCCGAGGACCTTGATGTCCGCACAGAACCTTGATGGCCCAGGGGGGTCTCGCCGGGGCCTCTCCTCCAAACCGTCCTAAATACTCGTCCCAGACCCTTTCAGGTCCTTTGCCAACGCGCACACACGACATCTTCAATAATTCATCCCTTTTCTTCTGTAGTCTCTCACCTATAAGAGATAACTGGCCCTCAAGAATCAGACACAATGGCCCACGAGAACGTTTGGTTTTCCCACCCACGCACCTATGGCAAGGGCTCTCGCGGCTGCCGTGTCACGGGTGACAAGAAGAAGACCGGCCTGATCCGCAAGTATGGCCTCAATATGTCCCGCCAGGCGTTCCGAGAGAATGCCGAAGCCATCGGCTTCAAGAAGGTGTGTCCCTTTCTGCTATGTTGTTGTGGTGTGGCCCCTGTGCGCAGGACGGCGCGGTGCGCTATTTTGGGCCCCCAGGGTGGTTGCTAACTTGCTTCCTCAGTACCGATGAAGGAGATCTGTGGTCCAGAGTCCTACTGTCTTCAAGAAGGTTTACTGGGAGGTGGATGTCAAGTTTAGAGGTGCATTGTCTGGGATCAATCGACACGATAGTGGTTATACACTCAGCTTCCCGTCATGATACCATGACATATGATGAAACAGATAGACGATTCGGCAATATACATGACCTTGTATACAGTGAGATGTTGTGTCTAGTCTATTTTACATATGCTGCCCAGTGTTTTGGGAATTCTTTGCGCGAAACTTTGCAAACATTGGTCCTGTCATAGTCGCCGCGTGCCTCCTTGAGGGCAGTGAGGTAGATCCCATCACGCTGTTTTGCCCCTTGATAGGCCTTACTGCGGCCAGCCCCCGTAATGATGGCTAGGCAAACTGTCCGCATCCTCAGTACCGAAAATCATAGTCCTCGGTATTCTTATGCCTGCCTCCCCAGCTGCGACCGGTGAATCGTATCCTGGATCTCGTCCCAAGACAGTGTCCTCGTCTTGACACCCGGCGCCTCCGCCTCTTGCAGAACAACAGTCGGCGCGCCGCTTCCATTGCCGGGGTTGTTGACCATGCCGCCGACAACCATCTCGGCCACGCGCTTCAGGTCCTTGATCGTGAGCTCGCTGATCCTCCTCGTCATCTCCTGGACGGGGACCTTGCGGCCGTGGACCTGTACCTGCCTCCCCAGGTCCTCGAGCTCGACCATGCGGCTCTCGAGGTTCATGAGCAGGCTTGACCGCAGCTGGTTCTTGGCGCGGGTCACCTCGACCTGGTTCAGGCGAGAAAAGCCGGAGTTGAGCGTCAGGGCGCGGAGTTCCCGGCACATTATCTCAAGCATCTTGCCCGTTCGGCCCGGGAAGCAGGAAGCGGCGATGCCGAAGAGGCCGCTGTCGGTGTAGCTGTGGTTGAAAGCGACGCATGACTCAACCCAGCCGTATTGGTTCAGAACGTTGGTGTACAGGCGTGAGTACATGCCTTTGCCCGGGCCACCGGCTGAGAAAGAGCCTCCTCCTCCGAGAAGGGTTTGCAGAGTAGCAAGGGCGAAGATGTCGTCCGAGGAGATGGGAAGACCCTCGAAGGCAAGGTGGATGTGTGTGAAAGCGGGCGTCATCGGGTTGGGGGAAGGTGGCTGGGTGGGAAGGGAGAGAAAGCCACCTGTGTACTTTGCGGGGCGGTTGAGGTCTTCGCTGGAGATGGGGATATAGGGAGAGGAGGCGATGGAGGCGTTGTGTGGTGCTGAAGTAGAGAGGTTTTTCAAGAAGGGTATTTTGGAGAGGAGCTTAGACGACTGTTGTGGTGACGCCGAGGACAAGGAGGAGACAGACGACGCAGTGGAGTCGCTGCTTTGCGAACTGGTCTCGGAGGCTGATGAGGCCTCGGATGCAGTGTCTGAGATTGCTGGCAGTTCTGCGCCCTTCATGTCGCCGAAGTGCTGTTCGGCTAGCTTGACAGCCTCATTGTGAGGTATTCCGGCGAACGCGACAACCATCCTCTCTGGCCTGAAGAAAGCGTCTCTGTAGGCCTGAATCACACTCCTGTCAATGGCGCCGAGACGATCCTGCGGGCAGAGCAGGGGGTTGCCGAGGGTGTTGTCCTTGAAGGCCGCGGTGTGAACCAACTCGGGCAAGATGAGTTCTGGCTTGGACCATATCTCTGTGATCTCGTATTCGGCCGTGAGCAGTTGTTGTTGCACCTCTTCCTCTGTGAGCTTCGGGTCCCGTATTGTCTCGGCGAGCAAGCCAACCGCACTGGGGATGGCGTTGTTGAATGTTGCGGCCTGATACATCATGGACTCTCGGGACGACGCGCATTGTACGTTTCCGCCAAGGTTCTCCACTTGCTCCAGGACTTCATCGGCCGAGTGTCTCGAGGTCGACTTGAAGGCAAGCCGGTCCATGATGTGGCTTGCGCCGCGCAGGTGATCGTTCTCGTACCGCGACCCGGCGTCGATGTAGACTCCCATGCCAGAGAAGGCGTCTGGCAGGGCTTCTGTGGCAACGCGGATGCCATTTGGCAATGTGGTGATGTCGCTAAGCTCCGTAGGCTCCTAAGGAATCGCGCGTTAGCATTGTGAAAGGTGACGAGGGCGCAGGCGATGAGGCAGGTGGGCATACTCGGGCAGGAGGAGGGGCGACGGTGGCCAAGGACCTTGTTCGAAATGATGGCCTGGCAGTGATGTTGTGAGGCTTTGCGAGGCCTTGTAGCCTCGCCGGCAAACGCGAACAACATGAGCGCAACATCTTTGCTTCAAGGTTGCTTGGGCCAGGCTGAATGCTGCAGTGATGTCAAGGCCAAAGAATTGTTTTAAGGTCGATTTGCCCAGCCGGGCTTATCGATAAGCCACCCTAGTACGGCAAAACAGTTCCCTGGCAAGCAGCCTATGACTCCCTATCATTCGGCTACTGTCATTCTCATGCTGTGCGTTGTTAGAGCAACTGCACATCCTCAACACTGCGCTCTGAATTATCAGAACATGAATCTCTTCGAGAGCATATATCTGTACACAACCTAGAATATTCCGGCTGCAAAGGTCAAGCCATTTCTTCCATTAAGCGTCGATGCCGACTCTGCTCAGTTCCTCGCCTCTGCTCAGTTCCTCGCCTCATGCTTGACCTGCTGCCGGATAGCCTCAAACTAATCCTGGGACAAAGTGCCAGGCTTGGTCTACTACCTGGGTCCATCACATGGTTACAATTCTCGAAGCATTGACCAAATCATGCGTGTAATTGTGAAATTGGGAGGCGTCAGCGCGTCCTTGGGTAGAAAGTGAGGTCTCGTTAGAATTGTTTGAATTCAACAGTGCAAGCCCGCGGATGTCCCAGAGTTGAGTTGAAGGCTAGCTGAGGAAGATCGCCTTGAATAAGAAACCAGAGGGAACCTCTGGACACTGTTGGATGATGCCGATTTGGACAATGTTCGCTCCACTGCATCATGCAGATGTTGTCACCTGTCAAGACGTCAATACTTCGATATGGAAGCTGCGAACGAATGCAGGGGCTCAGTAAAGAAGCCGAATCCGTCTCACACGGGTTTACGTAGGTACAGATGGAACCAGGAATAGGGATATCATATCTCCACGGGATTATTAGTCCAGCAGGGGCAGCCTGTACGCACTCCTCAGCCTACGCGAACAAAAGAACGCAGACAGAATCTCCATCATGTGCCATCCAAAGAAGATCTCTAATTCCCCAACGACGTTCGTCAACCACGTTTGCGCAAAAGACATCGAGACGAAGGTACCGATGTCGCAACAGGGTTGGACGTTGGCCAAAATGCACTCAATGCGTTGATCAGGGACCTCTGCCCTCATATGTTCTCAGATCGGTAGGAGACTTCAGACGGTCGATTGGGCCAAGAAGAGGGTGGTCCAACAACAGAGTCAAGGCTCGTTCCGTCCGTTACCTGGGTCTGTGTTCTTCCAGCATATGATTTAACCTCCCGCTGTATAGGACGGGGGTGTCTCTTTGACCATTTTGATCGACGTCCCAGATGAGCGAGCCCTGACAGTATTCACTAGACGTCGTGAGCGATGTCTGTCGCGCGATGAATCGACGCCTGAGGTACTGCCCTTAGGCCTGCTTGCAACTTCAGTCAGTAGGTTATCAAGGAAAAAGTGGATGCGTTTCCAGAACCTCCAGGCCTGAAAGTTTGAAATTGTCTGAAGAGAGACATTGATCCTCTCGGTGGCAGGAAACACCCTCAACATTCGCCACTGGATAGAAAGTTTCTGGCCGTCAGATGTCGTCCTCGCGAGTCATATCTTTGTCTCACAATCGCAGAAAAATAGCACGCACTTGTAGACGCTGGACAGATTTGCTCTGGTGGCCACCAGCCTGGGAGGATAGAGACTTGTCCATAGGGAGTGCGTGCGATTCGTCGGCCTTGAGTTGCGCGACCTGATCAACATACCTCGGCAGACGAAACGAGGCGACTTAGACTTAGCCCCCAGTGGGCAAAATGTCTTGACCCAGGCGTGTGTGCCAATGGTCTCGCTGGTGGAAAGAGGGCAAATTGATCCAAGGGTTATTACTGCGAGGACGGTGCGCGCCGGGACGAGTCCGACGTCACTGTCCACGGGATCCGAACCAACCCTGGGGGCGCAAAATCCCCCGAGCGTGGGGCCCAAGAGCGAGCGTGATAGCAGGAGAGAAGCGGGAAGTCTGACGAGAGCCTCCCTAGGCAACCCGAGAAAAAGACGGCTCGACTTGCAGCAGATGAAGGGGGCACAGCGGGGTGGTTCCCTGGGGGGTCTGAACGCCGAGGACGGGCAGGGCAGGGGCGGCCGCATGGCAACCCCGGGCAATGCTCAGCAATGCCGGTTCATGGCAGTCGTCATCCGTCAGATCATGTGGCCCTGCGGCGGGATCGATCACTGAGTTTTGCGCCAGAATGCTAGACTTTCGAGACTCTGGGCTTCTGGATTGTCACGCCACGCAAGGGTGGGCACGGAAGTCAAGTTGGGGAAGTCAGACGGCCTGGCGTCTCACGAGAGACCACACTACGTGGTAGAGCACCACCCAGTGGCGGTAGTGTTAGAGCTTCCCTGGGGCTCACTATCATGCGTCGCCCCCCCAGTGTCCCCGGGCGAGATAACGCAGGTGGTGCTGGTAGTATGTTATTGGTCTGAAGGTTGCGAACGATCTACTGCGTATTGGCTCTGGTTGCGATGGGCCTCGGCCGCCACCACAGTCGATAGCCTCGCCGGTAAGGTCGGAGCAGCCCCCGCCACCCGTTCTTTGCACAGCAATTATTATGCTGGTATGCTGGGACATTACCGAGTCGGATATTGACGGTTCGCCGGGAGCTAACAGACTAAGTCGGCCGAATGACCGCTAATACCTCAAAACCACAGCATGTTTTAGGCCCTTTTTTTTTAATTAGCATGTCGGGTTTCCTCCGTACAGTACCCATGCTAGGTAGCCGTACGTGCCGGGTAGGACCAATTTGAGTTCAGCCTCTTCTTCAGCAGCAAAACAGCGCACGACGCAGCAGTACGTAGATACATGGTCTCACTCCCGCTCACCACACTTTCCCCACTCACTCCAGTTCTTCTTCATGCAGGAATCGAACTGATCCTTAGCGTCGGGATTTGCATGCGCGGGTAATGCGCGCTTACTGAGTGCACACGGTAGAACACAGACTCTCGTTCCTGAGCAAACGGAACGCCCCTCCACCTTCCCGTAGCGCCCATTCGGCCCAGCGCCGCGCGCATGAGCGTCCAGCCCGTCCAGCCCGTCCAGCCCGTCCAGCCCGTCCAGCCCGTCCAGCCCGTCTAGTGTGCACACCCACCTGCCGTGATCCCAGGCGAGGACGAGCTCCAGTGCGAGCCTGGCTGGAAGCCACTGGCCAAGGGCGGTTTGAGAGATTGCTCGGCGTGTTTCGTTTGCGCTGGCGCAGGTGGGCGCAGGCCCGGCGAGGGCAAGAGGACACCCGGGAGGTTCTTCCTGAATTTCTAGGAAGTTCACGATCGGGTGTCCCTGGGTTCGCCCTGTGATCTTGGCTCTGCCTGGACCGCTGATCCCCCGCGTGATTTTTGTCTTGGAGGGCTGGACGAGTGCAGGCTTCAACCTGTCTGTCTTGCCCTGTCCTGCCATGCCCTGCCTGCCCTGCCTGCCCTGCCTGCCCTGCCTATCTTTGCCCGTCTTTGCATGTCTCGTCGCTGCGCACAGCCGGTCACCAGGTACATGTGCCAAAACCCCTCTCAAGTGCCCGAGCTGTACCGCGTGGCAACCACGACACACCGTCGAGAGGCGCGATATCCGAGGCGGCGGGCCTGCGCTAGTGACTCTGGCGGCTTCATCAACGGCGATGACATCCTTAGGGGCCCAGGCCTAGACTTGTTAGGGCCTAAGCTGGGGCATTCGGACGATGGCCAGGCCCTGCCAGCCGTCTTGTCCAATCTCTTCCTGAACGGGTAGTGTGGTAGTCTTCCCAGATAGGAGCAGATTCGGAGGTGTGCGCGGACGAGATGGGACCTGGTGGATACGACTACCTCCATGTGCTGCTTCTTTGCGACGCCGGCTGAGGCCTGATGTGGTCTAGCAGGCCAGGGCCGGTAGACTTCTGACCTCCGATTTCTGTTCTGGGACTGCGTACCTAGTAGACTAGTAGGTAGAATGGTCGGCAGGCTTGTCAGGACTTGTCATTGGCATCTGCATCAAGGGGAGCAGGGCGTTCGGTTTCTGATTCTGTGCGTGCCTGTGTGCATCTCTGCCGTATCCGTGTGTGACCCCACGACTGGACTGGTAGGTGTGTCGGCTCAACGTATCCAAATCTGTATTTGATCTCGTCTGCGGTACCGTACACCACGCCACGCCACATCAAGTCTTGCCCTGCCTCCCTTCCATACCGCATTCTTGTCTCTGTTTTATTCGCATTTGTTGGTGCATCCAGTCCTGTTCAGCCTCGTCTCCCACACACACACACACATTAACACAGGAAGAGAGAGACGTGCACACACCTACACCCCACGCCGCCTTCGCTTGCTGCCATCCAACCTGTTCCATCACCACATCGCGCCCACTCTCCGAGCCAGCCAAGCAGATACTGGCTTGCGAAATTGGACCTCCAGTCTCCAGACCCATAATTGCTGTACCCCAGCGAAATTGTGCCAAACGATCGTCCGCCCCTTCCCGACTCTGTACTTGCCAGATCCTGCTTTGGACCGGCTGGCAGGCAGGTCAGGCAGACTGCCTCTTTCTTTCCCTCTCTCAGCCTCTCTCGAGTCGGCCTTGCAGTCTCCTTTTCCTCTCCCGACCACCCATCATCCCGAGACCGCCTCACAACCTCGCAGGTAGCCGGATTTCCAGGTCACATTATACTGCAATCTAGCATCGCCTCTCCTCGCTTCGTCGCAGACCGTTATAGCCTGCAACATCGATGTCACCCTGCAGAGCGGGAGTCACAGTACAAGCGCAGCCTGAGACCGACTCGAGTGCACGGTCGAGAGCTCATCCGTATCCAGTCGAGGCCGAGTCTTGAGTCGAGCCGAGTCGAGTCCCGAAGGAAAGGGCCCCCCGGAGGAAATCTCAAAAAGGTCTTAACCGCCCGTCCCACCCACGGCTCCCACAGTACACGGCAACGCGGCTCCTCCTTGCTTCACAGCCAGCCCAGCCCATTCACAGGTCTCGCTTCCTCACCCGCTTACCTAAAAAAAAAAAAAAAAAAAACCGCTGAAGATCGATTTCATTGTTACATTGTCTGGTTGGCCTGCACCAGAACTACTATTCACCTTGTCCCGCAAACCGTTGCATAGGAAAGTGAAGCAGTGGCGGATTATTTTTATGCTGCTCGAGGCCCGTCCTGCGCTGCCGTCTGCAAAGATCCAACCTCAGGCCCTCTCTCTGGAGCCCATTCACCAGCCAAGCAAACAACCGAAGTTGGGTGCGAATTGGCCTCGGCTTCTTGCAGCGATCCTTCCAACGCCAGGACTTGCAACTACTCCATCGACTGGCGGCCAGTCCCCAGTCCCCGCAGGCCGCAGGCCCCGCCCGTCCCGCCCTGCTCTGCAGCAGAGCAACCTGCAAGTGGAAGCGCCATCCGATACAAGACAGAGGTCAAAGTGCCAACCCTTGCTTGGGCCGCGCTGGCGATTGGAAGGCCGTGTCCAGGTCTCCTGAAAGCTTGAATCACCTGCCCACTCATTCACTGCCTGCAGTCCAGGCTAGCATTGACTGGACTGCCCAACTGCCCTCTGTCCTGCCTACCCGCGTCGCCCGCCTGCTCGAGTGCAGGAAGTGCTTGCTCGCTCGCTTGCTTCGCCTGGCTGACAGATAACAAGGGAGAGCGGCAGGATTGAGATGGTTGGATTGTCTCTAGCCTCCTGCCTCCCAAGTTGTTACTGACAGTACCGTCTGGCCCAACCAAGTCAGCCCTCGATTGGACTGGGGCATAACAATCCGTCGTCATTGTCGCAGTTTTCTGCCCGTGCACCTTTCGTTTCCAACTCAACTGAAATGTTTACGTCTCCTGCACCTGCGGCACTGACCGGTTCTGTTCCCTTGGCAGCCTCACCTCCATCCATCTCTGCCTCCGCTTCCACATTCCATCAAACGGGCTCGACCTCCAGGACAAGGAGGGGCCTGAGTTATCTCCGCAACTACACCCATCAGCACCTGCTCTCGAGGGATCACAGCAGCTCCTCCCAACCCGCAAATACCACAACAGACTCTTCCTCCCGGCCACGGCCCGGCCTCACGCGATCGACCTCTCACACTCCTAGGACCTCGAATACGACCTCCAACTCCTTGACCGCCGACGACCCTTCGACCGCTTCGCGCCGTTTCACGCTAGTGCCTGCTTTGTCCCACCCCTTAGGCCCATCGTCGAGGTCCACTCCCGACGATCTAGAAGAGGCCGACGAGCCCGCTGCCGTGCAATCCAACCTCATAGGGGCGCCTCATCCGGGGACCGCCGTCACTACATCAGCAGAGCCAGACTCACAGGCCAGTCGCAGCATGACGCGGTCCAGATCCGCGACTACAGGCACTGCAATGGCTGCTTCCACCAACGACACCGCCGAGAATGGCAACCCCGGCGGCGTTCTACCCTCAATTCGCTTCTCCGTCTTCGTCGACCCTAGGAGCCAGCGACCGTCCCTGCACTTCTCACCGATAGCCCGTACGCTGCCGAGCGGATCTGAGATCATTCGTGTCGGTCGTTATTCCGAGCGAGACAGTCAGCCAGCCGTTCCAGCGAACGTCCCGTCGGCCGCACCGGTCGGCTTCAAGTCGAAGGTCGTAAGCCGACGCCACTGCGAGTTTTGGTACGAGGACGGGAAATGGTTTCATAAAGGATGTCAAGAGTAGTAGTGGCACGTTTCTAAATCACATACGACTGAGCCCGCCCGGCCAGGAATCTAAGCCTTTCCCGGTCAATGATGGGGATGTGGTGCAGCTGGGAATCGACTTCAAGGGAGGCGAGGAGATGATTTTCCGCTGCGTAAAGATGCGGCTGGAGTTGAATCGCGGCTGGCAGAACAAGCTGAACAAGTTCAAGTACGTCCCGAGGAGCACCCGTTGTGCTGCAGCCCCTTCGCACATGCCAGCCTATGTTTTACTAACTGGTCATCTGCAGTATGAACTCGCACAAGCGCCTGTGGAATATGACCAAAACTGAAGGCGCAGGTGGGCAGAATTATTCCCAGGACTGTTCTATTTGTTTGAACTCGATCGCTGTAAGTCTCGGAATACCCATCCCTCACCAACTTCTGTGGCCTTGAGAGGCACCTGCTGACGTCCATCACCACAGCCTTGCCAGTGTCTTTTCGTGGCGCCGTGCTCCCACACGTGGCACTTTAAATGCATTCGTAGCCTCTTATCATCACCACACTATCCCATCTTCATTTGCCCGAACTGCCGCGCGGCTGCGGACTTGGAGGCTGAGGTGGAGGATCCTGAAGACTGGGAACAGCTGGAGGACGAGGCAGACGGCCAGGATGCGGAAGATCCGGAAGGCAGCCGTTCGAAGGGACCTCGTCTGGATCCCGCTCCTGTGGACGTGCCCAGGCAATCCGTGGACAGGATAAGGACGTCGCTGGAGCGCGCGAGGGCGACTGCCGCTGAACGAGCAAGGACCTCGATCGAACGTTCACGGTCGCGAACGAATATCCCGGCAGCAAATGCACCGGCAACCGAGACCCCGGAAGCCGCGATGACGAACGCCGACAATGCTGCCTCCGCTGAGGCAGCTATGAGCGACGGTGGGGCCAGCACGCCCTCAACGACGGCGTCTCGGCCCGGCGGCGAGGGGTCGCACGCAACCTCTGACCCGGTCCCCTATTAATGGACGCAGAACACCCAGTCCAAACAGCATTGGTAACCACGTGACTAATGGGCACGAAGGCCCCATCACACCGAGGAATGACGCTGGCCCATGGGTGTTTGACGGGAGCGGGGCGCGGATTGGTGTCGCTCCCACCGCTGGAGCCAGACAGAGTCTGAATGGAGTGGTGGACACGGAGATGGAGGATTGATACCCTACAAACCTACTTTAATACCTAGGGGAGGAAGACAACACGCGCCCGACCTATCCAACTACTGGAGACAAGCATATAAACAATAGTATGCACCGAGATGCAGGGACCATGACGGCAGATTGCATTAGTGGAGCTAAAGGTTGCGGGAATCGTGTAGATATTAGCAGCGAGCATGGTTTTGTCTTCTCTCTTTTCAGGCTCTCTCTCTCCAAGCGGCTCGGCCCATCTTGCCTTCTCGTTGCATCACGTCTGCTGCATTGCGCCGGACCCCACCGGCTGGATTGAAAGGCGAGGGCGGGACATGCGGACTCGGTGTTCGTTTTGGGGGGCCTGCCTCTATGGCCCCGGCTTTTTGTTATTGATTAATATCGAATCGGCATTTCCAAAGCATGCTACTGCTCTGAATATATTCACGTAGCACACGGAGCTATATGTGTGAGCGGATACGGGCTGCGCTGCGCTCAGCGCTGGGCAAGTTCAGCCAGACAAGAGTGGCACGGCATGAGGGCAGTCGAAACGCAGATCTCTATGATCATTCGATCCTTGGTTGTCTGCGGACTGAGTTTAACTTTATACCGGGTCTGGCAACATTTCCTCCTTCCAGGCTGGTTTATCCTGGACGGACAGTGGTAGATTTCAGACTTCTCGGCCGGGTGGACTGCTGGTTCAGGAAGGGTTGGAGCCCAGAGTAATGGATAAAAGTATTATATTCTTATCGGGGGCCATTGCCACAGTGGCACCGCTCGACGGCGAGTACATGTATGTTTTCGTGCTTCACTGGACCGATTTAGCGATGCTCTTGAACGCACGCCTTGCTCCAGATATTGCTTCCGATCCTGTCTGTCCCTGACTCCCGCTCCCAAATTTGACAAAAGAGAGAAGCAAAGTTAGGCCAACCGCACCGAGCCGATCCCGTTCCCAGCCAGTCTGTCTGTCTGCTTGTCCGTCGGTCCATCCGTTCGCCCTGTACGCATATGAATAAAACAACCAGGCACGCGATGTCTGAGCGTCCGTCTAAAGCTTCGATCTAACCGCCTCGAGTCTATACTTGACATCCTTCAACGCCTTGGTGGTCGGCTTCCAGTCGTCAAACTGCTTCAGCAGCTCCTCCGTCTCGGTGCTCAGCTCCGTCTTGACGAAGTCCTCCTCCAGCAGGCCGCGCATGATCCAGGGGAGAAGGTAGGGGTTCGAGGCGGTCAGGCCTTCGAACTTCTGGATCTCGCACGGCACGTCGCCTACGTTTGTGGTTTCGAGGGCGTGGGCGATGGCGAGGCTGAGCAGGTGCTGGTTAGTTTATGTGATGGGGTTTTACCGGGAGGGGGGAGGTAGAAGGGGATGAGGGGATGCGCTAGGACTGAGACTTACTCATAGACCTGGCCGTCGTCATAAAGGCGCGAATGGCCCTCGCCACCATACAAGCTCCCTGCCAAGGGGACGGAGAGCTCGCGAATCAGGCCGTGGTCGGACACGCCGAGGTTCCGCAGCTTGCACGCGAAGCCGACCAGGTGCGCGATGAAGTCGGGCGCGTGTATCCTCCCGTCTATGAACACGGCCCTGTAGATGTAAGGGTGGCTGGCCGGCGAGTATATGGCCGACTCTATCGGGACGAGCTGGTCGTCGATGCTGCCGACGTACGTGATCCGGACGCCATAGGCCAGCACGGCCTTGAGCGAGGCCTCGTACCTCTTCGAGACCTCGCTCTCCGAGTTCGCAAACTCCCACAGCTCCGCCGCGCTGCCCATCAGCATCCCCATGCCGGACTTGTAGTCGGGGAAAGGCCCCAGATTGACCCCGGCCATGGCGCACACCCCGATCTTGGCATTGGTGATGATGCCGAGCTCGATCAGCTTGGCTAGCAGCATGACTGAGACGGGCACACCCTGGGAGTGGCACGAGACTATGATCAGATCGGCCCCTCTAATGTGATCTATCCAGTTGAGGAGCAGCTTCCACAGGTTCTCGACCCTGTCGGCAATCTTGCCCTCGCCCTCGAGGGCGACCTTCTCGATCTCGCAGTCCTCGCAGCCATGGCTGTCTGCCCATCTGCGGATCCCTTCGGCGCCGTGATCGGCGAATTTGAGGGATGTGCCAGTCGGCTGGCCGATCATGGCCCTGAGATATGTAGCTGGGAAGAGGCCATGGACGCCTATGGCCAGCGCCTTCTTCACTTTCGGTGGATCCTGGGTGAGGAAGACATGTTTTGTTGACTTTTGCTGAGTTCGCAGTAGTAGTGAGGCTATTTGCCGCAGTATGGATGGGTTCTCCTTCATAGTGTAAGTACCCCTAAACGAGGGCAGCAGTAGATTGGGAGGCGTCGGTCTGGTTGCCGTTGTTGGTGTTTTCGCCTTTGTCTTACTTGGTGAGTCTGTCTTGACAGAAGCTGCGTCTGATTGAGGGGTTTGTGGGCGTGAGGGTATAGGGTCAATGTCCATGGATTGAGGCCTGCTTCTTTTCTTCTTTGGAAACCTTGTCCTTGATCTGCTTGATCTTTCCAGGAGCCTCCTTCGGTGGTTCTGGTTTTGGAGATGCGTCTCGTCCCATATCTAGAGAATTCGCTCTTTTGGGATGCGCCTCGGAGCCATCTCCCATTACAGCCAGTTCTCCATGCTCGGTGGTGCCTTTTGGTTCTCCAGGGGACTTTGGAGTGTCTTTTGACCAGAATGCCCAGGTTGAGCCAGCCGTTGGCTTGGTTGCAGGCTCAGGGTTGGCTGGCGGTGCGTCGTCCATGACCGTATCCTCTGGCTCCTTTGCTGGCGCCGGATTTGACTCCGTCGCCTTTGCAGCCTCCTCATTTCCGGCCGCAGGAGCACTGCTGCTTGACCAGAATGGAAGCCACATGGTCATGGATCGTTGCGGGGCGGTAGGCGCTGGCTGCTCAGCTGCCCCTGACGCAACGGTATTATTCTCAGGCGGTGGCTCGGTATTAGATTGTGCATTTTCCTCTTTCGGCGATGTCGCATTTTCTTGCAGCGTATTTTCGTTTTCTGTCGGTTTCTTCTCCGGCACCGGGTTTGAGGTGAACCATCCGCCTAACCAGCCCGATGACGTCGATGGCCTCTGCGGCGTATCTGCAGCCGGCGGTGTATCGTGCGTGTCGACATCCACGGCGGGTGGCACATTGCCTTTGGAACCGTCCTTCTTCGCATCCTCAGCGGCATCCTTCGAGGTCGCATCGTTGTTATTTGTATTATTCTTCTGGGCCTCTTGCACGGTGGCGGTTGCGTCGTCCTTTGTGGCCGGTCCGTCAGTGTCCGTCTCCCGGACCTTGGGCATTGTATTGACCGAGGCCTGACTCGCCCCACTCAAGCTCGCAGCGTCGCCGGTCCTCTTGGATTCAAATCGGCTGAAGTCAGGCGTGGAGCCAGCTTTGAGGGGGCTTCCCAGTATTGTTTCTCTCTGAATAGAGGTAGAAGGCGTGGACTTGCGAGGCCATGATCCGTACCAACTCCTCGTTTTGTGAACCTGCTCGGGCGTTAGGGGTTCTGCCTGTGGTGGAGACGGGTGTGGCAATGCGAGAAAGAGACCTACCGTTTTATTGCCCTCTTGCACAGATATGGCACTGCTGTCGCTCTTGAGGCTCTTGCTGCTCGTATCGAGTTGTCGCAGAGCCGGCGGCGGCATGCCCTGTGGCGGTTCGGAGGCGGACGGTGATGGCGATGTCACTGGGGCGGCGGACAGGTCGCTAACTTGAGACGATGTGCTGGCGCGCGTAGGCTGCAGCGATGTGGTGGAGCTTGTCGGGCCCGGAGCGCCGCCACCACGCCGAGCTCGTTTCCTAGAGATCATGACGACGATGTTCACCAGGCCGGGCTCATGTCATGTTGGAGGACTGGTGGTGCATCTCATTGTTGTGGGCTTGGCCGGGTGTTTGTTTGGCATAGTGATCAGCTGCAAGCGACTCAACCCAACCCCTACGTAATGGCCGCCGTCACGGAAACCCATGTTCGTTCACTGGACTCGCCCCTCGGTAAGATACCCCCGGCTACCCCACCACGGGCATCCCGGTACCTGTGCTTTGTACCTTTGTACTGATAGCTGGACCCTCAAGTCCCCACCTAGGTACTGCACTTGCTGACTTGCCTGCTTGTTAGACCAGTGCTGCAGCGTTTCAGCGCTGAAGAGGCTCTACGGTTACTCGTACAGGCATAGAGTCGTATCCTTCCTCAGAAGTTCTGTTCCAACAACATTGCAGGACAATTTATTTCCTCGCAACCCGAGCCCAGAGCCTATCAGATCTTTCTAATGACTCGGAATACAAATTGTCTAGTAGTCCTCCTATCAATGTGCTGTGCAAGGACCGAAGACTACTTCGCAGTACGGTAAACATTGAGCATATGCGCACCACTGTCCTGGGGGTCCCTTGCAGGCCCCACATATTTTCTTATCGATAACAACCACCCTCGAATTTCTTCAAATTTCTATTTTCTGAACCTAGAGCATGTGGCCTTGCATACGCCACAAGACATATACTTCTGTCCCAGCTCGCACTTATCGTCGAGCTGACTGCTCTCTCAATTTATGGAATCATGAGCACCCTCAAGCGGAAAGGGGCGCCATCTGGCAATGCCTCAAAGAAAGATTCTCCCTCTAAGAAGGTGAAATCAGAGAAACCGGCCGACAAGACTTCCGAAAAGAAGACCTCCAGAACCCCCGAGAAGAAGGCCTCCAAGTCGACCGATAAGACCGCTTCCTCTGCGCCATCGATCGCGCGTGTCAAAGACGAGGAGCCTCTCTTCCCCAGAGGCGGTGGCAGCGTTCTCACCCCTCTCGAGCATAAGCAGATCACCATCCAAGCGAAGCAAGACGCTCTTTTTGAGGAAGAGTCAGGCAAGGCGACAAAGAAGGGGGATAAGGATTCAAAGAAAAAGAAGCGCAAGTCCTCGGGCAAAGATGACAAGAAGAGTGGCAAACCCGCCCACGACCCCGACGCTGTTAAGATCGAGGGTCTCAATTACAAGGTAAGACTCGACATGCTGCGAGGAAGCTACCGGTGTGGCTGACGTGCTCTGCAGCGCCTGGTAAAAGGTTCACTTGTCCTCGGTCAAGTCTGCGACATCAACGATCTCGAGCTTGCCGTGGCGCTACCGAACAATCTCGTTGGGCATGTTTCCATCACCTCGATCTCCCCTGGTGTCACGAAACGAGTCGAGGCGGCGGCGGCAGCAGACGACAGCGACGATGACGAACAAGAGTCAGCCGAAGACGATGTCGACCTCAAAACTCTTTTTGAAGTAGGCCAATACGTTCGAGCCTATGTCGTATCCACCGTCGAGGACTCGTCCGCGCTGCCAAGCAAATCAAAGAGGCGGATAGAACTGTCCCTGCGACCAGAGGACACCAATTCCACGATTACCAAACAAGATCTGGTTGCGAACAGCACAGTGATGGCTGCTGTAGCTAGTGTGGAGGATCATGGATACGTGATGGACCTTGGTCTCGCAGAAACAAAGATTACTGGGTTTCTGCCAAAAAAGGAGGTCGATCCTGCGACCGCGGAGGATCAGTTACAGCCGGGAAGTGTTTTCCTGTGTATGGCTACGGGCCTGAGCGGAAATCGCAAGGTTGTTCAGTTGACGACTCGCAGCGACAAGATGGCCAGCCCGAAGAGCTTCCCATCCGAAGCCACAACGGTCGACACTTTTACCCCGGGCACGGCCGTCGATGTTCTCGTATCTGAGGTATCCGAACGGGGCATCATCGGAAAGGTTTTGGGCCATCTCGATGTCACTGCCGATCATGTCCACTCCGGAGTTGGTCCGCATGGCACAGATCTGGAGGCCAAGTACAAAGTTGGCTCGAAGCTCAAGGCCAGGGTGATCTGCACATTTCCAGACGCGAGGCAACCTAAGCTGGGCATCTCGATCCTGGATCATGTCCTAGCCTTCAAGGCCCCGAGCGCTCGAGTCGAAGGCGGCGAGAAGAAGCCGCTGGATGCACTCCCAATGTCTTCGGTGGTCGAGAACTGCGTGGTCAAAAAGGTCGAGGCGGATATTGGTCTTTTTGTTGACGTGGGTGTCGAAGACGTGCCTGGATTTGTGCACATATCTCGAGTCAAGGACGGGAAAGTCGACGGACTGTACGAGTCCAGCGGCCCCTACAAACTAGATTCGGTACACCGGGGCAGAGTGGTAGGCTACAACGCCTTTGACGGGCTGTTCCTGCTCTCCCTCCAGAACAGCGTCCTCGAACAACCATTCTTGCGCGTGGAAGACGTCCCTGTCGGAGACGTCGTCGACGGCGTTGTGGAGAAGATCGTGGTCGGTGAGAATGGCGTGCACGGAGTCATAGTCAAGATCGCTGAAGGCATATCTGGGCTCGTCCCTGAGACGCACCTCTCCGACGTTCGACTACTACATCCCGAGAAGAAGTTCAAAGTTGGCTTGAAGGTCAAGGCACGAGTCTTGTCGACAGACCCCTACAAGCGACAACTGCGCCTCACGCTGAAGAAGACTTTGGTCAACTCAGATGCTGCTCCGATCAAGGAATTTGAAGAGGTTTCCATCGGAATGCAAGTACTGGGAACGATCATTAATGTGTTGCAGAACGGCGCTGTTGTTCAGTTCTATGGACGCCTGCGAGGCTTCCTCCCGCTGTCTGAGATGAGCGAGGCTTACATTCAGAACCCCAAGGAGCACTTCCGACAAGGTCAAGTTGTTAATGTCCATGTCATTGATGTGGATGCTGCTACAAGTCGACTTATTGTCTCATGCAAAGACCCTGCTGCTTTCGGGATGGACAAGCAGTTGGCTCTGAAGAACCTCAGCATTGGTGACGTTGTTTCGGGCAAAGTTAGTCAAAAGACTGAGGACGATGTTTTCGTTGAGCTTCAAGACAGCCTGCTCAAGGCGGTGCTCCCCGTTGGACAGCTGACGGACAAGAGTCGTGCTAAGAACCTGGCTGCGCTGAAGAGGATATATGTAGGTCAGACGCTGACTGACCTGGCGGTGCTGGAGAAGAATGAGGGCCGGCGGGCTCTCACTGTCACGCTGAAACCAGCCTGGTCGAAGCTGCCAAGAACGGAAAACTGCCCTCCAACTGGGAGAAGGTCAAAGCCGGTGGCTTGATCCATGGATTTGTTCGAAATGTCACACCAACTGCTGTCTTCGTGCAGTTTGGTGGCAACGCGACAGCTCTGCTTCCAGCCGCCATGATACCCCAAGAACAACAAAAAGAGCAGGACTTTGGTTTGCAAAAGCTACAGTCCCTATCTGTCAAGGTTGTTTCTGTTGACCGCGACCATTCCCGCGCTGTCGTTGCTATTCCCTCTGTCGCTGATGCCAAGGAGCAGAAGTCAACCAAGCCCTCTACAAAACCAGTGGAGAACCCTGTGGACGATTCAATCAAGAGCGAAGACGACATTGTTGTTGGCAGAGTCACAAAGGCCAAGATCATATCTATCAAGAGCACACAGCTTAACGTTCAGCTTGCTGATAACCTTCAAGGACGTGTGGATGTTTCCCAAGTCTTCGACTCGTGGGATGAGATTCGACACCCGAAGAACCCACTTCAGAAGTTCAAGCCGAAGCAGACTATCAAGGTCAAGGTTCTAGGGGTCCATGATGCAAGGAATCATCGCTTCTTGCCGATCTCGCATCGCTCAACGCATTCTCTCATCGAACTATCCGCCAAGCCAAGCGATCTGCAGGAGGAGGGTAGCTGCGAGCCCCTCGCACTGGACCGGATCACAGAAGGTTCGGAATGGGTGGGCTTCGTGAACAACATCAAGGCGAACTATATCTGGGTTAATCTTTCGCCCTCTGTCCGAGGAAGAATGGCCGCCAGCGATGCTTCCGATGACCTTGCCCAGCTCGGCAATCTCTCTGGCAACTTCCCTATTGGCTGTGCCATCAAGGTACGGGTCAAGGCTGTTGAAGCGTCCAAGAATCGCCTTGACCTCACAGCTAGGACCTCGGACGACTCTAATGCCATCACCTGGGACAATATCAAGAAGGGCTTGGTCCTTCCCGGCAAGGTGACCAAAGTCACTGACAGATCTGTTCTGGTCCAGTTGAGCGAGGATGTCTCCGCTCCTGTGCACCTTGTTGACTTGGCAGACGATTATGACGAAGCCAGCCCAAAGAGCTTCACGAGGAATGAGATCGTTCGAGTGGCTGTCGTCGATGTCGACGCAAGCAACAAGAAAGTCCGGCTTTCGACACGTCCCTCGCGAGTCCTCAACTCTGCTTTGCCGGTCAAGGACCGTGAGATCACCCTAGTTTCTGGCCTCAAGACGGGTGACATCGTACGAGGCTTTGTTAGGCATGTTGCAGACCAAGGCTTGTTTGTCAACCTTGGTGGCCATGTCACAGCCTTCGTCAAGATCACGGACCTATCGGACATCTTTTTGAAGAGGTGGAAGGAGCATTTCCGGATGGACCAACTCGTGAAAGGCCGTATTATAGCCATTGATTCAGCCCTTGGACAGGTCAATCTGAGCCTGAAGGCTTCTCTTGTCGAGCACGACTACGTACCTCCTCCTACTCTTGCCGATTTCAAGGAAGGCGAGGTAGTGAAGGGCAAAGTCCGCAGTGTCGAAGACTTTGGCGCTTTTATTGTCATCGATGGGTCCGCAAACGTCAGCGGGCTCTGCCATCGGAGCCAGATGGCGGAGAAAAACGTCAAGGATGCCAGGAAACTCTACAGTGCTGGGGACGTTGTGAAGGCCCGGATTCTGAAGATCGATTCTGAGAAGAATCAGATCAGCTTCGGGCTCAAGGCATCCTACTTTGAGGATGGCGATGAAGATTCGGACGCAGATAACTCGGATGATGAAGCAGGCGTAGCGTTGGATTCTGACGCAGAGGACGACAGCGACGAGGACGATGAGTTCATGGATGCCGCTGAGGTCATCATCCAAGGCACAGACAACCTTGATGATTCAGACGAGGAGGATGAAGACACTGCAATGGTTGACGCATCTTCTGGAGATACTGGTGGCCTCGATGCCGGTGGTTTCGATTGGTCTGCTGGGGCTCTGGACGAAGCAGGTGACGAGTCAGATGCTGAAGCAGACGAAGCCGATGACAGCAAGGAGAAAAAGAAGAAGAAGAGGAAAGCGGAGATCCAAGTTGATCGGACGGCTCAATTGGATGTCAACGGACCCCAGACCGCGGAGGATTACGAAAGGCTCCTGCTTGGACAACCGGATTCCTCTGACCTATGGATTCGTTACATGGCTTTCCAGGTGCAAGTCAGTGAGCCAGCGAGGGCACGCGAGATTGCAGAACGTGCCCTCAAGACAGTCAACATACGCGAGGAGTCAGAGAAGCTCAACGTGTGGATCGCTTATCTGAACTTGGAGAACAACTTCGGGACGGATGAGACGCTGGCCGAGGTCTTCAAACGGGCGTGTCTGTATAATGACGAGCAGGTGGTACACGAGCGGCTGATCAACATCTACATCATTACCGGAAAACAGGATGTAAGTGATTGTCTTTCTCAATTGTGCGGTGTGACAGTGCTGACGAGCATACAGAAAGCCGACGAGCTCTACCAGGCCATGATCAAGAAGTTTGGTGCCAAGTCACCACAAGTCTGGACCAACTATGCAAACTTCCTCCACAACACTGTGAAGGATGCAGAGCGTGCTCGTGCACTCATCCATCGCGCGACACAACGACTCCCCTCTCAAACTCACCTCCCTCTGATGACCAAGTTTGCCAGCTTGGAGTTCCGGTCCGCCAGCGGAGATCCAGAGCACGGCCGAACAGTGTTCGAGGGTATACTGTCCGCGTACCCCAAGAAGTTTGACCTCTGGAACCAGCTGCTCGATTTGGAAACCTCGGCGTACAACGCGGCGAAGAAGAACGAGGATGGCAAGGCCGACCCCACCCACGTCAGGGAGGTCTTTGAGCGCGGCACAAAGACCAAGGGGCTCAAGCCGCTCAAGGCCAAGAAGTGGTTCCAGAGATGGGCCAAGTGGGAGCAGGACAACGGCGACGCCAGGAGCAAAGAGAAGGTGATGGCCAAGGCCACGGAATGGACGAGGGAGGCCGAGGCGAGGAAGCAGAAGGGCGAGGACGAGGATGAGGAGTGATAGATGTCTGAATATGCTATACCCCGTGCGGGAGAGGAGCCGTATCAGTGTTAGACAAGGGAAAAGTATCAATTGAAAGCGTTGCTCCAATTTGAGCATCTGGTCAGCCATGGTCCGTGTCAGACCGTGGCCTCTATCTCATCCATGGGTTTTGAAAATCTTGAGACCAAACATGTGGGCCGCGCTTGGACAGCGCAGAGAGAGCGCATTCGGTTCCTGGTCAATCAGACTACAGTGCGGTCAACAAAGCACCAAGACAGACGTTCAGTGTAGGAGAACACCTATGACTAATTGAATCCGCACTGGATAATACGTGAAGGAAGAAGCATTGGCGATGCTAATAGTCAATGTCTCCATCGCGATAAGGGGGTGATCTGATATTCAGGGAGGTGTGGAGTTTTCTGCAGTGAAGCGAGAATGCTTGTACATAGAGGAGCGTACGCGTGGTCACATGGGGATTTCTGGACCCTCAATTCAACTGGCACTCCCTCAGCCATTCGATGAATCTTGACTACATCTGCCGGCCTCATGATTACACGTGCTGATAGATGTGTGGGAGGGATGCCCCTTTGGCAGACTGGACATCGCCCGTAGGCTCCGGTCTGATACTTCCTATCAACACTTGCCCCATCTGTGGGGACTATGGATTTGTTCTCTAAACCCGGAAGCAATATCAAATATTGCACCGCGCCGCCCGCACACCGCTCCTGGGCGACGGCGACGAGACGGACGGGAACCTCTGTGAGGCGATCGCGAGCAGCGGGCCGGCCGTTTGTTTGACAGTCCGATGACCACTTGTGATCCTTGAGGCCCCGCCAACGATCAACGTTGGCCCCGACGACCCCGGGCGTGCTGGACCAAGCGCCCGCTGATCAACAACCCCGCCGTGGCCTTGACCAACTTGTGATCCCGCGAAAAAAAAAAAAAAAAAAAACCCAGGGGTAGTATGCAACTGTCCTCTGTCTCGCCGGGCTTGCCGCCAGCCCCGGCGGCTGACAGGGGGCGCGCCTCACGGTCACCAGCCGCCCGTCTCTGAGCCCGCTTGGGCCGAGGATGTCTGCCTCCGACGAGGTCGTGAGGAAAGGGCACGGTTGCTTCTTGTGTGATGGATAGAATATCATGCGCGGGGGCGAAGGGGCGGGTGGTGATGCTGTCAGACCAGACGGTGGCTCTTGGCTGGGTGCCCGGGTGGGAATGGTGGTGGGATTGGACCGGGGCACGGGGGCTTAAGGATGTACACATTTACAGGATTAATATTTGAGACACACGGTATTTAGTGGTCAATATCACAAGGACGTGGTGGTCCAGTGAGAGGGGGGGAAACACCGAGTCAACAATAGATATGGCTTGCAGCGAGTCGATAAGACCATCGTAGTAGTTGCATTTGAGCGTGACGGGAGCCTCTGCAAAACTTAACTTTAATTGTGTGGGGGAACAGGGCTGTCGTCTTTGCTTTTTTGTTCTTCGCGCGTACTTTTCCAAACCTCAACAGTTCAGCGCATTGCGAAGTTCGCAAATTACTGCAGTAATATTGAAGGGTCCAGGTCCTATCACGGAGGCCATATCACAGATGCATCATCTGATCATGCAGTCTTGAGAGAGGCATTGATGCCTGACACAGAGTGCCATATCCACTTGTGGAGCGAGTAGCCAAGCATCGCTCTCCGAGCACGTTCTCGAGTGGGACATGCGAAATACTGTGGGCTGGACAGAGGAGCGCCTCCCGCCACCCCTTCAGCTCGTCCATCCCAATCAATAACCAGCCTTGTGACGATCCAAAGTGGAACGCGGTGCCGGGGCAGATCGAGCCTCCCCGACACCGCGGGCTGGCTGCTGACTGTCTGACTGTGTTGTATGTGTACAGATCAAAAGTACTGGATCGGCACCAACGCTTCCGGCGCACTGGCACCGTAATCTCTGTTGGAACCTGAAGATCCCCACAAGTATACGAGCAAGCAACCGATGATGCGTGGACGAGTCGAGTCCGAAGGGCCTCAGCCGTCCAGGTGGTGGGTGACACACGCTGACACGGCGCCCAGGCAGGCCAGGAAAGGACCGGGCGTCGCAGCGAATGAGCGAGGGGTGATAAGAAATCCCCGGATCGAGACGGCTGCAGCTTGACACCTGGGGGATGTGACGGGTGTGACGCTTGCCCCAGAGGTCAATCCTCTCCCGCCGCGCCAACAGATCTACGCTACAATGTTAGACAGAAAGTGTCATTGTCTACGAGTATACTTATCATCTCTGTGCACACATGTGGTGGCCGCCCCGGCAATTTGGAGCCGTCGCGTATTCAAACATTGACGAGAGGCCCACCTGGCCTAGCCACAGATGCCGACGGGCGGCGGCGCAAGTGGTGCCAATGTACTGTGGATATTATTTCGTGCAACACAGATACTGCGGATTAAAAATCCAGCATGGCACAGGGGCCGGCGACAGGCTGTGGGGACTCGGGTCAGGCCCGCGGGACAGAGACAAGAGACAGACAGACAGACAGACAGACAGACAGACAGACAGACAGCTGCGCCGGTGTAATACAATTGCTTATTCCCGCCGGAAGCAGCCGTGGATACGGGACAGCACGGACAATGTTCTACTTTTTCAGGTAGGGCTTAGCATCACCCAGCCTGACAGGTGCGGATATGCGGCGTGTGACGGAGATGTTGTCGACGTGCTCGGCTGAGTCGCTGATCATATATTGCATGTGAGTGGCATTTGGCCCAAAGGATTTTATTAGGGACCGCAGACCTGCCCGGAGACGACAACCCCAGGTGAGGCAGTCTGGCAGAATGTGCCGTGAAAGACGTCCTCGTCGGGTAATGGGAGCAAGGCCGGCCATCCACCTGTCTGCCCAGTGCCCCAGTGGCCACCGCGACGCGAGATTGAAGAAACCAGAAATGTGGGAGTCGTCGGCGCGGAATTCGGAGTTCCCACCTCGGTACTAGTCTACTAGCCTGGTGTAGCCCCATCATTCCCGTGCTCATCCAGATCAATCAAGATCCCTGCTACTGAAATTTGAGGAAGGCTTCCAGAAGGGCGGCTGCCCCGGGACGCCGAATAACAAAAGCAGTCTGGTGCGCGGGCGATTCCACAGACTGACCAGTGTCCGGTAGGTCTTTTAAAAGACCCAGGGCGGTCCGGCCCAATCCTGATGGGCCGTGACGGATGGGCACGGTTTCAAGCGTGCTTTGACCAGGAAAGATGAGGAAGGTCGAGACGCCAGGACGCCCGACGATTGAAAGACCACTGTGGAGACTCTGTGGCTGTATGGGGCAGACTAGTCCAACGGGCAGAAATGGACGATGCGATGAGTCGACGACTGACTGGGCTTTGCTTTGCAAATGGGGGACCGCCTGTCGGCCCTTCCCCCCCCCCCTTCTTTCCCCCCCACGTGCCCGTGTCTCACTCAGATGCCTGCCGAGTCAGTCATCTGAGTCCAAGTTTGGCCGTGTCCATGCATCGGGGACGTTTCTGTGAGCCTAATTAGACATGATGAGACGGGTGGGAAAGACTGGCCGCCGGGGAACTCGGATATCGCTTAGGGAAGGCGTGCCGGGATGAGGGTGACCAGACTACTTGTCTATGCATGTGCATGTAGAACAACAGTCATCACCACACATCCGGAGTTGTTATGCTTCGGGGCGGCTGTTGGGCTGCCGTCTATCTTCCCACATATCGGTCGGGTCAGGCGGGTCATACGACAGCGGCCAAGCGTGTGAGCACCGACGCCCGTACTAGTGTGCTGCGCCGGTGGTCGTGTGCTCACAGCACATTGGCGATGGATTGACAGAAAAACAACAGAGAGCCAGCAGATGGGTTGTGGTGAATGGACAGAGCTGACCATGCCCGTCCCATACCGTGCCATCCGTCCATCCATCTATCCGCCCTCCGCCCTCCGCCCTGCCTGCCACCCGTTGGAATACACGTAGCAAGGGCGAATGTGTCACTGCGTCAGTCATGTCCAGCTCAGCCTGTTTCTGAGCCTGTCTCGTGTTGAGCTGCTATCAGCACCACCCATCCGGCCAGCCCAGCAGCCCAGCGAGGGAAGGGGGTCCAGCTTGGGGGTGCCGGGGGGGGGGCCAGTCACAACCCCAGGAATAGAGTCGCGATTTTAGGAGTTCCTCGGGAAGGCACAGTCCTCTGGGCACCAACAGCGGTCTCCCTTGTCGCCCGCCCTTGTCTCCTTCCCTTATCAGCTCCCCCGCCGCATGTCTCGTCTCACCCTTTTTGGGTATGCTGAGTACCTGGCTCCTGCCAAGTTTGGTCACGTACCTGGTAGTCATGGGCCGTCACAAAGGCTACTTGTACTTGTCCAAGCGTAGAAGTAGACAGTCCCGCTGCGGTACGTACCTGGGCAGTGCCGCCCCGAGACAACGAGAGGGAGAGGTCCTCCCCTCGTTGGGCCTTCCCTATCGGTAATCGGTATCAGTGCCACTTCAGTATCAGTATCCAGCCTTGGGGGCGCCTGCCTGTCCTGCCCGTCTTGCCTGTCTTATAATCAGGCACACTTCTCACTCCATGCTGGTCGGATGCCACGGACGCCTCCTCTCTGCCATTTGCAGCCAAGGGAAGCACACCCAAAACAAAACATCGTGTGCTTGGTGCAGCACCTGGAAAACTGCCGCTCGACTTATCTGAGAGAGAGAGAGTAGATGCTTGGCACTCACCGGGTTCCATTGAAATACCCAGTGACGAAATCACCAAGCAGCCGACGGCGACTCCCGATGAGGTCACACGGATAGAGGGTCAAGAAAAGGGTCCTTCTGTCCTGTCTGATCCACCCCGATCCGATTCGATTCGATTCGCCGCGCCAGACGAAACCTGGACCTGGACCTCAAGTTGAGCCCGAACTTGGTTTTGCCCTTGGCTGGCTCGGGGAAGACCAAGGCACCACGATAGCCGTCCAGACAAAGACCAGAAAAGCTGGCCTGCCAGCCCAGTTGAAGCGGAGCACACGACGGCGCCCGCCCCAGAGACAAAGGGTCAAAAGACCCTCGTCCCACGCTGCACGCGACATCTTTCCACGCTCCACCCGCCCGCCCGCCGTTCCCACCTGCAAAAAAACGTCTGCGCCGATTGTACTGTGTGGTCTAGCATAAAAGCTTATCATTGGGAGACCAAGCGCGAGGCAGAGGCCTTCCTCTTGTACATACATGATATATGTATGTGCCCTCGGCCCTCGCTCTGTCCCAGCCAACATACAACGAAACGCGAATTGGCCACCGACAGGCCCAAAGCAGACTTGCAGCCAATCCCGACCTCCCGGTTTGCCTTTGACTGGTCCGGCCCTGCATACTGACAGCGTTCCCGTTACGTACTCTTACGTACAAACAACGAGACCCTGAACCGAACCCATCGAGCCCGCCGCCTCTCGCCCTGTCGGAGTCTCCCAGTAACGGCTCGACTCTGCAAACAAGCATCATAGCCCTACCTTGTCGGCATCTCCTGGGTCCCGTTGGGTAAATCAGAACCTTCCAGTTGGCTTCTCGACCGCGCCCAGGCCCACCACTGCATGACCACGCTCACAGACCGGCCCAAGTCCGCCGCAGGGTCCCCTGCCACGTTCCCAATACTCACAGTCGCACCGGATATGTCCACGGCTGCACCATATCTGCAATCCTGCACACTCCCTGGGCCAAGCCTTGTCTGGCCCAGACTAGCACATCCAGCAATATGATGTCGCCCAGGTCCCTCCTTTTTTCCAGGCACAGTCAAAACCTCCACGCCCCCGTCTCCAGCTCGACCGCTGCCTTTCCCGGCTCCCCTCAGATCCCTCAGGCCCTCTCACCACCGGATAGTCCACCTTCCACTCCGCCACCGAAAGGAAAGCATGGTCGCGAGTTCAACTTTCATCTTGGGCCCCGCAGTTCAACAGCAAGCGTTACTACCACCAGGATGGCTGTGACTTCGCGACGGCCGGTGAAATCAGGTCACGCGACCCCAACCCCGAGCCCCCCTAGATCCACGACGACGACTTCCTCAAGACCGACCACGCCTACGAGCCCTGTGCAGATACCAATCAAATCCAAGAGAGACACCGCCAACCCCCCAAAACAACGCAACCACCGGTATCATGACCAACGGCGGCACCGTTCCAGCTCACCCCGGTGGGGGGAGTTGCACTCCCCCGATGCGATTCCGCCTTCGGTGGCTGCGCTCCTCGCAGTCACTGCTATCCCCCCGCCCAGAAACCAGCGCGCTCAACGGCAGCGCGCGGTCAAGGACAAGGAGAAGCGCATGACTGTCGAATCAATACTGCAGAGCCAGGAATCCGAGAAGGAACTGAGTCTCAACTTCATCAAAGGACCCCTGGATGTTTTGCTGAGTCCGCCCGAAGATGTGGAGGACGATGACATGTCCATCGGAGAGAGCACCATCGCATCCCCCCTCTCGACCAGAACCGTCTCGTACGAATCCGTGCAATCGATGCCTTCATTGACCGATTCTTTCTCGACTGACACCATGTCATCTGTCGGGACACCTCAGAGTCCAATCAGGGGCCGAAGAATGCAGCCCACGAGGAGGTCGCTGACGCCGGTGTCCTCGCCACCTGGGAAAAGAGAAGAGCACCCGTTATCATTAGACGAGGAGACAGATGAGCTAGACTTCAGCGTATTCGACGCTTCTCCTGAGACAGAAGAGAAGAAGGGGGGGATGAGGCTAGCCTTCCGGCCTTTCAGATCCGCCTTCAAATCCAACTTGACCTCCAGCTTGCGCGCCCTTCGAAACGCTGCGCGCTCCTTTGGGAGCATGAACATGCCATCGATCCCGCCCGAAGACTTCCTCACCCGCTCGATACTTACCATGGAGCCTAATGTGCCTTTCACGGACGAGCGCATGCCACCAACCCTAGATGAAGAACCATCCGCAGCTGTGCGGAGATATCTGAACCCGACTCAAACGGCTCGACTAGAATCACAGGCATCGGCATCTTCTCAGAAGGCACACAGCACGTTCACGGCTTCAATCCAGATGCAGACCTACAAGGTACACCGATCGAGAAGTGCGCCGTCAGGCTCCCGGAGCCAAAATGCCGCGCCGCGTTCCTCAAATGGGAACCAGTCAACACGAGGCAAAGAAGCGGGTTTCTCGTTCTCCCCCGGACCACGACAGCGTGAAATGCGGGAAAATTCCGACTTTATCCGCATCGCCGTGATGGAGATGGCCATGCGCAGGAGCGGCAAGTTGGACGAGCAACGCCCTGGCCGAGCCCGGTGGGCACTTCCTCCCAGGAAGACGAGCACGAAGCCGTATGAGACTGGAGTCGATGGCGTTCCGACACGATGGGTCTCGGTGACGTACTGATAAGTTCACTAGAGAAGAGGAACGCGCATTTACCGCACGTGCACGTCTTTTCCTCGGACGCAGACATCACGGCAGGCTTCTGCGGCCCTCAGGCAAACGTGGGGTCGTCATCGCGCTTACGGGACTGTTACAAAGATGCATCATCCCGCGCAGCTTATCAGCGTTGATCCGATCGGCTAAAAGCACGATTCTTGACTCAGCCAAAGGTGTTTGACGAATGCAGGGCGGCCATGTTATCTGCAAGGCTGCCAGAGCACACATTCTGACCAGCCGATATCGCGGGACGCGCACAAGATTGCGGAAGCCGCGACTCATGGCACAGCAACATCATCATGCAGGACATTGCAAGGATTCAAGATCCAATGGTCCACAAGCGACGCTGTCCCCCACCGCCTTGGGTCGAATGCAGGTCCGGTGGAACCTGGGGTTCTGGACCCTGGCCGGATCTGGCTATGCATTAGCCGCGCTGCTGCGACACGACCGACAAATTTTTTTCTTCCTCTCTCGCGTCGGTCACCGCTCACTCGGGACTGCGATGGAAGCTGGGCTTTGAATCGCGAGGGCCGCTTCGCTCCGCTTGACAATCTTCTTGGAGCACGCCACAACGTTGCGGGTTGATCGGGTGTGAGGCCCGAACAGTGGGGCAACCGGACTGGATCAGGAGACTTGTTGCAGCTGACCATTCCAAGATTTTGATGGAGATGCCGAGACCGAGGCATGGTCACATACATCACTTTGATGTCGATCAAGAAGATACACACAGTGGGACACAGCAGGACAATGATTTGATCAGGTCAAGTCACTGCGTATCACTGATACAGGTGCTGGCCTGTCGATTACAGTGACGAGAATGGTGGCTGCTGGCCCGTGTCGACTCTCGTCCGGGGGCAACCCCCTCGTGCAGATCACTTCGACATCCACTACCAACAACATATTACGGGACCCGCAGGCTGACAGCAGCACTGCGGCTTAAGAACGTCAGGATTTGAGACTGTTCGAAAGATCAGGACACGTTGCTCACGCAACTTCAGCGGCGTCCAATCCTTGCAAATCACGATCAACTTTTTATCGATTCGGAGTTGGGACATGGCAGTAAGAGGCTTTAAAGTATGTGCGTTCGCTTTTGCATGAGCATGGCGCGCATTGGTTATTTTCTGGATAGAGCTCCGACTTATGACAACGTGCATCTATGGGTGTCTGGTCTGCCTTTTTTTGGACGATGATTTGAATTTCACTCGAGCACACATTTTGGGGAGCAATCTTGACTTAGAGAAAGGAATTGGTACAAGGTGTACAACATGTATGATACCTGTGGCAAGCACTTGCTGCCGAAAGATTATACGATAACGAAACCACGTGCGCAATGTTTCATGCTAGGCCTTTCATTAATCCTTTGAACTGGACCCTTTGGTATCAACACGCTCGTGCGCCGGCCGCTCATGTACAGTGACGACACCCAGCCGGGCCGCGCCGCCCTGATTGATCCGCGGACATCTTCCTGCTGCGCTGACTCAATTCCCGGCCCGTGTTGAGGCTCTCTGATGCCATCCTGGTGAAAAGTATGAGCAGGGGGCGAATTTCGTTGTCCGCAAGGGCCTCGCGAGAAAGACGCAGGGGGAGAAAAAAGAAAAATTCATTTTTCTTTCAACCCTTTTTTACTCTTGTATGCTGACATGTGTCAGTGGCAAATCAATGCTAGACCGCACCTTGCGGGTATTCCATCCACACCCGTCACTTGGGGACAGACAAGGTTAGCATGGATTGGATGGTGTGTTTCTGTTAAACTCTCGGTGTGACTAAGTGAGTGACAAATAGATAAACTGACTGATTGACCGACTGAGCATGTGTGCAACTCGTTCGCGCCGAGGCAGAAGTTGACATGGTCGGTAAGCAGCAAGCAGTAAAAGCACGGATGATGGCATGTGTGAGATGCTGGAATTGCACAGTCCCGGAGCCGGAAAGAAATAGCATACTCTGCAGGGGCACTAGTAACGATCAATTGTGCTCTGCTGCGAGGGCTGGGTGAGAAATGGTTTGTACGTGCTCATTTCTGAGACCAGCCTCCAGCAACAGAATTTTCTGGGTTTCTACGTCTACAAGTACCTTGTGAATTTGAAAACTTTTTACCGTGTCTGCAGACGAGAGAATCGTGTTTGGCCTTCCTTACCCGGGGAGAGTGTTGATTGAAGTTGTTCGTGGGTTCAACCTGATTATCCTGATCTGATCGAAAGATGGTTTCCCAACGCCATGCTCTTCAACGGCTGAGTGATGAATTCCTGTTTCCAGAGATTTCCAGAATACAACTGAAGCTTCTTCGACTCACGCCCGTTGTGCAAGTTTGAGTATCTTTCGTGGAGCTTTATGCGTGAGGACAGGGAGAGAAAACAAACACAAAAGCCGAAAACCTCTGCAACGCGTCCCTCAAGTATCCGTAGTACACAATATCAATCAAAGGGAAAAAAATGTAATCGAAGAAGAATCTAGCCATTGGCGGCTCGAATGAGCAGCACAGCACCTTGAACAATATTCCAAGAACCGGAAAACATCCTACGCACATTGCTCAGGTCCTGCAAGTCCGAGAGTGAATCGACCGCGATAATACCCAGAAGCAAAACCACGTCGTACTTCCATGCAACGGATGTGACCGTAGAATGGCTCAGAAGACAGGGCCCAGTCACGGGCAGATCGGCGCAGGAGCGGGAAATAGAGCCCTGGGTGAGAACACTGGTGGGTGAAGAGCAACACACAACAATGATGACTATGCGCGCGCTGCTTAACGCGGAGAATGTGCCACAGTACCTCGCTAGGCATACGTAAACGTCGGCGTACTTAGCTCCACGAACTGCACGATACTACTGATTTGAGTTGGAAGAGAATGATAATGCATGCGCTGTAATATGATAAAATCCCTGACTCCTAATGCTGCTTGGGTCTACATGCGGTGTGTGTGTTTTTGTCACCCTCCGCGCAAGCGCTCATTGAATTTGTCCGCCCAACCCAGCATGCCATGTCTCCCATAAAAGCGAAAAAAGAATCTTCCTTGCAGAGAATAGAAATTAGGAAGGCTCCATTGTGTAATGGAAAGGCAAGTCATTCTGACCTGCTATAATCTAACGATTGTTGCCACCTCAAGTTCCCCCTTTTTCCAGATGCTCTCGTCCCAATCCAACCCAGATTGAGAGAAAGAAATAAAAAATGCCCGCCCTTTGCAGAATGCCACTGCATGTCCCGCTCTTGCGATTATGTACAATGATTACAGCGTGTACAGCAAAGTTGTCCACCCCGCCCTGTTGACGAGCCCCTCTAATTTCATGACCTGGGTTTCATCAACCCTTTCATAGGCCCAGGCATCAAGCCCCCGCGTGTGATCTCCTCGCCTACGTTGCTCCTCTCCCTCTCGAGGGCAGAGCCTGCTTCATCCTCCTCGATGACGTCGTCCACAGCCATGCTCGCACTCCTTGACGACCACCGCGACGCCGGCCGACGCTTGTCCTCGCTGTTGGCTTGGATAGGTGCGGTCGACGGCGACGCCGGTGGTCCTTCGCGATCCGTCTTGTTGTCTTTGTTCAGCTTGGACGTGAGCGCCGAAAACTTTTCCTTGAAGAATCCGCTTGCATTGCTCTCACTCCTACCACTGGCGCCGTTCAGGGCGCTGAGCATTGTCCGGCGCCTCTCGATACCCGACTCGGGGGAGTTGGCGTTTGGACTTTGTTGGATGCTCATGTTGCTTCCACGGCGCTGGCTACCTCCGAACCCACTGCTGTTGAAAGATCGCATACTGCTACTTGAGGAAGGCCGCAGCATGTTGACGCCGAAGCCGGAAGGCTTGTTGCCGCTTGACTCGGAGTTCGTCCTGTCCTTAGGCGTGGGCGGCGTCATCATCAAGAAACTGGGCACGACAGGTCCAAGGCCCTGCTGAGAGCTCGAGGCGCTGGCACTGCCCGATGGGGTGTTGCCGGTGTTGACGTTCAGATGCCCACTCCTGAGGGATCTGCTGCTGGATGCTACACTCGAGCTGCGACTAGTACTTCGCGGCAGGGGAACCGAGGACCCTGAGCCGTGCAGCGACCTTGGCGGCGACCTGGAGAAGTCCACCGTTGCTGACCCGAATATACTTGATGAATCGTCGCCGCTGTTATTTTGGCTGTCACCTATCGCCGGGGCTGCTAGCAAGACCGAGCTGTTTGCAAGCTCACGAAGTTTCGATTGTTGCGCCGTGTTGGGCCGATGCCTGAACTTATTGCCGATGATGGCGCCGGTATGGCTGATCAGGGCCTTCATCACTCGGCTCTTGAAGGCTAGAGCGAGGTCAAGATTTGACCACATCTTGTTGTGGTACTCGATGGTGGGCAGCCGGAAGACAAAGTCGTGCACGTCCTCGATGTTGCGGTCGCCCTTGCCTTTGTAGCTCAGGCAGAGCACCACCGACGGCAGCTTAATATACGCGAATGTCATGTAGTTAGACGCTCGACTGATCATCTTGGTCAAATCGTCCGAAGGCGCTTCATCCTTGTTGTCTGACCTGCGGAGGTTGAAGCGCGACTTCTTCGAATCCGAGTTCACCGAGCTGGTCTCAACCTTGGACGAGAAGCCCGTATTTGTCCTACCAATGCCGGGTCGTGTAGGATTGGGAGTGGCTCGAAGAGAGTCCCACGACCGCTTTCTGGCCAGGCCCTTGTTCTTTGACCCGAAGAGCTTGAATGGCGCCGACTCGGCCGAGTGGACGCTGAGCGCCTTGTTGCTTTTGGGCGGACTTCGTTTGGCCTCGGATGTCAGCGTTGGACGCAACCGAAGCTCCAGTGAGCCAGCTCGAGTCGAGAAATTTCCAGGATCGAGCCTGTCTATGTCAGAGACGGCAGTGGCAGGCCGCGCGTAGTCTTGGATTGAGTCGTCATCGTCATCTGCACCCTCATCACCTGGCAAAGTCTGCTTCAGTATGAAAGGAGAGGCATTCTGCCCGTCACCTCCAAACTTTTCTCCATCCATTTCAGGGAAAATGTACTCGAACAGTTTCTTGCCGACCTCTCGTTCCAGCTGCACCTTTAGCGGGAAGAGGTTGACCTCGAAGTGCTCCATGACGGGGATGCCGGCAATTGCCTCGAGCATATACCAGTACACCGTGATCATGGGCTGGCTGTTGAGGAGCGCAGCGGATTTGGCATCCTCGAGGTACGGGGCGACCATCTCAGGATAGATGGCGTCGGGCAGTAGGTTGAGGCCGAGTACACTGCCCACACGGGTCAGGTTGATGTGTGAGCCATCGGAATTGTCAGTCCTGTCATACTCGACATCCCTGAGCTGCAGCTCGCACAACGGCTCGTTCGCATCCCGAATAAGGTGCCACACGATATCCTTCACCGAGATGGACCACTTAAGTAGCGCATTGCTCTGCGACGTATCGTGCTTTCGTTGCGAAGTCGTGATAGCCTTCATCATGAAGAACAATTCATCTTCGCAAGCTGCAAGGTCCCTCTCCAGAAGCAGCCTGTCCTGCCAGCCCTGGTCGTCCAGGTACTTGGAATGGATTTGAAAGTGCGATTTGATGTCCTCCAACTGCCTGATACGCTCTTGCAACTTGGTGACCATCTCGGGTGTGCCTCTCAGATCACTGAAGTCGGATGCCAACATGATCTTTTCGAGACGCTCGCTGCGGGTCTTCTCAAGAGGCTCATTGTACATGAGCAGGTCCAACACAATGACATATATCGCATAGTATTGCGAAGAATTGCAAATGGCTCGCGCCTGGGGAAATTCGACCCAAAGATTGTCCATGCGATTTTCAGTGGCTTCGTTCGACTCGCCGTCCGCCGCATCGCCCGAGTTGACCTCGTCGTTATACTTGAGACGGAGCGTGTTGTACTTGTCGTAGCGGAGCATAGCGGATGTTTTCTGGACAACACGCTTGAAGCCCACAGGGTCCGTTTGGAAGTCGGACATCACCTCCATAGGCACCCAGGGGGGCCAGGCCGAGCCACTCGGTGCACCGTAAACGCTACCAGAGTACAGCGGAAGTAGTTGGCTCGAGAACCATTTCTGGTGGGAGACGAAGAACTGGGTGCTGTCCATGTTGACCAAGAATCGCCGCTGGACAAGACCGCTGACAGAATCGGATATTCTGTCCTTATCCAACACTTCGACGACTTTCAACTCCATGCCCTTGCTAGTTAGCATGACAACATGCTTCTTGTTTTTCTCGCTTTGAAGCTGAATTTGCGGGGCAATGAGGCGGACATGGTAGCTGTTCTGTGGCGTGAAGCCATCGGCAATTCCGCTGGTGAGATCCTCCATTGACACGTTGGGAACGTTATCGGCACCGGAGTCCTGGTCAGAATCGTTGGCATTGACGAATCTCCGGCCATCCTGGAGAATCTGCTTGATCCTGTCTTCAATGCCATTTTGCGCGCCCTGTGCTGACCCGTTTGATTTTGGTGTTGCCGTGGACTCGGATTTCCCTTCTTTGGGTCCATTTGCATTCTTGGTCTTGGTTTGCTCCTCCACAATGTCCAGTATGAATTTGACAGCCGGTCGCGAGAGGTAGTAGACGAAACCTCGTCGCTGGCTAACTTGGTGAATATAGCGAAGTATGATGTTCCGCAGGAGATTGTTCCACTTGAGTTGCAGATTATGCATGACGAAGCGATTCAGGAAGTCGCTGGCGAACTCAGCACCTGTGGGTAGCGACATCGTTTGTTCACCCGTGCCAACGGACGTGTCTGATTTGCCACTCTGGCCATTGGCGACGTTGTAGAGGCCACCACGTGAATCTTGCGGAGTTTTGGTGGTCATCTGGGTCAGCAGGTTTTCAAGAAAGCCCTTCTTGTCATGGAGGAGGTTACTGTGCATGAGGAGAGCTTCAAGATGTGTTCGAGCATCAGGGTCGTGGTCTCCGTCCCTGACAACCTTCAGCTCTGCCTCGCCGACATCACGGTCGTGGTTCTTGGTTTGGTCTGCCAACTGATCGAGGCGTTGTTGAACAAGCTGAGCCTGCACGCGGCGAGGATCGTCATCCTGACTCATTATACACAGATGGGTAGGCTCGTGTCCAAACGGGCTGGTCCTGTCTGGATCTCCGGCTATGACACCACCAATGTCAGTCTGTCGGAAGTAAGTGAGTCTGGGACAATAAGCAAGTGGCAGGATCTTGGTGTCCGGATTTGGTTCAGCTGGCAAGATCCAATCCAGTTCGACGAAGTCATCCATATCTACCCAGCTGAAGTCATTGTCAGGGATTGTGAATCTCGACAGATCCGTGCCGTCGTCTTCCTGCTGACTTATGAGGGAGCCAATATTGTTCTTCCTGATCGCCTCTGTTGTGGTGCCTTTGATGCTAGCAGATACAGCACGAACATCTGCAGCGGCCAGGTCTAATTGGCCAGCATGAATCTTCATCCCGGTAGTCCGGCTGCCTGCCTTGTGTCCTTTGTCACTGGTATTGAATTCTTCACGTCTCATGTGGAGGTCGAGTTTCCAGCTGTCGAAGCGGACTTTGATGCCGGTGGCGGACACGGCGTTCTCGTCGTAGTCTTCCACGTCCTTGTGCTTGTAGATATGACTCAAAAACAATGGAGCGAGCAGCAAGTTGAACTTGATGGTTCCGAGGTGTCTGCCGAACTTCTTGCTGCTCTTCTCTCGTCCTGGCCAAAGTGGACCTTGTCGAACGGGCAAAGACATGGGCCCGCCGAACAATGTCCACCATGCGAAAAAGTGGGTGAAGAAACGCGGCGTCAGATGGACCGTATTGTAACTCCTCGAGGGCTCTACATCAGGAGACGCCCAGTCACGATCAACTGGCGCCCTGACAGCAATGGACAAGTGGATGTGCTGACTCCTAAAGCCCTTGAAGGCGTCATATGGGACACCGTTGACCGGCTTGGCATATTCAGGTGCCTTGAGAACCACATCGTAATGGGGACTGAAGTCGAAGTTCCTCCTGCCATTGTCGATGGCTTGCTCAAAGACGAGCCCGGCCATCCACTGAACCTTGCCCGACAGTTTCATGACCACCTTCTTGAAGGCAGAGCCAGACTTCATGCTGTCTTCGCTTATCACACTGTCGTTGTCGGCCGTCCGGCGGGCCGCTTCACGCGCATAATGTCCGAAATCAGGCACGGCGAGGACATATTCACCACTGTCCACTGTCATGAAGCGTTTGGGGTCGTCATCGGCCCGGATACTCCACCTGACATCGTTTCGCCAGCACATGAGGAAGCCAGCACCATTCCCAGTGATCTGGTAGGGATCCCTAGCTCCCTTAAGGCAGAAATGAACATCGCCATCTCCCTTCCAAGCGATGCGTACGCGGGAATGGAAATTGAGTCGAATCTTGTCCCAGAAGCCGACGCGTTCGGATGGATCCGATTGCGGTTTCGTGAACGATTCGATGACCATCATCATGTCTTGGATGGCGGGCTGATACGATGGGCCCCAGGTAATCCTCGTTGGCAATGCCGTATTGATGTCGACGTACATGTCGGAAAACGACTTGATCGGCCCGATGGTGCGCCTGACATCGATAAAAAAGCCGGGATTCTTGGTTCCGTCAGCGTTTGGAGGTGATGGATGGATGACGTTCACTCGGACGCTCCTCGTTGACTCGACGCCGCGGAATTCCTCTGCAATAACGAAGTCTGTCTTCAATGACAGAGCAGGTATGCGTGTGGACTGTCCTGCTTTGAGGCTGGGCACGTGCAGAAGAGGCAGTGGGTAGTCCCTCAGTGACACTCTTGCTTCTCCCATGTTGATTTGGACGTTCATGGGGACAAGCAAGGAATATTTCATATCGCGAGGCATCCCCTTGCCGACTCTGTGGAGGAATTCCGGAAGTTGCTTCAACGGGAAGGAAGGCTTGTCGATCATGAAATGAAGGTCGTGAATCAAAGCAGACATGAGAGCTGGCCGTTCTGGCATCTCCAAGATGCTCTCGTTATCCTCGAAATCATCGGGAATATTGCCCGTGCCCCAGAAAGCACTCCTTATGTCTTTCATGCCATTGCGTGCCATGGCGTAGAATCGGTCGATTCGAGACCTCCAACTCTTGGAGTTGTGTTCGTTCAATTTCGCTCGGGCATCCGCGATAGAAACCAGGGTATGTCCGCTAATACCACAACCGTTTTCTGGATCGTATCTTGGTGCTCGACCTCTGTCACGACCGCCGCCGCTCGATTCTGGCCGACGACCGTCGGCACTCTGGCTTCTGACCCAAGAGGTGCCAGAGTGGCTTGAGCGTCCTCTACCCGCAGCCGATCGCGCTCGAACGCCGGTCTCTTTTCTTGCCTCCTCGTGAATTTTCTTGACTTTGACCTTGAAGGCTTCCTCGCGTGCCAGTCTCTGCATTTGCTCTATGCGACCAGCTCGATAAATCATGCCAAGCTTCCACTCGAATGCACCGTCCTCTAGCTCAAAAAGCAGCGACTTGCATTTGACCGATACTTTTGGCACGTTCTTGGGCCCTTCAGGTCCTTTGTCCAAAACGTACTCGTCCGTGCCTGTCTTGAAGCGGTGGTGGAGTTGCTTGACGGCTTTGATCACGTTGTTGACGTTGTCGGAGACCTTGTTGAAAACGAGCTCATTGGGAACAGCACCGCGGACAGCATCGGCAACGAAGTCAAACATTTTCTCGTCTTGGTAACCGCCTGTGGGTAGCTTCCGGCGTGACTCTCGGTAGTCGAGACGCCCATTCTTGATGCTGACAAGTTTGCTCCAGACTCTGCGCATTCTTGGAGGCTCGGAGTATAGTCTGATCAGTCTCGTATGGAAAAACGGAGGAGACCAGCGATGGCGCCCAGCTTCCAAATTGTGTATGTGTAGCATCAGCGGAGGATCCGCTGGCATGTCTGCTTTAACTTGCACGAAAGTCGCCTTGAAGTCAACCGAAATCAATTCAGCCACTGGTGCGTTTTCCTCGTCGTTGGAGGAGTAGTCCTGCGTGGGAGGCGATAGATATTGTGCGCTGAGGCTGTGCCTTGGTGTAGTTGGTGTAGTAGGCATCTGCGGTGTTTGTGGCTCTCCCAAATCGGCGTTGTCCTTACTAGAGCGCAGGAAAGCTTTTCGGAGGACAGAAATAGCAACTCCAATTGCGTAATGCCGATAGAGAGAGTACTGTACCAAAAGCGTTTTGACATGTGAGTTGATGTGAAACACGGGCCCTTGATGGTCACTCGAGGTCGAGAGGGCGACCTCGAAGCGAGGTATGCTGAGAAAAGGATCAACCTCCCAGCGATCAGCCGACTCAACGACGAAAGCCTCCAGACCGCGGACGTGGAAAGCTATCCGACGTCCGTCGCCGGGATGCTGATGCTTTTTCCTCGGGGACGGAGGGAGATTTTTGAGGATTTCTGGATCGAGCGATACGCTGACGCGACTGTTGGCCCGTTTCCTAGCCGGCCGTCTAGGCAGTCCTTCAAGTCTTTGCGCTCGGTATTCAGCAGTCCACGTGTCCAGGGAAAGAGACACGCCTCTAGAGTCCTCGGAGACACCTGCATCAACACCAGCAATCTCAGCGCTGAAGTCTGACGCCTGCAGCTGAAAGTGAAGCAGCCAAGGCGGTACTCCTCGCAGGAAATTTGAATGCTTGGAAGGTTTCGGGGCAATCTTCTTCTTGGGCTCGGCCTCGAGACGCAACTGCTGGACGATCTGTTGCAAACCGTCCGTAATTTCTGGCCGAACAAGTTTGATAGAAAACGTCTGCAAGTTGCCATTGGCAACGACTGCGACGTCAGGAGACGCGCTCAGATTGACTTTCAGATCGAATGATTCCGTTTCCACGAGGTCGAACCGTTCTCCTTCAGAAGTCTGGTAGTACAAGTTGTGAGACTGAATCCTCAGGTTAGAGGCCAAAGAGTAATGCAGCTCTTCCCCAGTTGGATGGAACGATTCGGCATCGAGAGAGATGGACGATATGGAGGATATGATCAAATCAAAGTCATCGGGGTCTGCGTCCTTCTGGACAGGGGGGAGAGCTATGCGGAGGACTGGCTCATGCATGGAAAATTTAATGGTGGCTTTGGGAAGTAAGCGTGAGATCAACATGTGCCGTTGTTGAGGAGCCGTTCTTGCTTTCTTTGGCTTTGACCGAAGCATGGCCAGAAGCAGCGGGAGATGCTTTGGGTCCAGGTCCACCGAAGGCGAGGTGACGACAGAGTTCGCAAACAGGATATTGGCATTCCTCTGCTCTGCATTATCATTGCTGGGGAGCTGAACTGTCTTGGAAGGAAGCGTTGTCCTGACTGTCGTTGTCGCCATTGGCACATATAGCAACCGTTGTGGGCTCCCGAGTCCGTCATCAAGGCCGATGGAAATGGATAAGGCCGCGAGGAGAGCCTCGTGGGCAATGTCCGTCGAAGGGAAGTACATCCTATGAGCAGGTGACTTCGGATCCAGTCGATGAAGGTCGATGCCGACTTCTTTCATGGAGGCGTTCAGGATCACTGGTGGACCGGCGGTCTTTACCCCTTCGACCTTCTTGGTCAGCGCGAAGAAGCTGACAGCGAACTGTACTTCCTTGATGCCCCGCAATATCGAACTGACAAACTCCTTGGAATCGGAGACCGCTTGCATGAGCTCATCATCGGTGCTCCCAGGGTCTTCAATCTCCTGGAAAACTTTGTCGACATATTCATCCAGTGGCTCATCTGCGTGTGAACTAGCCGCGGTCTCGAGCTTGCGCTTCTGGTAGCGCTTGACCGATTCGCGAATCTCGTCCAAGGGAACGTGAACACGGCCGAACTTCACGGCAATGGAGGCGTCTCGCAAACCGTCCAGCTGCTCGTACAGGAACCCATGCACGTTCAATGTCGAATGATCCAGGACTTCGATCGACTCGCTTCCAATAGGCGTGAAGAGGACGCTTCGGACAGTCATGATCCATTCGGCCTGGTTCTTTCCGTGACCTTTTCCTGACCTAGGCCCCCAGAAGAATCGAGCCCGGTCCACCATCTTCCGCCGGGTGTCGACGGCCACCGTGACGCTCCCAAATTGGATGTTGCCAACGTCCAGGACGTTGGCCGTGGAGTTTGTGGCTACCACGTCGACCAAGCGCAGCCAGTTAACGTTCCTATGTAGCCTCTTGATGCGCTCTTTGATCCGCGTGAGGTGCTTCCATGTCTCACTGCGCTGGACGCTGGTTGTGGTACGTCGGACGAGCGGCGTCCTGGGGACTTTCAAGGAAGCCTCATCTTTCTTGTAGGACGCAGGGTCGTCCGGATCCTGGGCAAGGGCCCCGTTGGCGTTGCTGCGATCCAGCTCCACGAGATCGACCGTGACGACGAGCTCACTGACGACGACGCTGAGCCATGTGGGCTGGGCGAAAGTTGGCCTGTGGACGTTGAGCCCCAGCCCTCTGATCTCGATCTTGATGCCATCTTTGGGGACGTAAGCGAGGCGGCGCAGGGAGAAGTAGCCGATGCGCTGGATGGAGAGGCCGGTGAGGATTCGGAGGATGGCGAAGAGGACGAAGGAGGATAGATAGAGGACGACAAAGACGCCGAATATGAAGGTCGGGTTCAGGAGTGCCATGTCGAGGCGAAAGGCAACAACGCTCTACCTGGCGCGCGCCGATGTGCTATCTGGGGACATGTATGGTCAGCGTCCTCCCTCTATCTCCGACCGGTCCGCGTGACGGCAACGGGGCGGACGGCGGACAGTGGACGGTGGGTGCTGAGTGATATTATTATGGCACGCGACATACATGAACGAGGCCAACTTTGTAGCATTGTCCATTAGAGCGCTCGCTATACCAGCCTCGAGCAGGGTATGGAAATGTTGGGGAAGGTTTGGTGTAATGGGACGCCAAGCAATTGGAGGTCGCGATGGTCAAATTGGTTACAGCGCGGAGGAAGCTTGCAGCTTTGACGGGGCGGGATCTGTCAGCAACACAAAGGCCAAGGAAACTGCGCAATCCTGCTTTTGTCATGCGGGAGCTCTGTGGTCGGCTCGAGGCTGGTGGGAGCCTGTTGGCAGAGGAGGCGTCAGGGGCGAATCGAACGGGAAGCGAAAGGTGTCACAAAGGAGGAGAGATCGCCGGCGACAAGCTACCCAGAGCAGAAGTACAGCACACGAACACGATAGCGAGCAGGGCCAGGTCGGAGTCCAGGACTAGGTGATCGGTGTTGTGTTTGGGTTGGTGAGATGGGCGGAGGATCGGGGACTAATAGACCGCCGCTGGTTAGAGTTGCTGCCCTGCCTTTCGTCGAGTCGAGCCGGTTCGAGTTGTCGAGTCGCGGGCGATTTGGCCACAGTTCGCGGCTCGAGCCGAGAATGATTGACTGCAGACGAAGTTGGAGACAGCTGCCCTCCCAGATGGGCCAGCAGCCCAGGCGTGCATCATGACGGGGGGCCCATGGCCCCTGGGCCCCACGGAGCCTGCCCCCTGCCCACCTGCTGGCGGCCTTCGATTCGGCTTCTTCAGCCCTTCTTCCCCGCCACAATCTCTCGAGAGATTCTGATGGGCTGCTGCTTCATCTGTCCCTCACCCTCAATCTGGCCCGTATTTCTCTCTCCTATACTAGGACACGCCGGAGGCGGTCACCGAGAGACTGACAGCTGCGGGACATGTCTCCCACGCGATGCTGACTCGTACGAGTACGGAAAACATCCTGACCATCCAGAGGCCGTCGCCCGTGTCCTGCATGCCGACTTATTTACACGTGTAGAGCTCTAACTCCGGAGTTTGGGGTCCGGACAGGGTACCCCCTCGCCACTGCCCATTCCCCAACGAAAAACCACCTGGTGATGGACAACATTCATGTATGAGCACAACTATTCTGTACTAACCTTATTAATACCTCGACAACACGGCCGCGGTCTGGACAAGCCCTTACATAGTAAAACGTTCACATGAAGGCGTCGCAACGGACACAGCAACATCCTGTAGGAAGTGGTGCGCTCCCTTGGGGTACCTAGACCCACCGTCCTGGTACCGGACCGAAGGGCCATGGGCATGGGTGCATCGTCATCTCCCATCGCGAATCTGAGAGCCAAGACTCGTCACCAAGATTCACCCCAAGCCGCTGACTTCAAGTCCACTCCCCAAACCAGCCACAATATCATCTCACGCCTATTCCTCCTAAGATATGCTTACTCAGAGTTGTCATCTTCTCTGTAATATGTTTTGTACTGCCTCCCAAGCTATAAACCAAGGCCTCAAGAGCTTTCCAAAGCCTCCAGACAGCCCTTTTTGGAGGGAGTTTTGGACATGGCAAACTGCCATATCCGTCGCCAAGGGAGATCATCCCCAACGGGACCATGGCCACTGCCCTGTTAGGCCGTCACCCCGGCCCCTGCACCTTGATGCAAACGCCAGATGCCGCTGCGGGCATCTCACTGTTCACCAGTTGAGCCACGCAGGGTTTGTGTCATGCTGTCAGGGTTGCGTTTTCGCCCAAGTATGCGGGTGCTTATCAGTTCTAATGAATTTGGGATAAGGCTGAACGACTATATCGTGAGGTTACAGTGACTGTCGGAACTTCTGCACCTAGGAGGTCTACCACTTCAATAATTGCTCCACCTATAGGGGCGACCATGTTTGCCGTAGCACCGCACTTCGGTTCTTCGATGAGGCTCTTCACCCCCTGTCGATGTGGTACTGGTGCCGTGGGGCTAAGACGCTCTCCTGGTCATCGTCCTCGGTCTGGCCCATCTTTTCGCCGCACGCGCGGCACCGGAGCAGCAGTTACATCACCATGAAGACACAGAACACAGTACAGTAGACTAGGTGTGCGAAACGTTCCTTTGTAGATAAAATACAAATATTGGGTACAAATCTTTTGCAACACTTAGGCAAGAAGGCGTACTTGATGATCTCATCACACACACAAGCATTACATCAGTGCTCAGTATGACGTCTCGAAGAGCCTACTTAGTACTCAGTTTTCATTGACAACCTGCTATATAAATGCAATAGTCACGCATCTTCCACGCTGACAGCACTTGGTTCAGTATTTCGAATTATTCACTTGACTTTGCAGTGTATCCGTGATAATACCGAAACTGTCAAAAACCGTTAGAAAAAATCTCTCAACACCGACACGAATCTACCATTCAAAATGGCACCTTCCGAGGACGAGCTCAACAAGATTGCCGCGGACGCGGAGCGCGATCTGAACTCCTACCAGGCCAAGCAAGGTCTCAACAATGTCTCAGTAGACGATGCTGGCGTAGACAGCATTGTTGAGAATAAGTTTCCAGGCGCCGAAGTGAAAACCGGTACCGAGATCAGCACAAATGCTGGTTACAACCGAAGGATACCTCCGGAGGAGGGCGGTGGGCTGGACGACCGCGGGAGGTAAGTGCCCTCTCCAGACCCTACGCAGTACATGAATCAAAATTAACAACTGCATAGACAAACCACCGGCAAACATTTCGAAGGCACCGGTGGTCCAGAGGATAAGGTCGCACAGGCACAGCAAGATCGCGGCGGCTATAACGACAACGATGTTATTCCGAAGAAAGCCATCTGAAATATGAACAGAATAGGCACCGGCACAAGACCGCGAGGTGGTGATGTCCTTAGCTAAGGCGATGGGGTGCCTCATCGGACCATAGGACGAACCCGCCTGACCCGGGTAGCGATCACCACCCGCCCTCTGCATGAGGAGCAGTCCGGCCGAGGGGCACTCCTTTGTGATTGACTCCGGACAGGAGTGAACAGGGTTGAATCGAGGGAATCCCTCGGAAGGGCACGGCGTTCGCGGTGGAATGTACTTATATTATGACGATCGGCTAGCCTGGCATGTATTAACATATCTGCATAATCCACCTCAAGGATGAAATTTTGTTGCACCTTACCTCATTCCCTGCTTCTCGATGCATTGCAATAAACTTGCATTGCGTGATTGCCATATTACATACTACTTTGTATTCCATTTCCCGAGCCTTGTAATGAAGCGGTACTATGTTTGACAAGAGCTGGCTTGCCTGACTGACGTAGAGGCTCAATTGCCAGACGCAATTGCCACTGAAGGAGATTCCGTCCCAGTCCCAGTCATGCTGAGCTCTCGGTATCTGTGGTTGCATATAGACAGTAGAACCGCGGCTGGGTTGGCTCATGCTTCACTTTTCGACTCCGTTGCAGGTTTGGCCCTGGACTCCTCTTCTGCGACGAGAGCTGCTCTGTTCTCGTCCAGGATGGCCAAATCCGCCTCCACCCTGAGGATCTTTTCCTCAAGCATGGTCTTGTAGTCCTCATCCGACAGCTTCGTCATTGGGCTCCACTTCGAAGTGAACCAACCACTCGATTTCTTCGGAGAGTTTTCCGGACCTGACCACCTGTTGGATGCAAATTGACCGCCAGCTCCGAGCAGGGAGAAGACGATGGCGCCTGGGAGGATACTCCTAGGCCCGCGCAGCAGTAGGCCCACGGGCACGACGGAGACAGCGCCGGCTATTGCACTTGCACCGACCTTCTGGGCCGGCGTGACGTTGTGTTCCGGACCATATCTCGCGATTACTAGTTTCCTGGTACCTGCAGCAAAATGTTAGGATAATGACCTCCCTATTGGAGCCGCCGGTAAGTGGTCCGGCCGGCCAAGGGGAAGATGTACCGTAAAAGACCGAGCTGATGCCAAACCACTGAAACCCGGACACAAGAGAAAACAATACGGGTGTTTTTACGCCGCGGATGATGCCACTTGTTGCGCCGAACAGCATCCCGCATGCCCCTATTCACAGGTCAGCGTTCCTGGATGGTGGCAATATGGCCGCGACATCAGTTGAGATTGTACCTGCGGCAGCGCCCAGCTGGACACTCCTGGCCAATACGTCCATGGCCTCATCAGGCGGCTCGCTACGGCCTTGCCATGAGCCTGGGGCCCTGGGTTGGGTCTCGGGAGCTGGTGGTTGGTCCATGGGTCTTGGCCCAGAGGCACAGTCTTCACTCCACCTGGCAATACCAGTCCTGGGGGACAACGAGCTGTTAAGCTGGGAGGAGGGGAGATGGAAGCTGAGGCGCCGGCCGGTGATTAGTCCCAGAGATAAATGGAAGAAATGGTATGGGCAATGAACGGCGGCGGCCTACAGCCAGATATTGGACGGTGTGTGCTTGTTAGCCCGATAGGCGCATACGCCGTGTACCTGTTTGATGAATAGCAGCAACACCAGCACAGAATTTTGGGAGGCAAGGCACAGACGGGACGGATGCCCCACCGCCTTTATCTCTAACACACAGACCTCATCCAGCCCGCATGACTTGGCGCATTTCTAAACGCAGACTCCCTACCAAATTTTGATGGGGAGTTTGCCAAGGCTTATATAACTATAGCTGGGAAGGTAAGGGACATTATGCAGATAAAGGAGGTTTATAATTAAATTGCAATCGCAATTATACTAAGGTATAATAATCATTTAATAAAATTAAGACTTGCTTACATTACTATAAAAATACATTATTATTAAATATTAATATATATTTTAAAATTTATAAAATTAAGCCATTATTTTAATATTATTTATATTATACCTTAATTATTATATTATTAATAATAATAGCTAGTTTTTGCTTAAAGCATATAAGCCTTATAAACCCTTTAATAGCCTATTAATATTTAACAACCCCTTTTATATTTAATAACCTATATATTAATATCTTTAAATTATTTCTTCTTCCTTTAAATTTATTAAATCTTATAAATATAAGCTAAATAATATAGCATAATTATAAAAATCCTTAAGTTAATATAAAAAATACTATATAATTAAATTTTAAGCCAGAAATTATCCGCAAAGAAAGTTTATTTAAAAGCTTTTATTATAATAATTAAAATTTTAATAATAAGGAGGATATAAAGATTATATCAGAAAATATTATTTTTAAAACTTTAGCGCTTTAAAAAAGGCTTTATAGATTTATAAATAAGAATATTAAAGATAATAAGGTTTATAATCTTTAGGCATTCCTTACTAAATAATTAAAAGATTTTTATTATGCATTTATTATTACAAATACTTTAAGATATCTTGCTATTTATAAAGCTCTTTAATTATTTAAGGTTATTATTTATAATTTAAATAAAGATAAGAAAGATACTTTTTTTATTATAACTTTGCATAAAGAAATAGCAAGCCTTTTAAAAAAAGGATTATTTTTAACCTTTAGCTTATTTAATAAAGATAATAAACTTTTAAGTATGCTAAGCAGTTTAAAAGTAACTCTAGAATTAGTTACTAGAGCTAAGTATATACAACGCAATATTAATTATATATAAATTGTTATAAAATAAAAGGCATTAAACCTACTTATGCTTCTTTTATAGCTTCTTTAAAATAAATATATAAGTTATAAGAAGATCTTTAATCTTCTTACTAGCAAAGAAAAAAAGTTATAAATTTACTTTATAATATTATATTTTTTACATGGATTTACACATAAACAAAGCTCTTTTTTTTAAAAGCTTCTTAAGTTATACTTATTCTTTAATGGCATATATATTTATATAATTAATATGCTTACTAATATATTTATATGCGTAATTTATAATACTTAAAGCTATAATTAATAAATATAAGTATAAGCATTTATTCTTTATATAATATATTAAAGATATTATAATTTTAGCTTAACTAAGAAATAAGGATTATATATTCCTAATTAAGCATAAATTCCCTACCTTAATTAAGTAAGGAATCTATACTTAAAATAAATAATTAATTTAAGATTTTATAATTAATATTTATAGGTATAAGCATTTATTTATTATATTAAACCTTAAATAAGCTATTAAATTACATGTAAGTAATTATTACTTAAGACCTTTATTAATATATATATAACTTAAAAATAGTAGTTTAATATAATAATTTTAACTTCTTAAATAGAGTTCAGGATTATATTAATAGGAAGCATAATTAATTTATAAATCTTATAATTATAATATATTTTAAAGTACTTGGCTAGGAAGGCAGATATATTTAGTAAATAAACTTTAACTTAAAGTAGCAATTTATTATGCAAATGGTTTAAAAATACCTTTTTTTATAATAAAAGAGTCTTAATAAAGCATTTAAGTAGCTTTTCTTATATTGCATATATTGGCTATTTACTTGCAATAGCAAAGACTTAAATCTATTATTGCTTAACATTAAATGCATTGAAATAGGGTTTTCTAAAACCCCCTTTCTTTAAGCTAGTGCTATATATAAAGATAAGGGCTAAATTTTTAATATTTATAATATATATAATAAGCTTTTTAAAAAGCATTTATACTTAAATAAGAACTTTTATAAGATATATATTATTTTAATATATAGTAATTATAAAATTATTAGTTATATTTAATGCATTAAGTGCAATTAGCAAGAATTTTAAGATACTTATAAGGTTTAAAGATAAATAAAAGCTTTTCCCGCTAGCTTTTATATTAAGTTAAATTATATTAAGCTTCTTTTTCATAATTACTATAATATTAAAAACTTAAAGATAAAGTCCTTTGCTATTATTCTATATAATATATCATTACTTATATAAATTAAATCTATTAATAAGAAGGATATTAAGTATTATAAGGTTATATTACTATTTTATTATAGTTTTAATGCTTAGCTTATTGCTTTTATAATTAATGCTTTAATTTAATGCAAGCTATTAATAATTAAAGCTAGCGAAGCTAATACTTAATAGTTTTATAATATAATAAAGCAAATCTTTAATAAGGTGCTTAATAATATCTTAAATAATATTTATTAGTTAATTTTTAGCTATAAGGGTTAAATAGGTAAATATAAAGATAAGAAAGTAGTTAATATTAAGTTTTAAAGTTAGTATTATTATATAATAAGCATTAAGATGCTGCTTATCTTTAATAAGGCTACTTAGCATGGTAATTATGGTTTAATTCATAATGTTATTATGCAGCTTTTAGCCTTCTTTTAAAGCGAAAAATTATATAACTATAAACTTAAAATGCTTAATATAGCATGGATTTTAATTAAGGAGGTAACCCTTAATATAAGAGTTTGCAATAACATTCTTAAAGCTAGGCTTATTAAGTGCATTATTGCTAAATATAGCTTTAAGCTTATTAATTAAGCCAGTAAATATATTAATAGTTCTTATATTATAAATATTAAACATAATAAAAACTTTACTTATAACGTTTAATTAACGTTCTTTCGGCTTGCTTAATATAAATTATAAATATTAATTATATGCAAGATTATTAAGAAGTTCTTTAGCACTTATTTAAAGGGGATATATATATTTAAAAATCCTAAGGATAATATTCTTTGGTTTAAATGAAAGCTATATATTAATGGGGCTATAAGGCAATAATTAAGGCGATAAGGCTTTAATTTTCTTAACTTAATAATGAAAGAATAAAATATGCTGGCTAATAAGCTAAATTAATAAAATGAAACGTTCTTAAAGCTAAAGGAAAGTGCTATTTAAGTAAGGGTTCCTCTTATTAATAAGGAAAATACTAATAGTGAAAACTTTCTAGCTATCTTAGGTAATAATAACTATTTATACTATATAAAGGCTAATAATATATAGGATATTAGTTTAAGTAACTTAATATAAGATAATTAATAGCTATATAACATACTTATAGATTTTAATATTTACCTTTGTTTTATAGTGGTAAGTGCCTTTTATAATGGGGAATTTGCTAATTTTAATAATAATTAGGGGAAGTTGCTTTATCTTAGCAAACTTTTTATTAAAATTAAGTAAAGAGTTTATTAAAATAAAGCAACTTCCCCTAACCATTATTAAATATCTTTAAGTATCTTTATTATTATATTATAAAGCAATAAGAGCAATAAGTACTTACTTATAAAGCACTCTTCTCTTTATAAGAATAAGAATAAGAAGAAGGAGGATGATAAGAATGAGAAGGAAAATTACGAGCCTTAGGTCTTATCTTAGCTTCGCAAGTACTTAATAAATAAACTTAACCTTTCCTAAGGGAGGATAAAAAGGAGGATAATAAGAATAAAAAGGAGAACTATTAAGAGGAGGAGAACTACTAAGAGTGCCATATTAAAAGTATAAACTAGCAGGTATAAAGTATAAAAGAGAGGATTATAAAAAAGAGAACCATAAAAGAAAGGACTTAAGTATGCATACTTAAGATATTAATACCCCTTATCGCTATTTTAAAATACTTTAAAAAGGGAAAGGATTGCAAAGAAGAGGAAATAAATATGCATATATAAAAAGAAAGTATATAAAAGTATTAAAAATAGTTGCTTAAACTAAGAGTTAAACCCAAAACCCTTTATATTTAAACTTCATTACATATATATCCTTATAAATATATAATAAACTAAAGGTTAAATTATATAAAATATATTATTATTATACTATTTAAGCATTTATTATAAAAGGGAAAGAGCAACTTATTTATATAAAAGGAGCTATCTTAAGCAGCTTAGCTATTTATTAAGACTTATAAACTTACTATCTAAATTTTAAAATTAGCAAACTCTTTACTTAATTTAAATAAAAGTTTATAAATCTTAGTAAGCTAAAGTATTAATTTATAAGATTTGCTTTTTAACAGCCTTTAACAGTTTTTATATATAAAGGCAAGGTAAATATATTATAAAGCTATAAGCATTAGTAAACTCCCTACTTAAGTTAAGTAAGAAGTTTGCTAACCCTTATATACCTAAATATAAATTCCCATTACTAACTTCTTATAACAGCCTTAAGCAATCTTTATATATTTAGCAAGCTAAATATTGCAATAATTACGCCTACTTAAATAAGCGCTATATTTTACTTAAACAAACTAGTTAATATTCCCAACTATAAAAAATAAATATAAAGAAAATAAGAAATAAAACGCTAATTATAAATATTATTTATATATTTATATAGCAATGCAACCCCTTAAGTCCCCTTTTATATGCTTTATATAGCGTTGGGTTAAGGTAGTTTGCCCTTTTTATCCTGCATTTATTAATAAAGCTTGCTTTTATAAGCCTTCTTTTATTTTATAACTCCTTATAAACAGTGATAAATTAGCGCAATGGCTAATTCATTAAGCTTTACCATCCTTTTAAAACTTAAAGAATAATCCTTTAGCCATTTTTAGCTTTAAGGCATTAAGGTACCTTTAACTTTATTAATATTTATAGCTTTTATATTTAAATTAATAAATAGCTCCTAATTATTAATTAAAATAAATACTTAAGCTAAACTTAAAGAAAGGTGCAATAAGCATAAGTCCTTATTAAATATAGCATTAAAGCCTATATTATAATTATTTTCCTTTTCCTCTTTCTTTTCATTTCCCTTAATATTATATACTTAATACTTATAAATAAAAGGCTAAGCGGGCTAAATAAACTAAGGTACCAACATATTAATAACCAGCTGCAATATAATTTAATAATCTTTAGCTCAATTATTATATATATAATTTAAATAAGCACTTCCTAAAATTAAAGGTATAAGATTAATATTAAAAGCCCTTATGCAACCTTACTATAAGCTATGCTATTAATAATACTTATTATAAGTAAGGCTGAATAGGCTAATAACCTAATAAAGAATTGCAATTAAGTTTTTATTAATAAGAGATGTATTAAAGGCAAAGCTTAATGCAAAGGCTATACTATTTACATAGTAATAATTATTATTAATAAGCTTATTAATTATTAGCAAATTTAATAACTTCTTAATAAGCTAATTATTTAACTTTATTATTAAATAACGCGCAGTTATTATAAGAATATTTACCTTAATATAGTTTTATATAAGTATTAAGAGAAATTATTAAAGATGCCTAATTAAGAAAATAAGATTAATATTATATATATTTTTAAGCTAATTGGCAATTCCTTATTTATTAAATGTCTATTTAACATATATTAATATAACCATAGGGGTAAGATATACCTAAGCCGCTACTATTTACGCCATTACCTTTTCCGCTACCTTCTTTATTAACTACTTTAAAATTATAAGATATTGCTGCATAAATAATTAATTTAATAATTAAATAAATACATATTATTAAGGGATTTATAATAAACTAATTATTGCTATTGCTATTGCTATTGCTAATATTATTATTATTGCTATTGCTATTAAGAAAGGAATAATAAATGCTAAGAATAGGGGCAATGTATTTTAAGCTGTAAATATAGGGCTATATAGGCTCTTCATTAAAACATAATAAGGAGTTTGCTAATCTCAACTAAGTTAATATAATTAAAATTATGCTTATTATTATTTTATTTATAAACCTATATTTAGTTACTTTATAACTTTAATATCTTTTAATACCTCCCTAGCTAAATGCTTGCTATGTTTAACCATAATAAGAGTATTTACCCTTTCTTAAATTGCTAAAATAAAGTTTTTTAGCAAGCTAAGTAGGATATTGCCCTTATAATTAAGGAATTCCTATGCTTATAAGGCAGAAACCTTTTTTAAAAGCTGCTTAAGATTGCTTATTTAAAGAGTAACCTTTTTAAATTAATCTTTTCTTGCTTAAGTCTTTTAATAAAGATAGCTAATGGCTTATTATATTATATCTTTTATAAATATCTTGCCGCTAATTAAGCCTTAACGGCTTGCCTTTAATACTAAATCCTAAGCTTTAATAAAGCATTATAAAAACAGGATCTTAAGAGCTATATATTAAATAGAATTAATATATAGCTTTATACTCTTGCTGATTTAGCTAAAGTTAATTGCTAAGAGCTTAAATATTAAGCTATAATCCTTATGGGCTTAGCCATTATAGTAAATTAATGCATTTATAGGCTGCTTATACTCTAATATAGGATTATCTAGCTCTTAAAGAAAACCTATAATATACTTCCAAAAGCAAAGGGAGTTTAAGAATATCTTATACTTAGGATTTAATATATCCCGCATTTTTATCTTTAATTAAAATCATTTTACTAATTTTAAATCCTAAAAGTTTTAAAACTTAATGCTAAAAGCTTAGCTATTTACTATTTTAATTATAAGATTAATAATGGCATTAAAAGCATAGCTTGCTTAAGATTTAATATTTATAATACTTTATATATTACTCTTATTACTATCTTTGCTAATAATACTATTTATTGCTAGCATTACTTTATAAAGATAACTAGGTTAAGTAAGTTAATATACTTGCTTATGCTAAAGAGTGCTAAATAATTAAGTTTGCTAAGTTTAGCGTATTTACTTTTCCTTTATATCTAAGTAGTTAAACTAATAAATAAGGGTAAATATAATAAACTATCCCTAAGATTATCGCTTTCTTATCTTATATTTATCATGCTGCCAAGAGTTAAATATATTAAGTTGCTATAATAAATTAAATTATATAATAATAATAATATTATTAATATTTAAGCTAATGCTAAAAGATATAGTTAAAATCATTATTTAGTATTTAAAGTTTAGCTTTTTAAACTTTGCAAATATACGGTCTTAATTTAGCTTATAAATATTTATATTAAAGCGTTTTAAAAAGTTTAATGTTTATTAAGTATTAAAGCCATGGTATTCCCAGAAATATTTAATAAGTAACTTGCAAGCTTGCAATAGTTTATTCTTATTATTAATATATATTAAACTCTTTATAATAATAACTAAGTTAAGGGGATTCACGCTATTTAATAAAAAGTATAAATGTTAAAAGTCTTTTATATATTCATAAATAAAAGATTAAATAATTATTAAAAGCTTGGGATAATTAATTAATGTTTAAATCATCTCTATATTATTAATATTTAGGCCTATATACTTAAAAATGTAATCTTAATTTACATAATTAAGAGTAGCTATATAAGCGAATAGTAATATTTAGCAAGACATTAACTTTTTAACTTAATAAATAAGAAAAAAGTTAGTTTAAAAGCTCTTCCCCCATGCAATAATTATATATGCTTTATTAATAATAATTACGCCTACTTAGCTATTAAATACTAAGTTGCAAAGAAGCTTCCTAAAGTAATAATTTTATCCCTGCTTTAAACTTATAATAATATACATAAAATTGCCCTTTTTAATTTATTTCTAAATTTAAGGGTTTTGCAATTATATTAATATTACATTATTTAATAAACTCCCTACTTAAATTTAATAAGGAAGCTACCTTAGCCGGCATTATGCTACTAAACTTACCTATATATATAAATTAGCATCAACCTAAATAAGATATACATCCTATATATTATTCATAATATCTTTAATTTACTCCTTCTTAAGCTTTATTAAAGGTATAAAGCAAATGGTAATTTTCTTTTAAAATGCAGTAAATGCATATTGCAAAGCACTCTTTCCATACCTAATAACTGCAATAAGCATAACGTTTTAGCCCTTAAATAAAGCTATAACGGCTTTTATTTATCCTTTATAAGCTGGAAAGTATTTAGTTATACTCTTAATTACATTTATAGCATTAATAGGCAAGATTTCCATTAATAATTATTTATAATTTAATAAATTAACCTCTAAATAAATGCTTATATTTATAAATAACCACGGTTTATAGAAATAAGTTAGCAATCTTTTAAGTTTTATAGCTTAATTTTACATCTTTTATTAAATTTTTATACTTTTAAGTATTATTATTAATAATTAAGATATAAGCAATTAATAATATATAAGGCGCTCCTTAATTCCATTTCTTAATTAAATATATTTAACTTAATAAATTCTGCCTTAAAAAAAATAATAACTATATTAATAAAATCTTTATTTAAAACGGAAACTTAAATAATAATTTTTAAGGGTATAAATAAAGAGCATTATAATAATATTGCAAAGTATTTTCAAAGTATCCTTTGCGCTCTTATATAAAGTAGTACTTAGGTTTAACTTTTTTTACGTTTTAATTTTAAATATCCTTTATATACATTTAAACTTAGCTTAATAATTACATTAGCCATAATTTTACCATAAGGCGCAAACTCCCTACCTAAAATGGGTAGGGAGTCTACGTTAAGCTATGCATATCCTTGGCTTGGCATTATATGCTGTAATAATTAATTCTCCAACGCAGCCTCCCTACTCAGCATGGGTAGGGAGGCTGCGCCTCCATATCACGGCTAGGCCGCAGGCCTAGCCACGCGTGTGAAAGGACACCTGAACTTTTGAGATAACACCGCCTGCGCTAAGCCCGAACGGTGCTGGCGCGGCCACAGTCCACACTGGTGGAGGGTAGCCGAATCAAATCCAGAGCAAGAGGCGCCAAAAATTTCAAGAGGCGCACATCCACCAACCCGCACCGAAGAATACGAACGAATACCCCATCTCACCTCTCGAGCGAGAGAGAATCCAGACAAGACCACCACGACAGCCCCTTCCCATCCACCCACAACACCGGCACCGTCACCACCTCCTCACTCCGTACAGCCCAGGAACTGCCAGCATCCCTCTGGCATTCGCTCCTGGCCTTCCTTTGCAGCCTCATCATTTGAAAACGCTGCCTGCAGAGGAGAGCCGCGCACAGCGAAACAAACGATCGCTCCGGCGAAACCCACACCAAACCCCAGCAGCTCCGGCAGTAGCAAGCAAGCAGCAGCAGCAGCTTTTTTGCTCGCGGCTTCTCCCACCCTGACTACGTGCCTCGATCATCGTCGCGCGTAGCCAACAGCGATCCAATACCGCAATCATGGGTACGGTCATCATTTTCCCCAGGTCTGGCCTGACCCTTGCTAACGTCTTGGCTGTCCAGCTCCCAAAGAAGAAGGAGGTCCAGAAGCTCTCTCTGAATGAGTTCATGAACGACAACTGTGAGTACCCCCCGCCCCCTCCGGGCAGAACACCGCCCTTCTTTTCGCCCTTCTCGGAGCAAAGACTGATACCTTCGGCAGCATTCGGAGGTGGAGGCAGCAACTGGGCCGATGAAGTTGAGGAGACCTATGGTGAGTTCCATCCTGCTGCCGTTAAATACCGCTTCCTGTCCTTCCATCTGTCGCATCCATGAGACAAGGTCCCGACCTTCGTCAAGCGTGGCCTGTCCCGTCCTTTTCCCTACTCCCTGCATTCTTACTAACGCCGAGTCCTAGGCACTCAACCCCTCCCCGCCTCCGACCGCCGCGGCGCCGGTGGAGTCAGCACCTATGGCTCAGGCTTTGGTGGTTCCAGCGACAGATACGCAGGTAGGTCCATCCCATTCATCCGTTTGCGACTTGTCCTCCGCCCGCCAACTGACACTCTGGACAGGCTATGCTCGCCAGGAGCGCGAATTCCCACAGGAACTCCCTACCAAGCCTCCCTACACTGCCCACCTCGGCAACCTCTCCTACGATGCGACCCAGGAATCTGTGACCGACTTCTTCGCCGGCTGCGAAGTCGTCAGCGTTCGCATAGTCGAGGACAGAGCTGAGATGCGTCCCAAGGGCTTCGGGTACGCCGAGTTTGCCACCGTCGACGGCCTGAAGAAGGCGCTTGAGCTCGAGGGACAAAGCTTCGAGGGCCGCAATATCCGTATCCGTATCGCCGATCCACGTACGTAGCCTACTATCTCTCCCAAGCTTGTTTCTATACAGAGCATGCTAACCGCTTTGCAGCCAAGGACAGACACGGAAATGAGAGCACCAGGGATTTCTCCGACTGGTCGCGAAAGGGTCCCCTGGCCCCAGAGCCTCCTCGCAACGACCGACGTGGTCCCCGCGATTTCAACGAGCCTCGTGCCCCTCGCGACGGACCAGGCGATGACTCGAGAATGAAGGACATATCCTGGGAGAGGAAGGGACCTCTGATGCCACTCTCTCCTCCTCCCATGGAGCGTGGCGGTTCCCGCGGCGGCGGAAGCCGATCCCGAACTACCGACAGTGAGCGGGGCGATTCATTCCGCGACAGGAGAGCGTCGCCTTGGGGCCCCGGTGAAGGGCGCCAGGACGGATCCCGACCGCCTCGCCGCGAGTTTGTCGAGCGGCCGGAGAGGGCTCCTACCGCTGCTGAAACCAACAACCAGTGGCGCTCTGCCATGCGACCCGATCCTCCTGCTGCTCAGTCACCAGTCCCGTCTCGTCCCGCCAGTGAGGCGCCGTCTTCACCCGCACTAGCACCTGCTGCCCCCGCCGCCACCGGTGGCCGCCCCAAGCTTAACCTGGCCAAGCGTACTGTCTCTGAGGCCCCTGGTGTCCTGTCACCTTCTCTCACATCCGACTCCAAAGCTAGTCCCTTTGGTGCGGCCAGGCCTATTGATACTGCCGCTCGTGAGAGGCTGATCGAGGAGAAGCACCAGCAGGCGCTCAAGGAGAAGAAGGAAGCCGAGGAGAAGGCGAAAGAAGAGCGCCGACTGGCCAAGGAGGCTGCCGAGAAGGAGGCCGCCGAAAAGGAAGTTGCCGAGAAGGAGGCCGCCGAGAAAGCAGCTGCCGAAAAGGAAGCTGCCCCGGCTACCAACACCAATGGCGATGCGGAGAAGTCAGATGCTCCGGGCACGGATGCTACACAAGATGCCGCAGCTGCTGAGACAGAGAAGACTGAGAATGGCGATAATGCCGCAAATCCATCAGAGAAGGGCGCCCCGCGCGCGCCAGCGGCTGCCCCGTCACGAGCGACCGAGAGCGGAAACTGGAGACAGTCAACAGGAGAGCGAGGTAGCCGCGGAGGGTATTCAGGCCGAGGAGAGCGCCGTGGAGGCGGTGGCCCTCGGGGTGGGCGCGGCTTTGATGAGCGTCAGCCCAGCCGTGGTAGCCGTGGATATGAGGAGCGCCAATTCAGCCGTGGTGGTGGCCGTGGACTTGAGGAACGCCAGCCCAGCCGCCGCGGTGGCGAACCGTCGACCCCTACCACCCCTACTGTTGACGAAGACGGCTGGACCACCGTCTCTGGCGCCGCGAAGAACCGTCGCGGCCGCCCTGTTGCCTCTTGAATCTGTACAATACCCGGCGTTACGGCTCGAGCTTGAACACGCAAAAGAGATCTGACAGGCTTGTCTCTTCTCGTCTCCTGGTCTGACTTGTCGCATCGCTTGATCTTTGCTTCAGGCAAAGCAGGAGAGGTGGCTTGAAAACAAAAGAATTTCAAGCTTCTGATCAGTTTCGGTCACGAATCAAAAAGAAAAGGTCGAACGGGCGGGCTTGGCTTGGCGTCGCGGGGCTTTAAGCATTTCAATCACTGCTTCTCTCACTCCCCATGGTCTCTTCTCTGCATTTATCTTTACACGGCGACCTCTCATCATCTCTTGTGGAAAGGCTCAAGTCGGATCAGATCTTCCTCAGGCACATAACGTGACGACGAGCTACGGAGACGGAGAGATGCTTTTTATACTCGGGCGGATGTTGATGTGACGATGAGGATGAAGCGGAAACATGACCAAATATACCATCATGCTGCTTTCCGGATAAGACAGCGCGATGAAAGAGGGGGAAGGCGAAAAGAAGTGGCTGAGTTGCTCTTTGAGGACGGAAGGAGATTCTGAGACGACTTTTGATACCTTACTCCTGCGCATCGACAACATCATAGACTAAGTTCTGAGAAAAACCAAATTCTGCTCCCGTGATGCTATGCCTCTCACTCCCAGCGTGAACTATCTAGACCTCGGGACTCTGCATGATCCCCACCATGACTCTATCTTGTGAATTATATGTTGACAACTTGCGTCCAAAGGCCTGACATGCACCGGCAGCTCCTCAGCCAGCCTACCTCTTCAAGGTCTTCTGCTTCTCCGCGCTGAGCGCCACCGTCCTCCCCTCGACTAGCATACCCTTCTTCCGCCTCACCTTGTCCATGTACCGCTTGGCGACGTTCTCCTTGTCGCCAAACTCGCCCAGGTCCTCCATCTGCTCCTCCGTGAAGGGCACCCAGAAGGGGTCCTCGTCGAGGACCTCGAAGCCGGTGAAGATGAGCTGCGGCTGCGCGGCGCCCGAGGTGCGCTTGCGCATGTCGTCCGCGAAGCCGAAGGACTCGGCCACGGGGAGCAGGGACTGGATCGTGAAGAAGGGCGTGCCCTCGTTCATGGCCTCGGACAGGACGCGGCCCCGGCGGCGGGTCAGGACGTCGTAGACGCGGCCCAGGACCTCGGCTGTTGGGAGGGAGGGATCTTGGTTAGCTTGTGCTCAGGTGATTCTGGTGAGGGGGAAGGGGTACAACTTACTGCTTGCTTGGATCTCGCACGAGTACATTGCCAGCATCAACCGCGGCGACCAGTCCAAAAAGCCCTTGTGTATGGACTGCTGTACCGTCTTGAGTACCTCACCGGTCAGACGGCCGAGATTCTCCCGGGCTGAGGTGTCGCCGTCGCTGTTGATAGCTACGTCTTCGATAAACACGGCGATGCCCTGTACTGGTTCTCGGCACAGGGGCCCCTGGGCAGTGGCGAGTTGGAAGCCATACGTGATCTTGTCGGTAAGATGGTGGCCACGTAGCTCTTCGTTGCCTTCTAGGCGGGCCTCATGGCTCTTGTCAGTTTCAAAAGCCTTGGGCAAGCACCCCTCCTTCGTTGCGTCGATCAGCAAGTTGGGACCCGTGCGCCGTGGGCCAAATGCTGCTATGGAATCGACAATATTCTTGAATGGCTCCCGTCCCTTGCCCGACTCTAGAAGGGTCTTGAGCTGGTTCTTGAGATCCTCTGGAGAGAGGAATTTCGTTCCTATTATGTCTGCATCGTCATCGATGCTTTGTTGGTCGCTGTCGATTTCATCTGGAGTCTCGTTCCCAGCTGCCTCGGAACCATTGGTCCCCCATTTCTTAGAATGGAGATTCTTGATGGCACCGGCGTTCTTGTTGAGGAAGTCTGTGACCTCGGATGGCAGGGGCCGTACTCTCAACGTAAGGGTGACCTGCTTGGAGCTTGTGGTCCCAACCACAGCGCCTCGGCCGAGCTCCTTGTTGACCGGGGGCCTCATTTCCTCGGCACGCACGATCGTCTCCTTGTATGGCACGATCGGCTCGCCTGCCTGTATCTCACATCGAGCAAAACGCTCCTGGAGATCCCTCAGGCACCGCTCAAGATGCAACTCGCCTGCTGTGACCAGTACGTGCTCACCGCTCGAAAATTGCTCGTACTCGGCGCACGCGTCAGCCTGAACAAGAAGCCTCAGACCCTCGATCATCTTGTCGAGGTCGTACGGATTTGCTGGCTCCAATGCGACTCTGACAATCGGTTTGCCGGCCATGTTCGCGACACCGGCCAGGTTCACAGCGCCGTCGAGCTGAGAGCACAAGGTCCCTGACTTCAGAATGCCCGACCCGTCGAGGCCGCCGATACCGAACACGACTCCAGCTGGAACACTGTCGAGGCTTTCGAGGTTTCGTCCCATGAGCATGTACAGCGCGGTCACGGTGACCTTCTTCGGAACAGGTGGATGCTGCGGGTTTGCCGGTGTGAACTTCGGCGGTATGACATAGATTTCGTCTCCAACTGACAGGGTGCCAGAGTATATCCGCGCGAAGCCGATAAGATGTTCAGGGTCGACAGTCTCTTCCTCAGCTTGTGTTTCTTGTTCATCCTCCAGGGTTGCACTGTCCAACGCCACAGCGAGCGCGTCGACGGGGCCGCGGTTCTCAACAGCAGCCTGAGCTCGAGCGGCCTCCGCCCGCTTCTTCCGCGCAAGTTCTCTCGCTTCCTCGGGGCTGAGCTGCCCACGCCGCTTGTTGTGTGGAAGCTCACTCTCGGGTATTGAGACCATCTTGCTCACGTACGCGACCACCGGGTCAGACTTGGAGTGCTTGAAGTTGACCATTGCGTCGCGGACTTCCGGCGCGACGTGGTCTCCTCCAGGCGAATCATCAAGTAGTTCCGGTAACCTGTCTGCTTGAGCGCTTCGAGGTGACGGCAAAGACTCGATCACCGAGACGAGCAACGCCACTGAGAGTGGAAGCCACGCTGAGACCACGGCCGAAAGAAGGGTTCGAGGGTCTCTCGAGTTAATAACGTGACGAGGAATGGTGATGTTAAGTGATTTGGTGATCTTTTCGAGCAATGCTGGGTCTCCCTTTCCACTGTCGCCGCCAGTAGTGGCGGCGTACACGGCCCATACCTGCTCCAGGACAAGCTGAACAAATAGAGGCTTCATGTTCCGTCCTTTCAGGTGCTTACGCCCCAACACCTTCTTGGTTTTGGGGTCCAGATAAAAGTCTCCCCATAGGACCTTCTCCAGCACGCTGCGTTTGATTCCCAGCTTCTTTTCGTAAAGTCCAGCAAATTGCCGGACGGTAAAGGCCCAGCCGTCAACAGCACTGCCGAAGATGACGTTGTTCTTTTCAGGGGCGAAGTAGAGCTCCTCGTCGTCTCTTTCTTCGAACTGAAGGTCACCGGACTCAGTCTGCTGGTCTGACAGCTGAGGACCCTTGGCAACAGCCGCCTGGACTCTCTCGTCAATCCTCTCCCGCCAGTTGAGATCCTCCTCCATCCTCTCGCCTTGGAAGAAGCTTCCCAACACGGCGTTGACCTGCTCCAGGAGTTTGCTCAGGTGAACATAAGCCTCGTTCGGTGTCATTTTGAGCTCGGTGATGAGTCGATCCATTTTGTTAATCACCAACAACGGCTTCAGCTTTTCCTCCCATGTCTGACGCAGGACCGTTACTGTCTGGCTGCACACGCCCTCGACGGCGTCGACCAGAACGACGGCTCCATCACACAAACGAGACGCAGTGGAGACCTCACTGCTGAAGTCAATATGGCCTGGTGAGTCGATCAGGTTGACGAGGTACTCTTTGGGTTCCGGGGTGGCGTCAGGGCTTGATCTCCGCAGCATGCTGAAGTAGAGCGATATTGCCGAAGACTCCATGGTAATCCCCCGCTCCTGCTCGTCTGGCCTCGAGTCCAGGTAGCGTACCTTGCCGGCCAGCTTTGGTGAGATGATACCATTTGTGGCGAGAAGGGCATCAGTGAGTGATGTCTTGCCATGATCGACGTGTGCGAGTATACATATCTAAGACATGGTCAGAAACGCTCTACCACGATCTGCCTCTTGAGGCCGGCTATCTCGGTCCCAGGTACATCGACTGGGAGACATCTCTCTTCCTTCACTTGGGCGTCGACACACTTACGTTGCGAATATCATCTGGCTGCTGCTGGAGTTTTGCCAGCTGCTCTGGGCTGACGACAGGCATTTTGGTATCCTAAAAAGAAAAGAACAACAGCGGTATGGGATATGAAGGAATGAGACCGAGCAGAGACTGTGACAAAGATCAAAGATTCTAAGATTATCAGGCGTTCATCTGTAAATAAGTAGGTGCAATTAGTCAAAACTTGGTCGCCATTTTGAGGTGCAAGATATTATTCAGAATGAGCCATCCTGCCTCGTGCTGAGCCAGTGAAAAGTCATGGTGGGGCTGAATTGTTAGCAACTTCCCGCCTAGTCATGCACGTTTACTAACACCTATACCGTCTAGTGGCAGTTACGAGTGGCGGATGAATGGCGGGGCACTCGAGGCCTGCACAGAGACTGTGAAAGGAGGAAAGGGCTCGTTCGATATCCCTTCGACAAAAGAGTCTGCCATCTCTGCCCTAAACATTGTCCATTCAAGAGGAGCATCGGATCCGACCCGCCCATACTGCGCACCTCTCGAAAGCCCATCTGGGTCCTCTAACCCCAGCAGACTCAGCCAAGTCGCAGCCCAACTGCCGCGTTGCATTCACTTACCGGGGACTTGCGTTTACGGCGGCGTGTCTTGGTCGGGTAGCCCACAAAGATCCGATTTTTACCAAACTCCGCGCGAAATCTCAGCAACAAGCTGCCGCGGACGCGATCTCTCTGCCCCACACCAGCCTACGATATCCGCCAAGATGGCCACCTTCCAGAATGGCGCAGCTCCTGCGCGAGTTCTCGATGATAGCGATGTGGAGGAGGAAGCCCTGGTCGCCGACTACCAGGAGCAGGTCCAGTATGAGGACGGGGCCGATCTCTCCCAGGTCAACTCCTTGACCATGGCCCAGCAGACCGACGATATCCAGTCACGACTTGCCGCCGCCGCCCAGCCCCTCGACTTCGCCGCCCCCCTCGAGGTCAAGTTCCAGAGCTACGACTCCTACTGCAGTCTGTTCCACTTCATCCTCAACTCTGAGGGCCCCGTTGACCTCGAGCCCCCATCTGTGAGCAACCTGCCCCACACCAACCCGCCCACCTGGTCACGGGCAAGGACCGCGAGGCTGACCTGCAGACATAGTATTACTGGGCTTGGGATGTCATCGACGAGTTCATCTACCAGTTCAACTCCTTCTCCTCCTACCGTATGCGAATCGCAAGACAGGCCAACAACGAGGAGGAGATCCAGAACCTGCGCGAGAACCCCAACACGTGGGGTTGCTACAGCGTCCTCAACGTGCTCTACTCCCTGATCCAGCGGTCCAACATCCTGGAGCAGCTGGCTGCCGGACGTCGCAATGAGGACCCCATGGCAGTTGCCGGCGAGTACGGAACCAAGAGCCTCTACCGCATGCTAGGGTACTTCTCCATCATCGGCCTGCTGCGCGTCCACTGCCTTCTTGGCGACTTCAGCCTCGCCCTCAAGACTCTCGACGACATCGAGCTCAACAAGAAGGCCATGTTCGCCCGTGTCATGGCTGCCCACTTCACGACCTACTACTATGTTGGTTTCTCCTACATGATGATGCGCCGCTACGCCGACGCCATCCGCATGTTCAGCCACATCCTCGTCTATGTTTCGCGGACCAAGCAATTCCAGAAGAGTGCCCAGTACGATTCTATCACCAAGGTCAGCACTATTCTTTCTCTTGTTTTCGAAGGTACGGGTGAGGTCACCAGTGTGGCCGGGATGCCCAGATAATAATCGTGGTGTAATCGTCTTTCTGGGCTTTTTGGGGCTGTGTAATTCTAACGCATTCGAATAGAAAAACGACCAGATGCTCGCCCTGATCGCCATCTGCGTCGCCTTCCAGCCTACTCGTCTGGACGACACCATCCACACGGCGCTGCGCGAGAAGTACGGTGACCAGCTGCTTAAGCTGCAGCGCGGTGGACCTGAGTCCCTGCCCATCTTCGAGGAGCTCTTCCGCAACGCTTGCCCCAAGTTCATCTCCCCTGTTCCCCCAGACTTCGACAACCCGGAGTCCAACATCGACCCCATCGAGCACCACCTGTCCATCTTCATGGATGAGGTCAAGACCAACATGTGGAGCCCCACTGTCAAGTCCTACCTGCGTCTTTACACCACCATGGATCTCAAGAAGCTGGCCGGCTTCCTCGACGTCCAGCCCGAGGAGCTTCGGTCATGGCTTCTTGTTACGAAGCAGCGAACCAAGCAGCTGAGGTGGACAGAGCGCGGTCTCCTCGACGGCGAGTTGATCAACGTCAGCGACTTGGACTACGCTATGCAAGGTGTAAGCATTATACGCGATTTTATTCCCCGCGATGATCCAGTATGGCTAATGACAATCTCTAGGACCTGATCCACGTGTCGGAAGCCAAGGTCGGTCGCAAGCTTGTGGACTGGTACCTGCGTAATCTTTCCCGCACTTACGCGTGAGCGTGGTCGATACCCTAAGGATTAGGATTTTGAAGAGTGGCCGTTTGTGTGATTTGGAAATCGCGGATGAGACAGGTCTCTGCATTGCACAGGCGTTCCGGACATAGGGGGACCCAAAGGAGGGCGCAGGAAGCAGCAAAATGCTCCTGACGAATGAAGATGCCCATCGAGGTGGGCCGAAAGGCTGACGTCCTGTGGGACGAAGTTGGAAGCCCACAGACAGCCACACCATGTGGGAGAGGTTCCTCAAAATCTTGGCGGCGTGCGTTGATTTGGTAATGATGCACTCCCCGGCAGATGCCGTCGTTTCTGAGTGTCAAGTCCTTGACCGCCTCGGGCGCGGAGACCATGACGAGCTAGAAAGATAGAGGACTTGGCAATACCGAACGAAAGTCATGTGAGGTTGGGAACAGGTGCTACCCGCCTGCCTGTCCAAACTGTCGTGTGTTGGAACTGATTCAGCGTTGTACTGCGAATGTATGATCTTACTTGAGCGCCCGACATTAAGCACCGAGCATCCTTCAAGATGTGAGTGCCGCCGGGGTCCCAAAATCACGCTAATAGGCCACAGAAGAGACACATCGAGAGGCCGCCCACCAATGACGCCGTGCCGAACGACGTCGTCCTCACAAGCACAACCGGTGATAAATGATACTGCCGTCCCCAGCCTGCATATGCCAAGCCTCAAGTAGCTGGGACTTATTTCCGTTCTGTTTAGATCTGCAGCCGTCCAGGAAGCTGGCTCGTCTTCCGGTCGGACTTATAGAAATTACGAGAACAAGGTTCGGCCGGGGGCAGGTAAGCACTGTCGTAGAAACGGCAGGTCCTGTGTTACCAGCAAGCACATCACGTCCTGAAGACAGCAACGCAAGCTCCAGCTCGGCCGAGCAGATTGTAGAGTGTACTCAAGTACAAGCGGTTGGTGAGCCGTGTGGGGGGAGGCAACGCTACAACGCCCGCCCACCACCACCACCGTCATCCTGCAGGACCAAAGCTAGGTGACTACGGACACGGGATTGGCCGTGATGGTGGGAAAGGGAGGAGCTATCTCATCTCATTTCCACCACAATCATTATTAATATTGTTGCCGCGCGGTGGTGTTATCTAATAACCAGGGCGGGAACTGGTGGTGGCCCATGTCCCTGCTGGCGAGCGGCTTGCCGAGATGCCAGGAAAAGGGAGCACCCGCGGGCGAAGTCTTGACCCTGGCTGCCCTGACCGGGTGCTCGGGAGGGCTGTGGTGCTATCAAGCGGACACGACGTCGAGCCTGCCCAATGGATAGGTCGGGGGATTATATAGAAAGTCTCGCGAGATGTGATCCACCCTGAGGAGCCACATGTCTCTACCCGTACCACAATCGCCGAAGTCCCAGTCGCAGAAGAGATTCCCAAATTGCGCCCCTCCCCCCCATATCTGGATAATGTACTTGGCGTGCTTGCGATCTTCCTCACATATGCCAGGGGTGACATGCCGTCCAGCCGGCATACCGCCCTCTCCAGAACGTCCAGAGACGGCCCCAGAGGGCCGCAGAGGGCCCAGACAACAGCCGGACGGGTGAAGATGGAGACTCGAGAGGGCCCCACACGCACACCGGGGCGCGCACGATCTTCTGGCTGCGTGCGTCACCAAACATTGCCAAACACGTCGAGGCTCCTGGGTCCCCGAGGACGGGAGGCAGGATCTCCGTCCTGGGGCGCTACCCTTCTTGGCTGAGAAACGGATCGCCTTGGCCTCCGCCGGCAGCTGGCATCAGCCTGGGGGGCCAGCACGAGGGCGGCACGAGGGGTTACCGTAAGATGGGGGGTGATGAGGCACAGGACCGGCCGTGTTGGACTGGCGCATTGATTTGAGCAGCCGAGCTGTCGTGTGCGGTGCTGGCATGCTGGGCCAGATGCAACACCATCCGGGCTCTCCCACAGGCTTAGCAGCCACCAAGGTGGGCTGCGAGAGCGAAAGAGAGTCAAGAACCTGGGACGGGCCAAGAGGCCAAGTCCTGCACTGGGTGCGACGGCGCTGTCTGGAGGTGGCCGATTCCTGGGGAAGCCTACTATAGCTGAAGGAGCAGGACGGGTATGGACGATGTTTCTGAGGCAGTGCGGTACGTACCCCGGCCGAGACGTCTCTCTTGTCCTGGTCTGCTTGGTCTGTCGCTGGGCTGCGTGCACGCGCAGCCAAGCAAGTAGACCAACTACCTAGACAGACCACCTATACCTATGCCTTCTGCCTATACCTGCCCGGACTACCATACATCTCATGGGATGTCATGTCATGTTATGTTTACCTGATCTGCGCAGATGTGCCACAAGACTCGTATGAATAGAGCAGTCGACCGCTGCTCTGGGAGAATGAGACAGGTCCCCGCCAAGTGTTTCTTTTTCCACTCCGTCCTGGAGTCGAACGGACGGGAGAACAGACAATAGGAGGCAAAACCACCCTACCCAGGCCATGCACAGGGCGTGGTCAGAGCTTCGTGCTTCGTTTTCTTGGCCCCCCTTTCCCATCTTCTTTCCGCCCTGCCAGCTCTGCATGTGCTGCGCAGGTGGATTTGTCTTGCCTTGTCTGTCTTGCCTTGCCGTTTTCTGCTGCTGCCAACACGCCCAACACCGCACACCGAGGCAGCACTGCCCAGTTGCCCGCCCAACTTCAAATTTGTGCGCCTTCCCACCCAGGCAGGCGCGCAAACGCAGCACCGTCATCTGTTGACTTTGCACACAGAAAGCAAGCAACCACCCATTCCTGCAGCGCCCGTCGTTGCGTTCCACGCCCAGCCAGCTACGGAGTCTGGGCTCCTGGCAGGCCAAGAATTCTCCTGTTACTGTTGTGTGTTGCAGGGGGAAGTAGACTGTTTGCAGGAGCAGTCCCTTCCCACAACACAACCAACCACCAACCAGCCTCGTCCCTGTCGCCGCTCCCTTCCTGGCGCAAACCCAATTTACACTCGCAGCAGAGTCGCATTTGTTATTTCACAGCTCAGGCCGGCGGCAGCTCCGTCAGCAGCTCTACATAGAGTGCACTTCTGGCGAGTCTGAGAGCCTGGGAGCCCGAGAGCCTCAGTGGTGAGGTCTACCTTGGGTACAACAACTCGACTCGTCACCTGCCCGCCCGCTCATCACAATCAGATCACGCATAAACCCGCCAGCCAAGCTTCAACGGCACCAACCTGCAAACCTTATAGGAGCTGCTCAGCCTCCGCCACTGGGGCCCTTTCTCCTTGAGCAGCCAGGTACACGAGCTTGGGAGAGTCATCACCAACCACGGCCTGACCCTCTGGGCCAAATTACCAATAACCCATCGCTGCCCGACAGGAGAACGAGAGGACCCATGGTCGCTAAAACCAACACCCAGCCCCAGACCTCGACCGTGACCTCGACCCCTACATCAGCCTCGGTAGCATCTACTACAAAGCTAGAGCCTAGCTCTTCCAACGCCCATTCGGCACCCCTGTCTCACACCAGATGCATACGCGTTCCTGGACTTGTCTGCCAACCTGTGATGGAGGCCACCAAAGCCCTGGCCCAGAGACTCAGTCTACGGCGACGAGGTTCACGATGGAGAGACAGGAGATGGAGCGCCACCAAGTCGGCAGCCGGAGACACCCCTGCTCCTGCTTCTGGCGCTGGTGATCCACCTGTGAGGAAGGCGACCGCGCCCACACCGGCGCCTGCGCCAGCAGCCACAACCACAACCACAACCACAACCACAACCACCACTACCCCAACCGAGTCTGATCCTGTAGATGTGACGACGGCCGAACCCAAGAGGGAGACTGCTTCGAGCCCACTTCAAACCGATGAGGCCATCCCAAGCCCAGGCTCGGGCATATCGCCGACCACCATCATCACGCAACCGCAGCCCCGGTCACCGAAGCAGACGGAGCACAGCGGAGACCCGCTGAAGAACTCTGGCGAGCGCGTCACTGACTCCGTCACGGAAATCGAGTACTTCCCAAATGTAGCGACGCCGGACACGCATAACGAGGATACTAGCCCTGCAGAAGACGCCCAAACCAGCAAGATCACGTTCGCCATACCGACCAAGGGCCCAAAGGAAGACGAGAGCGGCCAGGACACAGGCCGACAATCCGACGAAGTCGAAACCGTTACCTCGAGCGCTTCTCCCTCGACCGCCGTCAGCCCCAGAGAGTCTCAAGACGACTACGACGAGGATGCCGGGCGCTCGAGTACGCTGAGTGGAATCAGCGGGAACGGATCACGGCAGTCGAGCATCAACTCGGTGGCGTTTCAGTTGCCCAACATGTCGCTGCCGCAGGGTCGCACGAGGCAGCACAAGAACTCTCCGCCGCCACTATCAAGGTGAGTCAGGTCCAGCTTCTTTGGCAACTTAACCTGTTTCGTAAACACATATCATCCACTCCCCTTTGAACTTTGAAGAGACCCTCATGTTTTGTGTGTCCCGGGGAGATGTGGGTGGGCGCAGTGCATCTGCGTGCTTGTGCCTCGAGTGCTACCCGGGTGCACAGCAATGTTGCACGTTGTGTGTACGGGAGAAGAATGCCGCAGGAGTCAGCAGATGGAGAAAGAGTCGAACAGGGGCTTGCGATTGCAGGTCCGGCCAGACTTGAGCTGCTCTGTTACACACGCCCATCTGCCGCACCAGAGAGCTCCACAGCGCACCAGAGGATCGCTGTTCCTGGTTTCCGCCGGTCGAGATCCCAACCACTTATTTCCAAGCTCTCCAGGCGGGGAAGCTTTCTTCAATGCGTGCCTCCTCCGCAGAACCCACCAGGCTGCCAGGCTATGAAATCATGCCCGGCAGGCGTCGCTACCATCTCGCCCCATCTTGACGCAGAGTGCTGCCCAATTTTGCCAGCCGTGGGCGCGGGATGCTCATCCACTCGAGTCCTGGGTGCGGGCTGTCCTGCTGCGATTGTGCCCAAGGCCGAGGCCAAGGGAGCCAGCCTCTCGTCATTTACTACCTACTTTCTCGCACGCCGCGGCGGCTACCCCACCATGCCCATCACCCCGCTTCGTGCAAAGTTGCTCCTCTCTTTCCCACTCTCCCAGCCCGCCAAGAGGGTCCGGGGCCCCCCCTTTTCAGTCAAGTGGCTTCCCTCGAGGCTGCCCAAGACCGTCAGAGTTAGTTACCAAGAGCAAGCCTGGAGCGCTGCCCGGCGATAACAAGTGGGGAGGAATCCTGTAGCATGCACATGCACACACTTCGTACTTGGCCGGGCAGTACTGCTACCATACTTTCGCGGGCTGCCTCGTCAGGGGGCTGAGCATTGCCGACACTGTCACTGTCTCTACCACAAGCGCCCGTCATCATCACTTTTCCGCAAGTCACTGCGCTGCAGAAGAAGCCTTGTCTGCTTGCGCGGCAAACCACATTGCAGCCCTTGAAGCCTTTGCGAACCGTGACGCTTGCACATTCCTCGAAAAGCAGTCACATTCATTGGGCAATTTGCGTCACGCGCGCACCATTCGCCAACACCCAGGCCGCAAACATGGCATCGCTGACCGAAGACGGCTCCCACAGGTTTCGAAAGCATGTAACTTTCAACAACGTGCAGATCGGCGAACCTACGAAAAACAATTTCCCCTCGTATACTCTGGTCGTGCGCCACCTCGGTTTCTATTCGAAGCGACGCTCACGGACCTTCATGGTCGGTATCGACGACCATCAATACTCCGACGAGGCTCTGCAGTGGCTGTTTGACAAGTTTGTTGAAGATGGCGACGAGATCATCTGTGTGCGGGTTGTTGAGAAAGACGTCCGCCAGCTCGAGACCGACAGGAGAATACAAGACTTCCAACAGGAGGCCAATGCTGAGGTAGAAAGGATCAAGGCCAAGAGCGGCGACGGCAAGGCCATTAGTATCGTCCTTGAGTACGCTGTGGGTAAGCTCCACTCGACGTTTCAACGCCTGGTACGTTCCTCTCCCGTTCCTCAAGCGCATTCTCTAGTCATTCAGCATGGTCTGCCTAACCCTTGTGCCCGCTTTGACTGACCCTGGCGAGCAGATACAACTACACCAGCCTAGCATGTTGATTGTCGGCACAAGAGGACGAACCCTGGGGGGATTCCAGGGGCTCATGGCCACGCGAAACTCGTTTTCAAAGTACTGTCTGCAGTACTGCCCAGTACCGGTCGTGGTTGTCAGGCCCGACGAAAAGAGACAGAAAAAGAAGGGCAAGCGTGATGCGGACCCGGAGAAACAGAGCTACCGACAGATGCTGCAGTCGAATCATGGGATCCATGAGGCAGATAGCGATGCTGCCAGTAACTGGGGAATCGAGTCCAAGTTGACTGCCGACGAGGAGGCCGGAAAGGTGGCGAGGGCGATGGGGTTGCCAGCCAAGTTTGATCCAACCTTGAAGCCATTCAAGAAAGCGGAGCGGCAGCGCAGCTCCCTGAGCCAGATCAGCCAGGTCACCAGTACGGAGGAGCCCGGACGGCTTATATCAACTCCAACAATGACACCGACTGTCAGCGCGGCGAACAGCGAAGACGAAGGCAGCGGAGACGAGGACGAGGACGGAGAGGGTGAGTTTGAGGTCACCAGTGGGGCACAGCTGCTCAAGGCGCAGAGGAAAGAGCTCGAGGAGAAGCAGAAGGAACAAGAGAAGAAGGACCGCCTGCACAAGATGGAGGTTGGAGAGGCGGCAGCGTTGCTGAAGCACAAACCCGGCGAGGAGGAAGATGACGACGACGATGACGATGAAGACGATGAAGATGGCGGAGGTGCCATCAGGGCAACGTCACCGGAGTGAGCATCATCATGGGGTTGTGCCTCGTGGGGCTCGATCCACGGGCAACATTCTCTACATTCCCTTTTGTCCCTCTCACGCTACATCGTCCGCGAGAGGAGTTCTGGTTTGATTCCTCATGAGCAAGGAGTTGCAGGGTCACTAAGCACCTAGAGCGGACACTTCAAAAGGGCAAGTCATATCACTCGGCAGAGTTTGGGGAGTTTATGGAATAACTGCTTCCGCGAATCGTCACATGTCAGGTGTTCACAGTCACCACTGGGTTTTGGTAGCATTTCTTTTTCTCCGGAAGGCTCTTTAGCTATTACCGAGGAACTCCAATCAATCAGTCAATAAAACAATAAAACCATAAATCACGTGGCACTCAATTAATCAATCGCCGGTTACAGGCGTGGCGGGATTCCGTTTTGAGACAGCTTCGTGTGCTGATTGATAGCCGACCTCGGCAACAGGCCTCGGATCTGCATGGTTCAGAGTGGCTGGGATAAGGGTACTCGATAATAATTGGTCATCCACAAGCCATGAATACTATGATTGCTAACAAAGGGAGAAAAGAAAGAGACCCAGGTGGGAAGTCAAGATGACCGTGAACGTGCATGTGTATATATATATAGCTATATATATGGGGTACGAACTGATAACCTGGGAAGTGTGGCAGTTGCCTCGTACCCGGTTTCCAGGGACCCCCGCCATCCTGCCAGCGGGTTTCAGGGGTTTCTTGGCCGCGCGGTATTGTAACCAAGGCATACGTAAGGTACCTGACCTGCTAGATTACCTAGCCACGTACTAGGCAGTGCTAAGGTACCTTACCCTGCCTTGGGCCGGCATCCGGTAACGTTGGGAGGGTTGGATGGATCTCTCTGGCAGCATCCCGTTCCATTGGCACTTCGACGGGAGATCTTCATCTGCTCAATTTTCAGACAAAACACAATCTGCCAGCCTGGTTTTGGCCGTTGCGAAACTTAACACTTTGTAATAACAGGACGGTGCTACTCTGACTGATCTGCCATGTCTCAACACTGAGCCCACCTTCCGAACCGTGACCCAAACCAGCAACCGTCGACCATCGACCGACAAAGACCTCGAGTCCTGAAATGCAACCGATGTCTAACTCGACGACCGCCTTTGGCACAGACATCCTACGACGAACCTCACCCGATACCAACCTCCCCGCCGACCCCAACCGCGCCGCGCGACGATAAGAGCGGCCACAAGTGCAAATGCCGCTCCCCAAATACTCCTGTGACGATGACGCGTGCTCCGCCACCCCGCCGCCCTCGAGCACCACCACCTTCGGCATGATACTTTCTCTCACGCCCTTCATCCTGACCTTCGCCGTCGTCTCCGCCGCCGTCTCCAAGAAGCTGCTGCCGCGGCTGTCCCGGGTCTCCGTGGCCCGCGACGGCGAGGACCACTTCCTCCCGGCCAGCGCGCCGCCGTCCCTGCAGCAGGTCCACTCCGAGCACGGCTCCAAGTCGCTGCGCCGGCGGCTGGCGGCCGCCACCGTCGCCGCCACCATCGGGCTGGCCACCGTGCTGGGCGAGCTGATCCTGGCCGAGATATCCGACGTCGTGAGCGCGCGCGCGCGGGACGCCGCCCTCAGGCTCGTCGTGCCCACCCTGCTGCTCTTCCTCGTCGGGGTCATCCCCTTCCTCGAGATCCAGAGCGTGCTGGCCGGCTCCGGCCTGTGCAGCTTCCAGCGCACGGCCAAGGGGCGGTTCCCCCGCTGGGCCTGGACACTGCAGACATTCGGCTTCGGGCTGTGGCTGTTTGTCTTCTGGAGCATCGGGAAGGCCGTCCCCGCGGGGAACGCCAGCGACGAGGGCTTCATCTACTCGAGGAGCGCGAGGGGCAAGCACGGCTTCGATGCCACGGGCATGTCCCTCGGGCTGAGGTGGAAAGACGGCGTGACGTTACCCTGGACACCGGACACTATAGCGAGGGCGTGCCTGGAGCGCATCGGTATTATTGGAATATCGCTCATGGCCCTGCTCTCGGGGTTCGCGAGTGTGTCTAGCCCGTACTCGATGTTGGCGGATAGCACGTCAAGGAGGAAGAAGCCCATTACTGATGCAGACATCGCGAGGAAGACGGCAGGGCTGGAGGCCACGGGGGAGCTGTTGGTAACCAAGCGACACCGGCTGCGGTCGCTACAGAGAAAGCAGGCCGCTACGACAGAGTCCAACGCCAACGCGGGCTCTTCGGGCGTCATGGGCAAGATTGTTGGGTCGCTGAAGGGCATCAGCACCGGGGGCGACGCAGCAGAGATCAAGGCCCTACAGATGGAGATATCCGGCCTCGAGACTATGGAATCGAACCTCTCCTCCGCCCTTTCGGCCCTCCGCAGCAAGCAAGCCGCCCAAGCGCGTGCGGGCACCGCCTGGGGCCGGTTACTCACCATCCCGGCCTACATATTCAGCATATACTGCGTCTACCGAATCCTCGCCACCTCCCTCACCTCATTCCGCCGGCTGTACTACCCAGCCTCGGCGAGCTTCAGCTCCTCGGACCCCATCAACCGCTTCCTCGGCCTGCTCGCGAAGCACTGGGACCCGAAGCTGGACCAGATGGCCTGGGCGCGGCAAATCTCGTTCCTCCTGTCCGGGGTGATCCTGATCGCGAGCGCCAACGCCGTCGTCCAGACATTCCACATCTTCGCCAAGTGGGCTCCTGGGCTCCTCCACCAGGCGCAGGCGAACCTGGCGCTCCTGATCGGGCAGACCAGCGCGACCTACGTCATCAGCGCCGGCCTGCTGCTGCGGAGCAACCTGCCCAAGGACATGGGCAGCGCGGTGGGCCACGCGCTCGAGAGCGCCCTCGAGCCGACGTTCGTCGACCGCTGGTTCGAGGCGTGGTTCCTGCTCTCGAGCCTGGCCACCGCCATCGGGATCTGGGTGGGCAGGAGGCTCCACGGGCACAGTGGCATCGGCGGGGAGTGGGATGAGTGGGACGAGTTTGCGGGCGAGGAGATGGCGCAGAAGAGGTCCTGATATCTCGGGTTCGGGCCTCAGTTATACTAGGTTCCTGCAATCAGACTATAGATTATTTACTCTTTATTTTGTTCATGGCGTCCTCGTTCTGAACATTGCTTGGCGTTGATCTTGATTCGCGCGTAAGGGTGGCGCACTTATGTCAGGTACCCAATTGCTCATACCCACTGCCTTTCACGATAATTACTTTGAATTGGAGCAGGCTCCTGAGAAGGCCGGCGACGAGCCGCATTCACGCAGCCGCATTTCTCTATGGCGAGGTCTAGATATCCCGATGAACTATGCAGTCTATCGTGGCACGTCCCTGAATATGGCTGCAAGATGAAAGCACCGTCGCCTTTTATCGCTTCGACTGATCTTCGGCTCGCGCGGAATACACCTGGGCCTTGTACGGCCACACAACTTTTGCTGCCACCACAACACCAGATCCCCAATTTGACATCGCCCGCTGCAGGCCCTTAGCCCAGCTCCTGCGCACGACGCCCGCCCATGACTAGACTAGGTCGTCCTCACAGCCAGAACCGCACAGAATCCCCGACTCACTTGGTCCCGAGGATGCTCGAGCCCGACTGCTCCTGGTGCAGCTGGTGGGAGGTCTTGACGCCGTCGCGGCGCTTGAGGTCGGCGAGGGCCTTGCCCGTGTTGGACGTGGGCGCACCGATGACCTTGTCGTTCTCGATCTGGTGCTGGGCGATCTGCCTCGGGGTCGCGAAGACGGAGAAGAGCGAGACGACGCCGAGGGCCAGGCCGATGGCTGCTGCCGCGCGGAAGGCGAACCCCCTGCTTGCGTGGGAGACGGATCGTCAGCTGGAGTCCGGCTTCGCTCCCCTCTGGACTGGGAGGAAGTGAGGGCGGATTGGGGACACATACCGGTTCTGCTTCTGCCTGTGCTCGGTGTTGGGGGGCTCCTGTCCATATGGGCCTCCTAGGTCGTCGTTCTTTTTGTCTAGGGGCGGTATTGGGGAGTAATTGGCTCGCTGGGGTGTGATGGACGGTGCTGCTTGTCGGATGGGCAGCCGCCCGGGCCTCATTGCAGCGCCGGCCAAGGGGCGAATTGAGAGGAGTCTTGTGGCAGACATTTTATTAGGGAATTGAATGTGTAGATGTCAGAGGCAACCATCAACGTCTTGTGTGCGTAATAGAAAAGTTGGCGAATAGGGTGTAGCATGTTGGTAAAGACATTGTAGACGGAGAAGAGCACATGTGACGCTCTTGGACATTCAACAGTCCAGCAACGACTGGGACACACACGTGCAAGCCTGCCATATTGCGCCTTGGCCTCGCTGGAGGTCGCATTCCAGCTGATGATTACATCACCAGGGGTATGTTACCGCTTCCAGGGTCTATGATGTAGAGACTCTCGAGCTAGGGCGGGTCGACTCGGCTGGTGGTGTTGATAGTGCCTGGCTCGGCCGAACACATCCTAGTACAGTATGTACAAATGTGTGTTGCCCGCTCGCCCACGCAATGCAGGTTTGCGAGCACTTCCGCAACCCAACCAGCTCTTGCGGCTCATCACCCTTGCAGCGGCTGACATTATAGGCCATATCAAGGATATGTATAACCTTGTACGTGTGTGTCCCAGCCGTTGCTCGACTGATTCCGATGCACGTACACAATTCTTCGTCCCAGCCACCAGCAATTGATTTCGTGAACACTCTGTGTTTACCAAATATAGAAACTTATCCCCAATGGAGAGAAAATTTCACTGCTATTCTATAAACAGCATTGAGCGGGCTAGCGACTTGTCCACAGCAAACACTGTCTTGCCTTTGATATTGTTCCCAGTAGCGAGCGACTTGTGAGACTCAACAGCATCTCTTAACGAGAGAACTCGACACATTCGAGGGTTCAGCCCTTCATTTCGAACCTTGCCCAAAATTGACATGAATCTTCCATGAATTGGCTCCTTGATACGGTGGTCCCACATGAGGTTGAAGAATTTCGTCCGGGGGGAGGGGGTGGGCTTGGTCAATTCCATAGCAGGTGAGGGGAGTCAGCCAACATGATGTCTGCAAGTATTACTACATGTGACCAGACTGGCTATATCCAGTCAAGCTAGTAGCTTCCGAGACGATTCTATTGACATTTCTTTCATGACAGCTGCTGAAAGGTCTTCAAAGCTGTGACACAGTGTTTGGCCATAACAGATTGAATGGCTAAAATCAGGAGACATTGTACCTTCCTCGGACGAAAAATATGAGATTTGAGCTTAGAATTAGCACCTTTGAATCTGAACTTGAACTGAACCTAAGGAGTAATTTCTGAAGGAATACTTGGAAAAGAAAGGTAAGAAGAATCTATGCCGGCCAGCCTTCCTGCGGAAGCTAACGGAGAAGGTTTCGTCTCAATACTCTGTTGAGCCCGCCACTTTGTTAGATCTGAATAGCTCCTGCCAAAAAGAATTGAACTAGAATCATGCTGGCAGCTGACGAGCATCTGTCCCTAGTCGGCCAAAACCCACTATGGTAGCAGCAATGAACCTCACGGGAGCATAATTTGTGCCAAGTTCACGGTCGGAGCTGCAGGTCTGCCACTCAAGAACTGATGTTGCACCGAATTAGGTGACTGCCCATCGTCTTGAATGATCAGGGGCAGGACTGGTGTTGCGACTCATGGTTGGATGATTGAGTATGATTATGTGCAAAGTCTAGAATGATATGCAGTGTGCTATGACAACGAAGGATTCGGCCCTGGGTAAAGAATGTGGTTCTATTCCAACTGATATGTACCGTCCCTTCAATTCGACTGTTAGCTGGGTGAAGCCAGCACCCTGGAGCGGGTTTAGGATTTCGGGCCCACTCAGGGCTCCGCAGGAGAATGCCTGAAAAGCATCGACACTGATCGAAAGCGGAGCAAGTGACATCGCGATGGGCCCTCATCTGAATTCTAATCTAAGCCCGAGCCCGGGGAAAACCGACCAAAACACTCACTCTTGATACTTGAAAGAGGAAAATGACTACTCTGTCGTCATCAGCTCCGTCGAGATTGGTCCAGCTCATCACAAGAACTCTGTTGATCGGTCAGGAGAAAGTCTCCCACCCTCTGCCGCGTTGCTGTGCCGGCGTGAAGAACGAGCTTGTCCTTCCGCTCAATTCGGTGCCCTAAAACGTATGCTGTGTACGTCCAAGCATCTTTGGCAGCCAAGACGATGACTTTGTATACGAGGCTCCACGGAATTGATGGTAACCGTCGAGAGTGGCCGACAAAGTTGCACGCCTGCCCCATGAAACGTTGAAGATTTGTGTAGATCGTGACTCGTCCGGAAGAAGTGGGTAGCCCAGGGGCGGGGAAGGAAGATGAAAAGGAGAAGAGAAACGGATGGATATTCCAGCCGGGTTCTCCGTTGGACTCATGCTCCACATCAGACCTCCGCTGGCCGATGGTATATAAGTGAAGTGCCGGCGACACGGACGACAACGGCTGAGTGAGAGCCAATTGTCCCACTGGTGCCAGGGCAGCCGCAACTTTAATCCACCACAAGATGTCTCGTGCACCTCTACCCGCGCTCTCTCTCGAGCAAGGAGTTACCAATGTCAACTCTTCTAATCAACCATACACTCTTGCATTTGCCATTGTCGGCTTGCTTCTTTATGCTTTCTACAGATGGGCACTCCCCAAACCGATTTCCGACATTCCGTACAATGAGAGCGGCAGGAAGAATGTTCTGGGAGACATCCCTTCACTATTAGAAGGGACGCAACGCACCGGCGAATTCAACCTGTGGCTGCTTGAGCAGGAGTCCAAGCTGCGCGCACCACTATTCCAGGTCTTCATTCGCCCCCTAGGAAGGCCGATGTTGGTCATGTGTGACTTCAGAGAGTCTCAGGACATCCTGATGCGCCGAAAGGACTTTGATAGGTCCAGCCTGCTTGTCGATACCCTTGGGGGTATCGGACCGGACCATCACATCGTTCTGAAGACAGACGCGGAGTGGAAGAGGCACCGGAGGCTTGTGCAGGACCTCATGTCTCCGGCTTTCCTGAACGAGGTCGCGGGACCGACGGTGTACAAGGGCGTGCTGAAGCTTATCGACCTGTGGAGCGACAAGGCCCGGCTGGCTGACGGCCGGCCTTTCTCTGCCGAGACGGATATCTACCATGCCGCCCTGGATGCTGTGATGGCGTTCACCTTTGGCGGCAGCTTCCCCAGCAGCGCAACCGGCCCGATGGTTGACGCCGTCAAGGCCCTCGGGGCAGAGGACATCAAGAAGCTGGGTGGAAATGGTGTCGATGACCCGATAGTTTTCCCAGAAGGAAAGAGTGACGAAAAGATCAGGGCAACCCTTGACGTGCCTGGCGCCATCGAACATGTTCAAGGATCGCCGATGCCAAAATTGAAGTGGTGGTTAGTCAAGAAGAGACCTGACTTTCGCAAAGCCTTTTCTATCAAGAACGCCTATGTTCAAGAGGAGATTTCCAAGTCATTGCGACGACTGGAGGAGAACGGTCACGAGGAGAAAAATGTACTGTCAGCTGTCGACTTGATGGTGCTTAGAGAAAAGAAGCTCGCAGAGAACGAGGGCAGACACCCTGACTACTTTTCTCGTACGATGATCGACGAGGTAAGCAAGCAGATAAAAGGTCTCGGAATGAAACCTGAAAGCTGTGCTAACGAAGGCGCAGGTCTTTGGCGTTATTGTTGCCGGTCACGATACCACGAGTACCACCATGTCCTGGGGCGTCAAGCTCCTAGCAGACAACCCCCGGATCCAAACCAAATTGCGGGAGGCCCTTCGAGCAGGCTTTGCCGACGCCGCAGCCGAGGGCCGCAGCCCGACTATCAAGGAGGTCACGAGCGCCAAGATTCACTACCTAGATGCCACGATGGAGGAAGTCCTCCGTTGCGGCGGAGCCGCACTTCTCGTCGACCGCCAAGCAACCTGCGACACCGAGCTCCTGGGCCATCACATCCCCAAGGGAACCGTCGTGATGTGCCTAACTCGTGGGCCTAGCATGCTCAAGCCCGCGTTCGAAGTTGACGACTCCAAACGCAGCAAGAGCAGTCAGGCAGCCAAGGCTCGGTCCTGGGTTGACGAGGACATTGGCCAGTTCAAGCCGGAGAGATGGCTGGTCGGTGATTCAGGCGCGGCGCCTTGTGAGTTTGACCAGCAGGCCGGGCCCTCTATCGCCTTCGGATTGGGTTTAAGGGGCTGCTTTGGGCGGAAACTGGCGTACCTCGAGCTGAGGATCTTGGTAACGTTGATCGTGTGGAACTTTGAGCTGCTCCCTTGCCCGGAGGAGCTTTCTGGGTATGGGGCCAAGGAGGGTCTCACGTACAAGCCCAAGGACTGCTACGTGCGTCTTCGGGCTCTTGGGAAGAATTAGGGGAAGCAAATTGTTACGGCACAAGAAAGACTATTGCGCCAAACCCCCCCCCCCCCCCCCCCCAAAAAAAAAAAAAAAAAAAGAGGGACGTGGTAATGCTGAGAGCATTACCGTGGCTTACACACGTATATGTGTACGGTAACATATATGCGGCGTTTCTGACTTGGTTTCTGCCCGTGTTGGAGGGATCATGGGCTACTCTAAGACTGTCGTCACCAATAAAAGCTTCATTGAACTAGCTCCGACTTCAATGTGGGCATGGGAAGACCGGGCCATGAATTTGGTGGTGCCGAAGTGAAGCGTTGTCGGTTGTCAAGTTAGTCTCTGCCCCGATAACAAGTCATATCAAGCCCGAGTTTCTTGAGTTGCGGTGGAATTTTGTTCAACTCCTTCTACATTGGTCTAGACGGAGATAATTCCATCAAAATGGTAAATAATCGGTTGTCCAAAGCTCACCTCTAGTTAGGAGAGAGTGAGCTGTCGATGTTATCCACAATGTGATGTGTACCAAGACTCATGTGTCTAATTTACTGACTGTCGTCCACGCACAAACAGTTCGCGACGTATAGGACCGTCATTGCTCCCCTGACAGTCTGCAACGGCTAGTCTGCAGATCAAAGACGCGAGGAACTGGCTATTACTCACTCCCTTGTTGATGATCCAAGACCGATAGCATTGTACGTCATCGCCCGATGTCTGGGTCCGCGGCCACTCTTCTGGATTCTGCCTCTGCATTTGAGGACATATCTACAGGCTCTGGGCGTCAGGTCTATCCTCAGCCTGGACGAAGGCGACTGTGCATCCATCCCAAGACGGGCCTAGAAGCTCGCAATGTGTGCTGTAAGAGACGAGGGGGAGCTGGCTGCGCCCGGAGAGTTTTGCCAGTGAGATCGACAAGTGGCTGGCTGCCCAGTCCAACCGCAGGTCAGCAGCCCGTCACTTGGTCCTGATTGGAACGAGGATCGGTGTCGAACTGGATCGTCACCGTGATTCGCGACACGAGATGGGCGCTGCAGCAGATACTCCCGGCACGCTGTTCCTGTTTCTGGCGGTGTAATAGTGGTTCCCGGGGGTGGGACAGCTCGCCAGATCGGCCCCTGCCAGCCAATCAAGCAGCCGTTTCCAACGGGCAGCCTCGGCAGGGGGGAGCACGCCGTTTCCTGTCTCCCCCTTCTGCCCCCCCAGTCCCGCGTTTCACCTGCCTCGGACAGCTGGCGTTTCGACAGGATTGGCTTGTCTGCGCGGTACGCCAACAGCTCCCCCAGATCACAGCTTCTGGTCTCAAGAACGGGCCATTGAAACAACGGAGGCTCACAGAATCTGCAAGCCTCTATTTGCCTCGCAGCGAATCAAATCCCAGCCGTGGGTCCTCGGGGGGTTCGCACCTGCAGCCTGCAAGAGCGCCCAAGCTGCACAGTTGCGTCGGCAAGGCGTCCCGAGGCAGTCGCTGTCGACGCCCACCGGCGCCAGCGGCAGCAAAAAATCTGGCTCGGATGGGCACGAGGGTCAAGATGGCGGATCTTTGCGAAAAAGGTAATAAGGAAGGTACGGCTGCTTGACGTCGCTGGCTCTCTTCCACCTCCCGTTTCCTGTGTTTCTGGCTTCTGGTCTCTGGTTTCTACCTGGGTAGTTTCTGGTTTTTGGCAACTCCGCAGTCCAGTCCTCTACGACTCGTTCCAGGGGTCTCTCGATCTACAACTTTGTTCAAACACCGTCCTTGGCCGTCGAAGCGATCACCCCCTGGCGTTTTGAACCTCCTTCACACCTCTCCGTCACCCGCGCAGTCAGGCCGAGCCTGCACCTCCTTAGGCGTGTGGTTCGCCTCGGGGCCTCAAACCAGGGCTCGGAACAAGTGTGACTCGCCACTCCGTCATAACCATCCTTGGATCCTTGGACGGTGCCTTGCATGCCACCACAGCAGACCACACTTCATCATCGGACACACTTGTATCCTCTTCTTTGGTTAGCCTTCTGCCAGTTCTCATGAAAGCCACCACGTTTCGACATTGAGCTTGGTTCTTCACCCGCACACCTCGGCTTCTGTGCCGGGCACAGTCTTCTCGACCTTTTTCATCTAGTCTGCACCGACGTCGCGATTGGTGGTCTGAGATTCAACAATCGCACACACGTTCCATCTGGTCCAGTTCTTCGGCTCACGTTCGGCAATCGATATTGACAGGCTTGGAGCCCTCTGCCCTGATCTCTGTTACGCACGAGGGCCAGACGAAGACACGGACGCTCAAACGACCAGGCAGGCCACTCCGTCACGACGGGAGGCTGGGTTAGCAAGCTTGTGCTTGTGCCTGTCCCGGGTGCGGCTGAGCCTTATCTCTCTGCAGCCTGCGGACCGAAGTGTGTGTTTCGACTAGCAAGGCTTCGTGACGATCGACAGCTATCAAAACTGCCAACTGGAACAGTTGAGATCTTAATTGAAGGATTCTTGGCTTAACAGCCGCATTGACCGGGAAGGCACCCACGTTCTGCCGCCTTATTCAACCGTGTTCGGGCAGTGCCCATCACCAGGAAGCTAGCACACATCACCTCATCTTTTACCACTGCCTGACACACATCGAGTTTCGGCCAACCACCCGGCGGCCACAAGTCCGCACTGACCTGGTTCGTCACGAGCAGGGACCGACCCCAGCCCTGGGACTTACAAAGATCTTATTCTTGCTTGAGTCGAAGACTACAAGACCTCTCGCCCCTGCTGTCGGCACTCAATCCCACCTTCGGCTCTCGTCTCTGTAACACATGGCCCTGGGCCCTTTCTCGTGGGATGGAATCCAACTCGGCTCGATGACGACCTCCTTACCCAAGACACTGAGTAGGGAGTCTGGACAGACGAAGGCAGCCGGCAGGATGGCAGCCCATGGCCGGGCGAGGCGGAGGCAGCCCTCACAGCTCTGGGGCTTGGCAGCTATGCTGTCAACAGCGACGGCAGTCTCTCTGAATGACCTCCAACCGATTGCGAACGGGGTCTTACCCACAATGTGCAACATGGCATACAATGCTCCGTTCATGGGATGTACCACAGCCGACTTCGAATCAGGACAGCGCTGCTCCGATACGTGCCGGGATGGCATCAAGACGGTTGAGCAGGTGGTGGACATGGTGTGCGACGGTGTTTCCTCAACCAGAGACTCAGTGCTTGATTTTGCACAACGCGGAGTCTTGCTGTTGCATACGTGCGACGGGGACGGGGACGACATCACGCTGGCGCAGACGACGAGCACGACTGCAAGGACAACAACCAGCATACAGCCTCCGCCAACCAGCATAGCCGTGCCGCCGACCAGCATAGCCGTGCCACCGACCATCGTCCCAACAATTCCCATAATTTTCACGCCCCCTGCTCTGAGTACGACTTCGAGGAGCATAGGCTCCTTCACGATAATACCCACGCCCGAGCCCCCGCCGGTCTCGAGCACTCTGGCTATTCCACCAATACAATCAACTGCTTCAGCTACCTCCAGCTTCACTATAATCCCGCCGTTACCGACACTCAGTTCCGCGTCTTCCCAGCTGTTCACGCCGTCGACGAGTGAAGCCCAGACGAGTTCGCAAGTAGTGACGCAGTCGCTGAGCACTCTCACAACGAGCGCCACGACTGCTTCTGCGACACCGTCATCCCAGGATGATGGTGGTAGAGGCGGTGGCAGCCCTTTCGATTCTCAGGTTTCTCTCTCGCCGAGGCTCTGTGCGAACTGGCCGCTTTGCCTCACCGTCGGTGCTATGCTTCTTGGCGTCATGTTCCGGTAGAAGGCATGGCTTGGTCTCGGAAAACGCAGCAGCGAGCGATGATATTTTAGAGAGGGGATGAGCAAGTCCCTCATGGCTTGTGTATTTAAATCAGCGCCGGGAGTTATGGGAGTCTCTGATTTATACGACGACGATCACGAATTTAGGAGGGTTATGATTGTTTATCAGCGTCACTCATGAGCTGATTGACATTTTGGAACGGTGGTCTGTCAAGACCTGCATCAGCGGCAAAGATTGGGGAGCACGCAAAGCTCATGATATCCAAACTATGTATTACTAGATAAATAGGGAAGACGGGTCATATGAGACCGGGGGCCAGAGAGCTCTAGTTCAGGTCGTTGAAAGGGACCCGCAATTGGTGGCGGTAATTTTGGGCTCATAAAGCAGTGGATGAAAACAATACCACCATGTACGATGATCTAAAGTGCTCTATTTGTGATGGATAATTCTATGTGTGCGTCGCATATGTACAACAACAATCCCGCCGAGTCCAATGCCTCGCCTAATTTGTATATCCATGACGACTTACGGGCCAGACGTTTTACTCGAAGTCTTCCTGCTGACTCTCCCCGAGTAAAGCTTGAGCATCTTGTGTTTCCCAGCCACGCTCGCTCATCCTTGTGCTCATGCTGTCTCCCTCCACAGTTTCCTCATCTGTATCACGCCGGGAATGCACCCGCCGGCGCCGACCACCAGGTCGGTCAGGTAGCCCTTCTCCCGGCTCCAGTGCACCGCGAGGGGCGCCCAGGCCATGTTGATGGCGAGGCTCCGCCTCATGGCGTCGACCTCGGCCTGCTCCTCGGCGCTGGCCGCGCCGTAGTCCCGGTCGCGCCTGGCGACGAACTCGGCGAGCAGGCGGCCCAGCTCGAGGGAGGTGTAGAAGCCGAGGAAGCGGGCGCCGACGACGTAGGCCCGCCCCTGCTGCGCGGGCGTCCAGCCCAGCACGCCCCGGCCCGACAGGTACGCGCCGTTCTCGAGGACCTGGAAGGCGCCGCACGAGAGCAGCTGCGCCCAGGCGACGAGGGTGGCCAGCTTGCTCTCGCCGCCCTGTGTTGTTGCCGCCGCCTTTTCTGAACCGTCGCTGCTGCTTCTGCTCCGCGCCACGAGGTTGAGGACCAGCCGCTTGGCCCAGAAGTACATGCCCACCAGGCTCCACAGCCGGGCGATGGTGCGCGCCTCCGAGGCGAGGCCGCCCAGGCTCTTGAGCCTTGTGCCGAGCACACCGGCGAGCTGTGCAACGAGCGCCGCGACGGCCGAGCTCGGGGTTGGGCTCCCGCCGGCGGCCTCGACGACGAGGGCGGTCTTGTCGGGGAGTGTGAAGGCGAGCGCGATGAGCTCGCGGGGCGAGGAGCGGCGGAGGATGGACTGCGAGATGTTGGCGAGGGCGGCGCCGGTGAGGCGCGACGTGTAGCAGATGAAGAGGAGGAGGGTGTCGACGCCCGAGGGCGTGGCGAGGCAGCGCTGCAGGTGGGCGAGGAAGGCGTCTGTGTTGGAGGGGAGGGTCTTGAGGAGCGCCGCGAGGCTCCTCCTGGATGCTGCTGTCTGTGCTGGTCTGGATGTCTTCGAGTCTGCTGGTGCGGAAGCGGGGATCGGCTCGCCCGTGGGGAGGTCGGCGATGGCGGTTGCGCCCGTCTCGGGGGCGGATGCTGTCTCTGTCATTTTCGCCGTGGTGTCGGAGGTTCCCTACTGAGTAGGAGTGAGGTTCGCAAACAGGTTCGCAAACAGGTTGCCAAAAGCAGGGAAGACTGGCGAAGTCTCGATACAGGTCACGCTAGGACAGAGACACGCGAGTGCGGCATGTGGGTGGGATTGCCGGCGTGCCGAGGTAAAAAAAGAAGCAAGGGCGCCCAAGACACGGAGAGGACAAGTCTACCGTGGAAAACCAGACGGAATGTGAGAATCAATCATTCAACTACAGGACGGACTAGAAAAGTACAGAATGGAGACCAAGAAAAGTCTGGCTAGGCCAACGTTCGAGGAATACGCGATCGCGGAGTCGAGGAGCTGGTGTGCGCGGCGTCGAGGCCGAACCGAAGCCTCGGAGATGAGATAAGATTAGATGCTCATGCCCGCTTTTTTCCCTGAGCAATCTGGGGCACGTTCATGTGGGCAGTTCCGCGGCCCATTACAAAAAACCACGCGACGTTGCCTGTGAAATCCCGGCTTTGATCAGGGATTGTGGAAAACATCATGGCTCAGTCTGCTTTGCGAGTTCCCTAATTAGGAAGCTCTACAGAGACATTATGGAAACTCGCTCAACTCCATGTCTTTCCCGTCCTGGCCTCGTCACCAGCACACGGGTCTTGTCCGAGAGCACTAGATCAGACAAGTAAACCAAAATGCAGAGGCAGTCACGCTTCTATACTGACAGACTACGAGGTCGAATACTGCGCGGGTAAGTCATGGTAAAAGTAAAGCCCTGCCTCTGACTGCAAAATCATTCTACATGACCTCAGTTCCGAGGCGAGCAGGTGTTGGATACGGTGAATGCGGGATGGCAGCAGGCGACAGGGCTCCTAAGAGCGTATGACAAGCCCACATATTTCCTTAGACAGCGACTCTGTGGGACTTTCCGGCAGCAATACATGTCCATTGTTGGATCAGATAACAAGTAATCCATAAATTTGAGTCTGAGGATCATTGGCCTCGGCCAAGATCCGTTCCCAGCCCAGTACACTTTCCAAGCAGCCTTGGAAGTTGGAAAGGTAAGGGAGCTAGCTACCCAGATGTGTTGGGCAGGGGTTAGGGTCTCACTTCCAACCTCAGGTGCCCAGACCTTCGACCACCGAACATCTTCAGGACATGGTCTGTCTTCGATGTCATTTACGAAGCAAACATCACTGGTCTCGCCGATATCTGCCAGCTGAGGCAGCCCATACGCAATGATGACTCCCAAGACCCCACAAACATGCCAGGTCAGGCACCCGTCAGCCAGCTGCAGTCACCAAAGCCCAGTGGCGTTGATGACAGTCAGCCACACGCACTCGAGCAGTCAGCCTTCCCGCCCCTTCTGTCAGTCCTTCTTATTTATCCCATCCAACTAACTCCTCATAAGAGCCTCTCACACCTAGGTCTAGGCGTTCTTTGACATACGCAGAAGGATTACTGCATGATTAGGAGAATCCTTGGCGTGGGTCATTCATTGCCCGAAGCCTTGTTGCACAAGCCCATCGATCTGTGCCCTGAGCACTGGGGGCCGTTTCGCTGGCCTCCTGTGGGCGTGAGTTAGTGAGTGGGCCGTGATGGCCGGTCACGTATGATTGCTGCTTGGATGAGACATGCTGTTTGAATGTGGCCCTCACTGTCGCGATCAAGGTCGAGCAGCAAAGGTATTATCTGTCTGGGTGAAAGGAAAGTGACAACTCTAAGCACACGCTGTCCCTGAATACGCCCCGAGAACTCCGGCCATGATGCTTCGCACCCTCTATGCAGTTACATACCCTGGGAGCCACTCCCGACTCGGTGGCCATACGCACGAGCACCGTCATGCTGGACCTGCTAACCGCCCATTCTCTCTTCCTCACCGCGCCGACGTCACATCATCAAGTCTGATATCTGGCTTTGACAATACCAGGCCTGCCTCCCTGGACTGCTCGAAGACCTGGCCTGGTGTTCTTGCTGGCGTAACTTATGCCTCTTTGAATTACTTCAGCGTGACTCTTCAACTTCAAATTCCACATTGGAATCGCGGCACTTCACATCTCATCGTCCGACCCAGACGACCCGCGACTGCTCTCAGACGTCGTCGAGCCGCTTGCAATGACCGTACTTGAAGCAGTGGATGAAGTGTCGCGAAGTCTGGGGATCTGGGTTTCTTCGTTGGCGAGAGCCTGGTGGATAGCAATCTCGTTCCCTCTCGGCGGGACCGCCTTGCTGGGCAAGGCGAACGAGTGACCGCGGTCCGGCGGTGATTTGACGTAGAACTCGATCCAAACGGGCACGGCGAGGCCGTGGTGGCTCCAGAACTGAATTGCCTCCTCCGCGTCAGACCACGAGTCCTCGCTCCGTATATCTACCCCTGGCAGATTTTGGTCTTTCGCCGCACATCCGCGCCGGAACAGCATAATCGCACGGTCTATCGCCACAGTGAAGCTATCCAGCGGGAGAGCATGATGTCTCGCGACCTCCAGGCTTGCTGCCTTCGCTATGGTCTGTCGGAGGACCAACCGCTGCTGCGACTTGGGGACCTGGATCGTCTTTGCTGTTCGGCAGGCACATATCGGGCCCACGAAGCCGCCCTTCTTGCTCGGGGGTAGTCTGTGGCTGAGGTAGAGCCGGTAGGTTACCGGTGTGTCAAGTTTGACAGCTGGTCGAGGCGACATGGTGGCAAGAACGAGGCGAGATGAAAAAAGGCACGTAATTGCCACGGAAGAAGACCCCAGGTCTGAAGCACGGGACACAAAATCATTAAAAAAGAGCACCGCGCGTCTCGAGGCCCACCCGGAAGGAGGAGGGTGAGGAAACAAGCTTTCTCTTAGAGTCTCATCAACCCCTACCAACAGGGAGATCTGGACCTGTCAAACCCTGGTTCTTCTGTGTGACGTCGGCAGGAGTGGCATCGCCGATTCCTCGCCCACGTATCGAGATTTCAAGATAAAAAATGCGCTAGGCTCTACTAGTCTGTGGTTCCTGAATCCTTCGCGCGCCAGTTCATGTCCTTGTTTGGGTGTATCCTGCTGCCCGGCTGCATCCGTGGATCCCACGCGGCTCACTACGCTGCCGCCACTCCGAGGACGGCCCTCATTCAAGCTGGTCTCGAGTCCGGCATGGGACTTTTGCCCGTTGACTTACACGGCATGACAGATGATGGGGTTACCAGCAGCCACGATCCGCAGGAGGTGGGGATGTGGTACCGAATCGCCGGGGTCGTAACGGGGAGTGATCGATCCCTCGTCTTCCTGCAGAGGCTGAAGGCGCGTCTATGGGACCCTTTGTGCAGCAGCGAAGTGGGCCGCGGGAAACAAGCGCTGGCGGAGGGATCACGGCTTACGGCCGTGGCTTACGGTGCATGACGGTGCAGCTGCGGGACCACACAGCTTTCCCCTGCGCAGTGGCGTGCCTTTCCGCTTGACACTCTATGGACACTTTGGCCCGCGAGAGCGTGACCAAATTTTTCAGAACAAAAGATACGATAGCTGGACGAAGGTGATGATAAAGCCTCGGTATATTCCGGTAGCGTGGAAAATATGACAGACCTGCAATGGCGAAGTGGTCAGCACCGAAGGGCTATGGTATCAGTGGCGTCTGAGGCTGTGAGTTCAGCTCGTAACGTGTCTTGCTTCTCAACTTGATCCCGCTACAACTATGGATCGTGGATTGCTGAGCAACTTCTGCATTCGAGTTAGGTGGTCAGGTGCCTGGGTGGCTGTGAAATAGGTTTCAGCAAAAATGAGCATCACAGGCAATTTCTCTTCCAGTCATGCTTAATTTAAGTTGGAAAGTACTACCTCATAGATACTCATTCCACCATAGGCTGCCACCTAGGAGACTACCCCACAAGATGTTATCCTACAGGAGACCACCCCACATAAAACTATCCCACAAGAAACTACCCTACAAGAGATTATCCCACAAGAGATTATCCCACTATCCCACAGGAGACTATCTCGCAGGAGATGATCCTACAGGGCATTATCCCATAGACAATCTTACCTTAGGAACCATCCTACAGTACAGTGTGCAGTGGTCGAATCCCACCCGAAATGATCGGGACCCCTGTGGACTGCATTGGCTCTTGAGCCCTTGCATGTTCAAACCACTGTGGCACGTTCCGACCCGTGGAGCCTACGACACCTTTTCCAACGCTGTTGCATGAGGTGGTAGATGAGAAATCCACGAGATCGCCTTCTAAATCCTGATGACCTATTAGGATGAGTCATCTTTTTTCCTGTCCTCAATGTGAAAGCATATGGTTGAAACAGTTTAGCACACTTGGGAAGATCACCAACAGCACATGTATGGTAGGTTGTTCCGCAGATATATATTCTCGCCCAGTCTAGCCAGGACACCAATATTTACAATGATGAAATAAGCACGTTCGACACTACGTGTCCAACACTTTGATCGTTTATCCAGACCACCGTGCCTCAGTCAACACCCACACCGCAGTGAGTTGATACGTCTCATCACGCAGGTGGGATGCGCGGCAGACCATGTGTGCATCGCTTAAGCGTCACACTCATCGTCGCCCTCATCGGCAGCGGGCTCTTCCTCCTCCGCGGGGCACTCGTCAGCCGAACCGGTCTCAACAGGGGCTGACGACGTAATCGTTGCCGTCACCGTCTCCTCAGCGTCGCAAGCGTCGTCATCAGATGCGTCAGACGTCGCCGCTGCGGCCACGTTTGCAGCGACTGAGCTGGTTGAAGCCACCCCCGAGGACGAGCCGCTGGAGCCGGAGCCAGAGCAGCTGAACAGAGCCGGGCCAGGGATGGTGTACTCGGCGGCCTTGTAGGCGTCGAATGTGATGCCGGCGTCGGCTCCCTTGTAGGCGCCGGGGAAAGCGACCAGGTCCGAGGGGACGGTGGAGCCACCGCCGGTGACCTTGATCTGGTGGCAACCGGGGTAGAACTGGGCGCCGGGGTAGCTGTAGGCCGAGTGGAGGGCGATGATCTCGTGGCGGACGAGGTAGCTGCCGGGCTCGATACACTCGGGGATGGTGTAGGTGACGCTGCCACCAGCGGTCATGAGAGCAGTCTAAGGAGGATGTATCAGCCAGGCAAGCTCTATAGCGGGAGAATTATGTCAGGGTACTTACAGCTCCCCAGGTGTCGGAGGTACCCTCACGGCCCTTCTCCTGGATCTTGAACCAAACAGCGTCGGTACCAGGCTCGTAGGTGGTGCAGTCGTCGTTGTCACACTTGGCCATGTAAGTGATGGTAGGGCCGACGTGGGACTCGGGCCACAGAGTCCAGAACAGCTCAACATCGGAGCCAGCCGCGGCCTCGGCGACGAGGGCAGCCGGGGCGGTATCAGCGTTGCACTGGATGGCGGACGAAGTCACATCCTCGACCGGGCCGTTGCCGGTGATCTTGCGGGAGACCCTGTCAGGAGCAGGCGACCGGTAAGGATCCTGATATGGCTGATAAAACTCGTAATCCGATCCTCCGATGGTAGCGTTGGTAACGTAGCCGTGTCCAGCAACGAGGGTCGCGGAGGCGATGAGAGCGAGGGTCGTTCTGGCAGCCATTTTGTTTTGATGCGATATTCACTACTGGTGAGCGAGGGGGCGAGGAGGTTTTTTTTTGGTTTGAATGAACGATTGACAATGGTTAACAGCTAGTGTTGAAATGAATGGCAGCCCCAGGCAAACCCGTAAATGAATGAATGTTGTCGGTGTGAAGACGACCGAATTGAACGAGGTTAGAGAAACAAAAACACCAGATGGAAGAGATCGACTGTCCAGCCGGCCTGGTATAAGTATATTCTGCCATGTGTGCTACCCATCTTCGCGTCACTGCAAGGGGACGAAAGGGGGGGGGGGGGAAATTGCCCAGCGTCCTGTCGCAAGACTTCCGGGATCATAGGCGCTCATGTTTATTGAAGTGGGTATGCCAGGGCCTCACATGGCCGGCCTTCCACAAAAGGAGCTTGGTGGAAGGCCTCTCATAGGCTCGTGATGCCATCGCGAACCGAGGGCCTGGATCTGTAAGGATCTGGCAAGTCCAAACGGAGAAACATCAAACATCGACCCGCATAAGACAGGGGACGATTAGCTGTACCTGAGCCGCATCCTCCTGACGCGCCAATGACAACGACGGCGGCTCCAAGGGGGGCCTGGAGGGAAACAATATAATTTGAAACCGCCAAGACTAGAGAATTGATCCGTCGACAACTGCACTCGGCGGAGGTCCAGGTGGTCGGTGAGTGCTGGGGGCAACTTGCCGAGACAGGCGGTCCTGGCATAGGATTTATGAAGGGGAGAGACGCCGAGTCCTGGGCTGCTTCCACCATGCGAACCGAGCATCGGGTGTGCAGTAAGCTAGTTGTGAAGGTTGCACGCGGAAAGGGGAGGTTGTGAAGAGCCTCAAGCGGCAAGACGGCTGCAATGGTCCACCAGCCCCCCTAGGTTGGCAGATCTCGGGCGACTCCGAGCCAGCGTCTTATTTCCATTTGTGGGGCCAGGGGCGTCGGCCCCGGTGCTCAATCGGCATGATGAATTCCACCCTCCCCGGTAAAGAGAATCTGCTAACAGAGGCGGTTAGCGGGCTTAGTTTTGTATCTTGGCACTCCTTGGCACCCAAAGTTACTCTTAAAACCACATCTTACTTATTTTAAGGAATGTAAAGAGTATTAAGTTAGGCCTTAAGTAATGCTTAAGTAAGGGCTTATAAGGCTTATTAGCTACTTATTATATTTAACTTTTTATCTTAATTAACCTTTTTTTAATTTAATTACTAATTATTATAGTTTAAGCTTTGCTTATTATAATTAATTAATAAGCTTTAGCCTTATAAAAATAAGCTTTAATATAAATATAAATAAAAAGCAAACCTTTTCCTTTATACCTTAAATATAAACCTTATTTAAGCATTTTTTATAAATAACTTTAAGTTAACTTATAATATATATTTAAAATCTTTTTATATTATAAACTTATAATATAATTATATAAAACTTAATATAATAAAACTTAAAATAAATAATAATAGTTTATTAAGTTTTTTTTTATTTTAAGAAACTTTTATTTTAAAAATGCTTAATAATTTAATTAATGAAAATTGTAATGGGCTTGGGCTATTACCCAAGCCGTAATGCATGCCCATGCCGGGCCCACACTGCACCCAACCCTCTTACATAACGAAGCACACACTTAAAAGATAGATCCAAAGTTAGGCCCTTTCAGGGCCCAATTTACTTCTTAGATATTGCAATTCATAACTCCTTTTAAGTATCTTTTAATAAACGCTTAAGGCTAATCTATAACATTAAATTGCAATTTCTAAATTATATTAAGGAAAATATTTATATTATAAAGGTAAATAACTTTATACCTAAGATGTTAACCTTTTTATAAAATGCATAGCTAGGGATTCCCTAATTTACTTTAATATTAAGCCATAAAAATGCTTAGGAAGCGCCTTACCTCCTTTAGCTATTTATAGCAATGCTTATTAATGCTAATAATAATGCCATTATATCTCTCCTTACGGCAATACTTTATTAACTTACAAAGCTTAAAGCATATATAAACCCTTTTAACTTACCCTTAATTTAATGCAAGCTGCTTTTAATTAGGCCCTTATTTAATAATAATTAAAATAGCTTTTTAGCTTAAAAGATTATAATGCAATATAAGTTGCGAATTAATATAAACTTTATTAAGGGTTTTTAAGAATATTAAATTTTCTTATAAAATTAGCTATTTATTAAGATATAATTATATATTGCGGCATTTTATAAGCAAAGTAGGCTTTAAAATAGCTTTAATATAAATAAGTTCTTTAAATACTTAAAGCGCTGCTATAAAAACCTATATTAATAAGTAGCTACTTTAGCTAAGCTTAAGATATTTTAAATATAAGATCACAATGGCTTTACTTAGTTTTATATTTAATTTAAATAACTAATAATATAAGCTAAGGGCCTTAAGTAATTAAGTAAAGTAAAGCTAAATTATTTTTATAATTAGCTCTTTTTATAGCTTTATAATAAGGCCATTAAAGCATTAATTTTATATATAAATTATAATAAAGTAATAAATATATATTGCTAAATTGCTTATAAGTTAAAAATATAAAACCTTAAGCATTAATAATATATAGGCCTAACCTTATACTCTTTAAAGCCCTTAGCTTAAGGGCAATAAATAATGAATTAAGATATAATAATAATAAATATAGCTATGGCAGGTATGATAAGGGGCTAGGGCGCTAGGAATAAGGAGCTGCAAGAGCATTAAAGCACCTCTTCCTCCTAATTAGCTAGCAGCTAGGCTAGGGTACCCTAAATCTCTAGGTTTGAAAAGGAGGCCTAGCGGGGGTGCAAGATATGCCTATATTATAGCTAATAAGGATACTTTATAGTAAACTATAAACTCCTTTTTATAGCCATATTAACCTAAATTTAAGTTATAAAGCCAGCTATACCTTATAAAGAGGACCTTATTAGCTTTAAAGAAAAAGATTAGCTCCTAAGCAAAGTTTTGCTTAAAAGCATAAACCCCCTTTATAAGCTTAATTTATATAAAAATAATATTAATAAGTATAAAATAAATTAAATAAGCTTTCTTTCTTAATCCTTATTATTATAAATTATAAGCATATTATTATTGCTTAAGTAAATAATAGATATAGCTGCTATATTATTATAAATAAGTAATAAGCATAAAAGGTAAAACTAAAGCTAATAGCTTTATTTACCTTAAAAAACTTAAAAATAATTATTAACTTATTGCAAAGTTAATATATTATATATATAATATAGCTTTCCTTAAATATTAATGCATAATAAGCCCCTATCTTAGCTTATATAGTTTTAAGCATAGCTTATTATTTTTTGCTAAGCTTGCCTTAATTATATTATTATAATATCTTATTAAACTTAGCTTATAACTGCATAATAATTAATATAGCTTAAGGGATAGTTATAAAGAAGGAAAGTTAGCAAGATATAAGTAGTTTAGCTTAATTAATTTCCAAAGTAATTACAAAGGCATAAATAAACCGCTTATCCCGCGATAAAACAATGGATATTACCTTAATAAGAATAAGCCTAAATAAGATTATATAAATTCTTTAAATTATAGCTCTTTAAAAAAGAAATAATAATAATGTAAAATAATATAGAGTTAAGCCCTTATTAAAGAAAGTATAAAACTTTATTAGCCTCTTTAATAAGGAATAAGCTTCCGCCCTTTTATTGCATTAAGGTTAGTTTAATTACTATATTTATTTATTATTAGCAGAAAATAGGTCCGCGCTAGCATTACTATAGAGCTTATTATATAATATACCCTGGGATTAGCTACTTAAGTTATGAAAATAAGTTACGGAATTTTACAATAAGGGCTAGATAAAGGTTAACTTTTTGCCCGCGGCAATTTTAATCCTTTTAATATGCAAGGTAAATAAAGGGTAGCGGTTTTATATAAATTACCATACCTTTAATAAGATAATTTAGCAAAATTATTACCCCCTTCCTTTTATTAAGGAAATATTATGCTTCCTTTTTAATGCTTAATGGTTTATAAAGCTAAATGTTTATATAGCTTTTTACTAAATATAAATAGCAAAGGGGTAGGAGCATTTAATGGCATTTTAAACTTAATTTAGGTTATTTAAATAGCTAATTTGCCCCTTTAGTTTATTTAATATACTTATTACATTTCAGCGGTATATTAATTTAATCTTGGTTAATATCTTAAAAAACTATATAATAGCGTACTTAAATAATATATTAATATTTTCTTTAAGCTTAAGAAGGGATTATATAAGGAAGGTATAAAAGGTTTTGCATTACTTATAAGATGCTAAGCTAAATTTAAATTAAAATAAGTATAAGTTTATAGTAAAAAAGGTAAAGTATTTAAGCTTTATTGCTATGGTTAAAGTAGGTATTTAAGCGAACTTAAAAAAGGTTAAGGCGATTTAAAAATAAGAGGCGCTATAAATGGTTTGCGGCGTTTAAAGCTTTATAGGGTTTGCAAACTTTTATCATAACTTTATTAAGAACTTTTCTAAGATTATTAACTCCCTTCTTTATCTTATTATTAAGGGGACTTCTTTTTAATAGGAAAGCAAGGAAGATATAGCCTTTTGCTACCTTAAGGCAGCATTTATAAAGGCATTAATCCTAGTTAAATGGGATTTAAATTTAAGCATAGTGGTAAAGGTAAATTACTTAAAAATAGCTTTTAATATATGCTTATTGGTTTAAAAAGAAAGGGCCCTTTACTTAATTGCCTACTACTTTACAAAGCTCTTTTTAATGCAATAAAATTATATTATTTATAATAAGGAGCTATTAGCAGTAATTAAGGCCTTAAAGGCATAATTATTTATACTTTAAAGCATATTTTACTTATTTATAATACTTATAAACTATAAGGGCCTTAAGTACTTTATTAGCCCTTAACTCCTTTTAAAGAAATAGGCTTAATAAACTAAAACTTTATCCCTCTTTCGCTATAATCTTTAATATTGCTTAGGAATGCAAGTATAGCGTTTTAATGCATTATTATAATGAAAA